ATGAAGAAGNTAAGCCCAGACCTGCTATTAGATGCAGCAAGTGGTCTTTTGAACCAACCTATGGGGGTTGTACCCTGGTTGCTGAGATTTATAGATGGAGTGTTTTAATCTCCGGCCAAAGGTATTTGATCAAACCTCAGGAGTGGCAGTAAAATTCATGTATCCTTGCACCTACTCACACTGACCACGGTTTAGCGGGCCCTACTCGTATCGGGGATGACAATATAACGGATTGTCTCTGATGTTTGTAGGATTTCTCCAACAACTTGTGCTGAGTTTAAGTTCACCCTCAACGCTGATGACTTACTTAAAGCACCATTGTCGCCCGTGAAAAAACAGTATAGTTCGGCTGGGTATCGCTCATTCCAAGCGTTAAGGAGTATTTGTGTCACTATTCTTCATCAAGGAATCCTCTACTTCCCAGTAAGCTACTCTCCGGACAGGAACATTACATTAAATACTCGAGTTTTATTCAACATCCCTGTCCCTGAGTTGAAGCATTTTCAGGGCTGTGGTGTTACCGTTTCCTTTTCTCAAACTCATCCACTGCTCACTACAGTTAACAGATAATGGGGCGTTTACAACAACCGGAAGTTTCGTTGATGTCATCATTCCGGCTGCCATTACATTTATTACTTGTTCGTTCAGTCCCCTGCTGATCTAATATGCTTTATTTTAGGGGTTTTGTAGGTTCAGTTAGGGTGGGGGCCTGTGGCTTATTTGCTGCTATCTTAATCTGACTGATTTTGCACTGTGGACAAGCTTGCTAGAACCATGGACGCGGTCGGTTTAGCATGAACCCATAGTACTGTCTAGGTACTACAGTGCAGATCAACAACAAACCCATGCTCTGAAGAAGTTACATTCAAATACGGAGTCGCTGGTTTGACGGGCAACGAGCAAGTAATACAATCATCCTTGTGTGCTTCCTGAACGGTTGGCTGTGACTTTTTAGTGTTGGGATGCCATATACACTTATTCTTATTTTACCAACTGGTCTTACTAAGAGTAAGAATTTGCGAGGGCCTGTCATCCTGGTTTCTTTGTTGAAGAACCAGTGGAGGTATTTGGGTCAATCTATTCTAATCATGCACATTATCGAATTCGGTTTTTTCCCATTCTGTCTCTCGAGACTGGGATTGTTAACTTAACACTAACCCCAAAATCCATACTGCCACTTCATATTTTTGTAGTGTAAGGAGTGGTAAGAACGCTATTACTAAACAAGTTGTTTAATAGGTAGGACAGTAGAAGGTAAACTGCACAGGAAAATGTGTGATATGTGAGTTATAAAGAAGAAAATAATAATAATAATAAATTTAAGTGACTGTTTCTCACACAAGTAGCGTACCTTAAAGTCGCCCAGAATTGCAGTTTTACCCTTAGCTGTTTCAGTAAACAACTTATAGTGTATCCAGTATCTTTTGCGCAAGTACTGTGTTTGCGACTGAATGAATGTGTGTATGTTGCCGAAGCATGACCAAAATGATATGAGCTACAAAGATGCAGTTTACCACATGAAAGTAACGGCTTGACACGCAAAGATGAATCAAAGTGCTCTACAGGCCATTCACTTGCCTAGACGAAATAAAACTGTTCTTCCTGCAAGAAATCCGCAGTTTCTTTAGTGTAGTAGATTTAAGCACACTCGACTATATGAAATCATGTAATATCGAAACATCACGTGAATCAGAATGAGCCATCTAGAAAATGCCAGAAGGAGTTTGTACCAGCTGCTTCTCTAGCTTATTTACTCCAGTAATCAGGGTGCTAGTTAGTTTGATCAGCAGCTGCACGCCAAATTAACACTTAGTAATTAGCGTTTGAAGCTCTATTATAAAATCCCTCATTGTTTGGGTCAGAGCACGAACCATTCCGTTTAATTGCTCTCTTTCCCGTGCGTGGGATGTTTCTGGGCGATAATTATCGGCCACCAATATTCTAAGCTCTGCAAACGGAAATAGAATAAGTTTGTGAGGATATAGGGCTCTTTAACATTAAGAGCTTCTAAATCAAAAGGGATTATGAAATGGAACAGACATTAGGCATCGAAACCTCCCTGATGATCTCACATTATGAAATTTATTAATAAATCGATAAATACCTGTACCTGATTAGATGAAGTACCATTCGATTGTTTTAGCACGTCAATAAGTGCATACTTACCTTGCAGCAACTTCAAACTAACGTGCATCTGCTGCACTTTCAGAATCCTGTCGGTTGTAAGGATTCTGTCTTAATATACTTTTTCTTGTGCTTCGGAATTTCAACATAAAACTGAGCAAGCCACAAGTATTTGTTTAGCTGTTTTGGATTTTTGCTACTAGATATCTACTCTTTAATTGTTCACAAGTTCCAAAAATTGATAAAATTCAGGCGCTTATGTATTTTTCGCTGTATGCCTTTTCAGTGAAGTATTCAACTTAATTTCTGTTTTTAGATCGCTTGTCATATAGGTTTGTATCTGAATGCTGTCCGGAATAGTGCACATTGTTTGTTTTTGTTGCTAGAAATGACACTAATCTAACAGTTAATAAATAGTTTTTAATTTAAGTAATATGTCCCAAAATTCAAATGCGTGGCCCTCGGATGGCATTTAACCTATGGGTTCTCAATGCACACTGGGATTGTAGGTTGGTACTTGAGCACCAAAATCTCCTGCTTGAATTTTTTGTTGTCATTGCACCCGTAACATTTTTTACACTAACAGATGACAGATATCAGTCCATCTGACAGTTTGTTCCAAGATTCGATACTTTTGGAAAACAACGCGGTTAATTAGGACTGGTTTATGACTAGTAAACATATTCCCTTAACGATGATCATCTGATCAGACTAATATGATGTTTTTTCGCCTCCGTCTCTATTTCAATGGATATTTTTTATTATCATAATGCCGGCTAGGATATAAAACTATTTGAATCCCTTCTACTATAAGGTTAAAAGGCCGTCAGGCATATATCTAAGGACTACGAAAACCCTATCCATGCCCCCCTTGTTAATACCTGACAATAGTGTAGTTTATTTAAGTCATTGCCCTAATTGTAGCAGAAACACTGCACATAAGGTTCCTTAAATGACTGTCAAGGGTTGCGGTTGATTAAAAATAAGTCTAGATCTACAGAAACTTGTATAAAGGTTTTCGTTTTCTTATCACGAGGAATTTTACTACCATCCAGAAAAAAAGCCTTTTCCTTATTTAAATATTGACTTCGGAATGCTGTTAGTTAGGCAAATTGGCTATTTTTAATCAGTCAGAGGGATTAACGTTGTATTTGTGACATAAATAATTCCACTAAGAATAAGCCACGACATGTCCATTTCTAAAAGCGGCAACACTTCTTTCAGCGGAAGTTTCTGTATGAATTAGTAATAGTTATCAAGAAAATAACTCTAGATTCTAATAATAAGTCACACTGACCAAAGATCATTCAAGGACTTCACAGCAGAAGTAATCCAAATAAACACCTTGGATATACTAGTTCATGTTATGAATTGAATATATTTACGAATATTCGCTGTTTAACCTTGATTTGTCAATTTTGAAGGATGATATACTTTTACGAAGGAGGTTTCTGAGTTCAGTTTCCAGAAAAATACCCGAGTAACAAGGCGAAGATTCGTAAAGTAAAATTGTATGTCTTTTTGTCCATTTGGTTGGTTGTTTAAATGATAGTTATATTTTGGGTCTACAGCTTCTTACTTTAAGTTAGCCAAAACGTACTTCTAATCAACAGTTTTTTCCATCCAAAACTTTGTCTAGCTATATTCTGTGGACATTTACTCTCTTGGTTTTATCTATTTTTACAGAACACAGCTGTTTCAAGGAAAAAACAGTTTGCAACCTACAGGACAAAAAGTACCCAAAAACAAGCTCGTAGTATAATCATTCACATTAGATGGGATATCTTACTTTTTCTATCACTCATATTTTGGTCTGTATACGTCCGATTCCTGTTGGTAATAGTCCTGAAGTGGACCAAAGGTATTTCTCACCTGCTGGATAAACGCCAAAATACTCCACTAAAGCGAACTTAGGCGGCTGTGATTTTAAGATTTATAACTTTATACCCAGAGCTTAAAGTTTTTGGAGTATATGACTCAACGCATCAAATAACCATGGGCCGCAAAAGGCATACTGTTGGGAGTGTGTTCCGCAATAAGTCAGATAAATCCTCTCGATCCTCAGGCACATCATCCTCTTCTTCATCCTCCTCAAAATGCAGTGTAAAACCTGTAAGTTGTCCTTAATCTACTATATTTTGCGAACACATTTGTCATAAATTGAAATATTTGTTTAACTGGTATAAGACTTACCTGAATGTTTACAATATGTTGTTGCGACCTAACTAACATTTTCACACTGTCAACCGATATCTTAGCACTATGCTATTCAAGTATATGAGTAGAGTGAATAGGCCCTCTCTGTCAGATCGTTAAACTGAAGCGCAAACGACAGTGATCATCAACACTGTGGTCTGAATTCGTTCTTTCATCATTACTATTAACTACCATGTTTTCACTTCATACATGAGTTAAGTAACTCTTTATTACAATGTGGTAGTTGTTTCGATTACCTTGAAATGAATGCATAAAATTCCAATAAAAGGCACTGAAACATATCAGCCTTATGATTCACCCTACTTATAATTCTACTGGTACAAACCTTCAAATGTACAATCAGAATAACTAACCAAACTGTCGAATAATTCACTTAAATGTAGTATACGTTTTAGTGATGGACAATCACTTTGCTATAGTAAACAATGAAGTGAAACACAGTAAACCTTAAAACTCCAGGCATACGTGTGGTCACACATTAAGACCAAGCCTCATCCTCCTGCAGTTTTTCACTTTTCCTTTAAAATCACTACCTACACGTTCACGAACTAATTATTTTCATATGATTAAAACAACCACAAATACTTAATACTATGAAAATAATTTCCATCACGAATTAACCTCACCTATTATCAGTTCATGATGATAATCATCCTTATACAATGTGCTAGTTTCGATATAACTGTCAATGTAATTCCGATACAATTTTCACAATTAAACAGTCTACATTAGTTGTAATCAACGGTAATAATAATCATATTCAATAACTTTGATACGGCATCAGTTTAAATCAAGCTCCAGTCTAAATAGATTTTCATATCAAGTTCGTATTAGTCCGAGAATACTGTACTATTATTATCTAATTAAAGATATAAAAATAAATATGACTGTAATATGAGACATCATGTGTAGTATTTAAAAATATTGATTCAATTTACCAATTACTTAAGTATGTACTAACAAGATAAATAATAAAATGTGTACATTGCACTAAATTTGGACGTGTTTACATGAAAACCGTGAATTAGTCATTCTATTTCGGCTATAACCTTTAAATCCATGCACTACATATTTCTTCTCTTGATATTTACTAATCATATCAACATTTGAAAATAATAATAAATGGCAAATTTAATCAGATTCTATTACTGCTAATAAAATACATCAAATATCTTGTGATGATTAGTTGTTTCTTTTTTTTTTCACACGACTTGACCTTGATCACCTTATTCAATGATCAATTTGAAATTGACTTGATGTCTTGTTTCTTCTCCACACTTTTTCTGTTAGTTTTCATAGAAAAATGGTATATCAGACGAAAAACGATGACAATCAATTTCATATATATATATATATATATATATATATATATATATATATATATATATATATATATATATATATATATATAGATAACTTTTGGTTAATATTTTAAAAAAGACCAATAATAACCTTGGTCTCTCTAAACAGAGTAATTTGAATGAATAACGTTCAGTGCTACAACAAATATGTTTTATTATGTGACTCAGGTATTATTACTATTACTATTACTGTTAATATGGTATGGGTAATGTAAAACTGAGAGAAATATAAAATTTATCCACATACATCATTCAACTTACAATGCAACTATAAATTCCAATAATACAAAAACAAAAATGCAACTCACAAAATTGATCAATCTACACATAGTCTATGCATGATAAATACTTTTTTTTTTCTGCCTTAAACATTCATCACTTTTTTTTTTACTAAAAGTATTTTCGTTATATACAAATATGAAAAGATGAATTAAGAATATATGTATTCTACATTTTAATAAATTTGAAAGATCAATAAAATAGATTTTCTAACTGTTAGTAGTTAGTTTAAACATGAAATTTGTTTCACTGTTATCATTATTATTATTATTATTATTATTATTATTATTATTGTTAAGTCAGTTTTGTTGATAGAAGTAACTTGTTAACTAATCTCTATTCAAGTCAAGTACAATTGTAAAATTTTCATAATTATTGGCATATTTTCATGCCAATATAAAGTGATAGAAAATTAAAGAGATGAAAAGCAAAGAATTTGTAATAGTATCTACCATTGGTGTAGTGTAGAACTATACTTTGAAAATATATAATTCAACAGAAAATTGAATAAATTTCAGAGGAGGATATCAAAAACATGAAATGATATTAAACTTTAAGATTTAAAAAAAGATAGACGGTGGAGAGATCTTGACCAGACACCGACTTTGAGTTTTATGATTGATAGTATTCAACTATATATAGATTAAGGTCATGTGGTGCGCAGTGACTACAAAGTTTCCGTCCCACTTACTTTGACTTATATTAACAGACAATAGTTTCATAGACTGAAGCGATATCTCCCTGGCTTTATCTCATTCTACTCTTCTACTAATCAGCATTTTTATTTTCAATTCGAGTAATGGAAATTAGTGTTTTTTACGCAATGAAATCATGAATCAATCAATCATTGTTAGACCACCATTAGTAACCTGGAAGCACTAGACGACCGTTTCGTCCTAGTGTGGGACTCATCAGCGGTGCGCATCTACGACTCCTGCACCTCGCAGGATTTGAGCCTAGGACCTTCGATCTAGCGCATGAACGCCTAACCTCTGGACCACTGGGCTGGCTGGCATCCAACGGTGTCAGTGTCTAACTCTGATCAATCTAGAGATTTGTCTTCAGTAGTTATTGTAAAACAATAAAAACCAGACGCCTACTCATCATTTATCAGTTATTCATAATTAATGCAAAGGTTAATACAAATTTCTCTTAACATAAATTACTATCCCGTAAAAATGTACTTAAAAATGAAATCAACCGAAACGAATAACTAAAATATATAAATAATATAATAGAAATAATACTCATGAAAAAAACGAAACATTTAATAAAAATATGATTTGAAAGGAAGGCAGGACAAAGTATAATGCATGATGGAATACATAAATGTGAAAAAATTCACAGAAAAAAGCTAAAGAGACAAAAATGCTCATCTGCTTCATAGTAAAAGCCAATTAATGAGAAATAAACACATTTTATTATTATTTTTATCATTATTCATACACAGAAAAAGACAAACATGAGTCTTGTTCATATTAACAACATGTTTTTAACTGAATTATTTTGCTTGAATGATGTTTACATTGTAACTATTATTATTATTATTATTATTATTTTTATTATTCATTATTGTTAAATAATATCTAAATATTTAGTTTTCTTATTTTTCAAAACCTCCTCAATGTTAATCATTTTCTTGCATTAGATATTACTTAAATTAGTTTCTCTGGTTAGGGTTTTTTCGGCAAGTTAGTTTTTGACGGAATGGGGTCGCCAACCCCATGTCCAACCCTCCTCCTTTACCCGGGCTTGGGACCGGCAGTAGACCCGAAGGTTCTACTGGCGGAGTTTTGCAGTAGATATGCTTGATTTATTTAATAATATAATAATTAATTTGGTAATTTGTTTTAGAATAACAAGAAAAATTGTCAATGTTCATTGTTAAATTTTCAATGTATTGAATAATTTTCTTAATGAAATATAATTATTTTTTTTTCTTAAAATTTTTTATTTATTATTGAGTTAGATACCATGGATTGAACAAAATATTGTATGCTTAGAATGTGCTAAATTTGTTCTTGCTCGTCATTCAAAATCCAAGTGAGTAATATTGATAAGTTTTGAAAAAAAATATTCATTGAACAATATCATTTTAGTAAATATTTACAAGTTTTAGTTGATTCATTTTGATTACTTGCTTGTAAGTGAATATGTTTCTTGAAAGATCTTATTGCTGAAATGTCTTAGTCAGTTGACCTCGAACAGTCAATGAATCGTAACCAACATTATGTTGTTCAATCCTAATCAATGAAAATATTCTTTTGAACACGTGCATCTCGCTCACTGTTAAGTAGTAGTAGCTGCTACTTCTAATCAGCTAATTTTGAATTTCGCCTTTTTTGATAGTCGTTTTTTTTAAAAAAAAGCCTCAGAAATCGATATCTACAAAATTTAAACTAAAAGAAATGTGAGTAGGTGGAATCTTAAGAAGACTTGATGCGAAGTAGAATATGTATTCTACAAGCATCCAAAAAGTATGAGGTCCGAGACCAGAAGAGAATCAGGATCCCGGGCTAGGAATCTAGGTCCGGGTCATGAAATGTTACGGATTGCGTATTTATACAGTTAGGTCGAATAGGAAACAACATTGAAGTCTGTGACATTGATAGTTAGGACAACCAATAGGAAACAACCTTTTAAGTGACATTGACTGTTAGGACGACCAATAGGAATTTAAATTCGAAGTATGTGACATTGATAGTTAGGACGACCAATAGGGATGGAGCAATAGAATTCAATTTACAAACAATTATCTTAGGATATTGGATGAATATCCTAACAGTTTCCTAAGCACTGTTTTGTTATACCCTGCCTATGACTGACATGTCTAGTGAATGAATATCTTCAATAATTAACGTTAACTAAGAAAGCCTTTTACGTTTAACTTATGCAATTTGTTAGTTTTTTTCTCTTGTTATTATTAGCTAAAATATTTTCAGCGCTCATTGATCTTATGTTAACAGCTTCAGGTTTTTTATTTGACAGTTTATTTGTATAAACGAGTAAACCATTGAATAATTAGTTCATTGTTGAATAAAAATGCTTAACAGTTATTTTCGTCTTCATTAGATGGCAGGCATACTAAAATGCCAAAAAAGAAACATTTTTATTTTGATTAAATATAAAAAACGACAATCTACTGGAATAATTTGACAGATCTGTTTTTTTCCGGCTGTCTCAATCAACAAATCACACACACACACACACGCACATACACTCAATAATTATGGTTTTCTAATTTCTTATTTTTTTTTATTTTTTCAATTGGCAACCACCAACCACTACTACTAACACTAAATGGTGCTTTTTCTAGTTATCAAGTAATTTAGATGCATTGAAAACTACTAAACACAACAAAACATAACAAACACCAACCATCAATGAATCGTGTATTATATGAATGAATGAATGAATGATTATAATTCATATTTATTCAATATGTAAAATAGTGATATATGCCTTGGATTGATCATTGAATGCAAATCGAAATGATAAACAAAAAATATTGTCTCATTATTCATTTCTGCCTCGTTGTGCTATATTTTGCGGGGTAGGGAATAGATTGGACAAAAGCTAGGGTTGGCCAAACCAAAACATGGCAGAAATCCATGAAGTCACTGACAAGTGGACTGAGTCATGTCGGTAAGTGTCGACTAATCTGGTTGGAGTCCACGAGATGATAAGAATCGATGGTTATAGACCCTAAATGACATGACTCAAAATCGTTTGCAATGGCGCAGGTGCATTTATTCTTTATGTTCTCTCAAATCATAAACTTTTTATTCCTGATCACTTTATCTTCTTTTTATTTAGTTTATTTCACTATATTCTACTTCTTAAATAATATCTTCTAACCCGATTTCTACTTAATAGCTTTACTATCTCTACTGCTATGGGATATGAATTGACAATTACATCTCTGTGCTTATATGGTATGGCAACATGAACTGATGTACGTAGGTACGTACAAAGTTCTACGTTGCTATTGACTGATTGGTTTTATTCAGTATTATAGTATATTACAAGCAACTGACACTTTGAATTATGTCATCAGACAACCAATGATGATATCTTTCGAATTTTTACTCATTTAGAATGTGTAACTTAATTTCTGTGTAAATTTTATCATTAACCATACTGTCTTGTACATAGTATACTCAACTTTAGTATAATTTAATTGAAATTAGCTTAGATCAATTAATTTTTGGTTGGCTGACAATGCCTACTTATTTCTTATCAAATTGAGTATATCTTCGATTAAATTACTCCGTCGTTTTTATACGTCTGTCTTTCCCTACATAATTGTGTTTTATCAATCACTTCCGGATGTTTATTGATTCATCTAGTGTATGAACGTTGTATGCTAGAGTATAATTTTCATGAAAGGTTTCCGCTTAAATCCTAACCGTATAGTACGTTTGTGTCCTTCATCTAGTACATTGAGCTATGCGCCTTACAGATTTGTTCACAGCTGATAGTTACGGATAATTTCAGATGTCTGAAATGAAATATTCAGTGACTATTACATTCTGATGTACAATACTCACCCACTAAATGACCTGGAAATTGACAGGAAGTACCACAGTTTTACATGTTGTATATATTAACTCAGCCTCTCATTACAGGTTTTACAGATAATCCTATTTTTCAATCAAATTACCTAAATTGACTAAACAACACGAATGTTCACTACCAAAAATAAGGACAGTCAATATATTATATTACCCTTAGATAAAAAATTAGAACATAGCTAATCTCTTCTAAACAAACATACAGTGAAGATTATGTTAAATGGCATTGAACTATTAAATCGATTTATGTAAAAGAACATGCAAAGTAACATGTTTCTTATCGTGACAATTTTATAAAATAACCACAAATCAAATGGTCACGTGATCTTTTTTTATTAGCAACTAGAAACGCTTACATGAGCATAATTCATACTTTTCTAATCGAGTAATCAAGATTGTCACACAAAGTGAGATGGAAAACTGCAAAATTCATTCGATTAGTTTTCAATTAAAATTATGGAGATTAGTGTTGTTTTGCACATTGAAATCATCAGTCAATCACTGTTAGACCACAATTAGAAACCTGGGAGCACTGAAAAATGACTGTTTCGTCCTGGTATGGGACTTATCAGTAGTGCGCATTCACGACTCATAGTCATAGTTTACTACACTATTATTATCCACGAAATAGTTTATCCAAAGTTGACAGTATGATCGTTAACTGCATCTTATCAACTGTTGAGTTGGTTCATGGTACTGTTGGGGACGTTAGATCCCCAAAACTCGCTTAATAAATACCTTGATTTTGAATTTGCTGTTTGCCAGCATGGGCTGATCAGTTGACCATGAGATTTCATTTCCCACCAGGAAAATCCTTGGCTGTGATTGGTTGCTGTGTGTTTTAGTGTGCTTCTTTTGTGACTGACCCAAAGACGTTTCTATGATGTATAAATAAACAAGAGTTGATTGTATTGTGCTTGCTGAATATATATACTTTATATACTTTCTACGCTATATCAAGACTTCTCTTTAGCCGTTACGAGTCAACGGATCAAGGTAGACTACCTGGACGCTGGTTCATTGTCTAGTTCTAGTTTATCGACTAAGGTGAACTCGTAATATTTTCAAGCATACGTAGTGACGAACCTAACAGGTATATTTTTATTTTTTAATAACTTTTGCAGAAAATGACGAGTAGTTTCTTTGTCTAAATCTTATGGTTGTGAATAACTTCTCACTACTTCGTGTATCTGTCAATGGACATTCGCTGATTATACTGTTGAACAAGAGTTTGTGTTTAAATGACATAGTGTATCTGAAATTCTTACAGTAAATGATATACAAAGCAAAAGTTTGTGTGATTAGCTTTGAGTCATAATGGTGTTTTTATAGAGGCTAGTAGTACTATCAGACTACCAAAGCTTTATTCAGTAAAATGAGGCCCATAACTAACTAAGTCATCTCTTCATTACAAAATTATTTCAATCGATTGATTCAGGCAAACAGTACATTTTACACGATTATGTATACATCTCGAATATATATATATATATATATATATATATATATATATATATATATATATATATATCTTACTCTTCAAAGCCGTTGACTTCACTGTGAAATGAATGACCTTGACAATATCGATTAAGGTTGACATGATATCTTTTGAATGGAATCTTTCAAAATGGTTTATCTTTTTCTGTTTTTTTTTATAGCTTTCACTACTACCATTACATATCACCTACAAAGTAAGCTCTTATATAACCGAACAACCCCATTGTTTTCCATTCACCTGACTTCATAAAAATTAAAAATACTAACCATCGATCATTTAAGAGTTTGATGAAAATTCAATTTTAAAAAATATACACTACCGTAACACTTTTTTTTTATTTCAATTAAACATGTATAAATTATTTATTCATCAAACATGGAAATTCTGTTTTTACTTCAAGTATCATTTCAAATGCTTTCAAATTCTCACCTGACATTGAATCTGGTGATTGTTTTATTTTTATCTCTCTCTGTGTGTTTGTGTATCACGCGATTGTTTACTCAATTTTATGTGTTGGTTTTCTATTTTCCTTGAAAAAACAAACAAACAGATAAACAAATCAACATAAATTCCTTTCAAGTTTTTCTAACAAGAAAAATAAAATAAGTTGAAATAGTTTTCAGTTCTCTATGAAGTTTATTTTATCAAACGGTATCTAGTTAACTTTAAGTTTAATTTATTTTAATTGTAAGAGTTAAATGACACTATTTGAGGTGCGAAGTGATGTAGTAGATGCGATGTAGTTCAAACCCATGACCTAGTAATCACATTACATTGTTTTTTGATAATTTGCTTATGTTAATAACATCTAAAACAAAAATTCTATTTGATGTTCTAACTATGAAGTCCTTGATTATCGAACTGACCTATGTTGGTGTAGGTTCGAAACTACCTGGACACGGACAACGCGATTATCGTAATTGATGGTTGACGAGGTTAGGTAACATGGTTCACAGCCGTTCGTAATGGCGTAGATACATTAGATTTTATGCATTTTGTTGTGAGAAATCATTCTTTCTCCTCTAATATTAGTTTATAACTCCTTTCAAAATAATAAAGCGAACTATGTGCATGAAACGTGTCATCTAAGCTTAATTTTGTTTTTTCTGATACTACTACTTCTACTAACTATGACAATTGTTTTCTATGCTTTCATCTCTCTTTTATTAAATATGTTATGAAAACTTGAACGAATACATGTATGTTCACAGATTCAACATTGGTAATGATTGACTGATTGACTGACTAACTAACTCTATCAATCGAACTTCATACCCGCTAAACGCAGTACTTTTAGTTTATGCTGATATCTTATTCTCATTTGTGGTAAAATATGTAACGATCCTGACAGATCTAATCTTCTTAACGTCCCATTTTATTCTATGTCAAAATATTAACTCAGTAGTACAAGAAAACTAATTGCTTTGAAGCGAAATAAATTAGCATGACGATGAAGAGAAGATAACATATGACATTGGCGATCAGGTAGACCATTTATGTAGTGATCTCACTAAGCGCAATAATTTTACTTGAAAGTCAGTGCCTTCGCTTAACCATCCTCTGCATGTTTCGGACTCGTCCTTTTAGTTACCAGCAACCAAATCAGCTTAATCTGTTAGCGAATACCCACTTAACATTTTATTCTATAGTTGAACCGCATTCAAAGGATATTTTACTAAATCTATCTAACATCATGGTGTGGCTAATATGCATCAAAAGTGTATACAACATGCTGACTACATTATTGAATATCAATCGTAACTCAGCGCATGCACACACATGTAAAACGTTATCTACTTGATACCGTCGTCAATCGTAAATGATTCTATTGTCAGAGGCTGGAAGTTTTTTTGAACATGATTTATTTATCTCGGGAAAAAACCCAGTTAATTTACCATACTATTCTTGCAAAAGTCATTAACTGCAAATATACAACTATTTTTTCAGTTTATATTTGATAACATTCAAAATTTCTATGGTGTTGATGCTGTAACAAGTTTTCATTCATTCCCATACATTTTTCAAAAGATTCATCCCATAGAAAAAATTAATAACAACTGTAGTTAATTTTCTATGTTCAATTTAATTAGTGTGTACATTTTTCATTTCTTCAATTAGATTGCATTCATTTTCATATTTACATCTGAGTTCGATCTATTATGCACGTCAGTTGATATACTTCAACTATTACGAGTTCACTTTAGTCGGTAAACGAGAACGAAGACTATGATCTAGTGACACGATAGGCTACTCTAATCCGAGAGTCCCAAGCTCCTACTTACAAAATGTCTTGATATGGCGTAGAAAGTGTATTGTACAAGTACCTAGAAAATTGAGGTTTTGTACAGAAGACAAAGAGGAGCATAAGACTTTACAGACAATGCATATTTATACAGTTAGGTCGACCGTGAAAACTGACCAATAGGAAACAACATTTACAGGAGTATGTGAACTTGATAGTTTAGGACGACCTTAAATATTGACCAATAGAATTAGACTTACAAAATAATTTCTTTAGGATATTTGATGAATATCTTAATACGATCTCTGGTGGAGTCAAAAGCGCCCACTGCTAGAGACTTTCATTCTAAGATGAGATTCCTGTTCACTACTGCTTGGTTTTCAGTGATTTTTTGTTGTTGATGGAATTCAGTCTATTATGTAGACTACAAACTATGCAATCTTCAAAAGACTTACATATTAAAATCATAATCTCACTTTCATATTCCTAGCTGGAAACATTCCATAACTTCATCAAACTAAGTGTAATCACTCAGTAGAGAATTCAAATCCAAACATCTTATTATTATTATAGAACTCGTCATTTATGCAATTGGTGAAAAAATTTGTCTTTTCTACTATAGTTCTGTTTGTAATCTTACATAATATTACAATATTCAGTTTTGATAACAGTGGTCAATAATATCAACAATTTCTTCCCAGGTTCCTTTCTTGCTCCATCTACTTTATTTTGAGTAACTGTGTAGTATCGTTAGTACACAGATAAAGAGTGTAGTTTAAAACTGACCACAATAACTAGTACTTGCTTACCAAGCTGCCATAATCAAGTTATAGTTCAACAGTGTAATCTAAGCGTAGTTTCATTCTCTTGGTTTTTAATTACACTTTGTATGTGTCCTAATGATAGAACTCAGGTTCCCAAATATAATCAATTGAATTGTTGAAAGTTGAGTCGCCTAAACCACGATGCTACTATTTTAAGGCATCAGCTAATTTGTTTGATAGACAATCTATAATATTTTAGCTTATATCGTTTCAATTGAGTTATCTCATCATAATGTCTTCACGACAACAGACAGACTAAAATGAATCTTAACCACTTTACCGAAAATTTAAATACATATCTGATTCAACAGAGAAGCATAACAGTTAGACTTTTATACAGCGGAAAAATTGATCATTTAGACAGACAGATACAACGCAGAACGTCGTATGTAAGTACATCAGTTCAGGTTGCCATACCACATCAGCAAAGAGACGCAACTATCAGTTTAATCCATGAGTGACCGAAGCAGCTACCTTGACGTGGTGTTTGGGCTGGCCTATCGTGATGACCAAACCGAGCTTAATTGGCTGGAATATATGTTCCTGAAGGTTCTACCATGCCAGGCAGGTCTATTGGAGAACGATGAGACTAAAAGCAGCTACACAAGGTCTGGGGGTGAAGTCGTAGTGCTGACTGCAGAGGTGTGTGACAGCAGTAAGGTGTTTCCCTCGGATAACCAGTATCTGCAGCGATGGTGCCTTCTCACAAGGAAGGAAGGGTTAGTAAAGGTCGACCCTAAGAATGTTACACCTCACCCTACCTTACGGATTTCCTTCTCCGTCGGTAAGGGTGCCCACTAAGGGCTTTTAAGAGCGAAGCTAATGCTCAAAAAACCTTTCATAAAAAGGCCATGCGTGACCAGTCTGAAGCAGTTGTCCCTTGGACTCTGTGGTCACGCTCGCAGGTCGTTAAGACCGACACTAATCTGCCTTCCTTTTCAGGTCCCTCAAGAAACAATCTTCCACGGTGTGGGCAGCCGGGAAGTGACAACTGCCCTCATACCCGTAACAGCAGGATCGTTTACAACATTCGAAGAGATTATTTTCTTTTTCTAGTTTTCTCCTTTAAATGTTTTATTTTACTAAACAAAAACTCTATACTTCTTGTTAATAATCTCTTTCTTTTTCTTCTCTATCTCAAATCATTTGCGTTCTTACACCAACAACTTAATCACCACGATTCAGCAACTATCATCACTCAACTACACATGACGGCATACTGTCTGTCAATCGATGGGTGCATTTCACTGTATTTATTCTGTAACTCTCCTATTCCTTTTTACATAGAAAATCATAACCGACTAATTTATTGTCATGTCTTTTATGACGATATCCAAAAACTATCGATGGTAGAAGTTGTTTAACTGTTCTATTTTTATTTTTTTCAATGTTTATTTTTAGTCCACGTTGTAGTTGTGGTTTAACATTCAGTGAACATCCATCTAATATACAAATAGAAGCTTTAACACAACAAAATTTAAATTTACAACCAGATATTTCTATTAGTAGTGATTATCATTTAAAACCAACAATTAATAATGAACGTTGGCATGTTAAAACACATACTCAAGAAATTCCAACAAATGCTTATGGTACAGTGGAATTTCAAGGTGGACCACATCCAACTAAAGCTCGGGTTAGTTATCTTGTTTGTTTTTTTTTAAATCAAAAAATAGACTTTAATTGTTTTCAATGTCATATACATTTTTGAGGGCGATGTTCAGTTGACGTTAATTAAGTGAGGTTGTATTGTGTTTTGTTAATTTTCTAGTAAAAGTGATTAATTTTTTTGGCAAAAGGTATGAAGAATTGATTTCAGCGTTAGAAGTTAATGATTTTGATTATGTAACCAGACCTAATCAAGCTAACACCATAGATTAGTACTACAGGTGTCTTATTCAATTAGCCCGGATTCGAATAGAACTGTTTGGTTGGTTGGTTGGTTAGTGAAAGTACATGACTGACCGAACTGAAAACGATTAACAGAGGTTCGGGCCTCTTATCCCATTTATGATTACTGTTTGCACCAATCACTAAACCAATATCAGTCAGAAATCAATACAAAGTCAAGGATACAAAATACTCACAATAAACGAATAAATTAATTTTAAATGTACAAAAATAAAGCGTAATTCTAATGATTCAAAGTCATTTGTTAGTTATTCAATACGTAGAATTTCATATTGTCGTCTATACTTTTAACAACAGATTTTATTCTTTCATCTGGTTTTATGCTACTTTTTTTTCACTGGTATAAAAAAATGTTACTTTTTTCTTATATGGTTCAATTTGGTCAATTTTTATAATTGATGAGTGAGGTCCATTAGAAAAAACACACGAACTTAAAAACCTCCTTACTAAGACAGCAATTGTAAGTTAGTAGCAGTTTTGGTCTGTTATTGGTGTATACTGCTTTACTTACATATAGACAAGGTAGAAATATCCAGTATGTTTAGTTACGAAATAGGCCTCCCTGAATTGCACTAATAAACACTAATTAAAAATGTAACTGATTTGATAACCACTTTACTGTACTGTTTCATATTCTCAATTTATATTTTCTTTTAGTTTAATTTTAAAAGAAAGAATATGTGAATAAGTTGTTGAAATTTTGAGTAGGCTTGAAATTAATTTTTAATCATAGTAATTCATTAAGCGTGTATGCACTGTTTGAAATATTGTGCCATATATATATATATATATATGTTGGTTGGAGGTAGTCGTCAGTTAACCTGAGACCTAGGCTTTTGTCTAACTGGAATTCGTCAGCCTGAAGTACCTGTAAACCCGAGAGAATCGATACCCAGTAAGACTTTAATATATGTATGACCTTTGAGCGACGCTGAAGTGAGCTCGAGAGAGTCCACCTACTTCCTAGGGATAAAACAAGGTTATGAATTAGTGCAAGGAATTAGGATCAGGATTTTTAGTTAGACACTGGAGTTATTTGGTGGAGAAAATTTGTATCTTAGATTGATGCTTATGGTGGAGTTTCGTTCACAATGAAAGTTCCTAGAGGTGGTCACTCTGGGGCTCGGTCCCATTACCGCTCGCCTCAAGCACTATCTACTATCTAATTAGACACTGAGTTCAAATAGCCGCTAGCTTGTGCAATAGGATAAAGCTTATTACATTCCCTATTTATAACGTTTGTGACTTAATGACAATACCAAGGTGATCCTTGCAGGATGCACATATTCTCAAAAGAGAAATTGACTGGTCATTTGCAATCTTCAACATAAATGGGAAGATGCACCTAACCAATACAATTGAGTTGAGTATGACTGGTGTTTTTTAGCTTCTATTTGTACATGTCAATTTTATCTTTATGACCTACTTTACATCTTAAAATGTGTATTATCACTAAAATAAATTTTAGTATCACATTTAAAAGTATCCCGACTGTGTATTAAAGATTTTTCAAAACATTATGGCAACTTTTTCTTCTAAAACTACTGACTACGCTTTGAGTCAAATGTAGAGAAATATTTTCTATTCTTCGGTGTACATTTGTCCGAATTCGGAGTATAACATTCTGAGTTTTAAACACAACTTACTGTTTAATTCAGAAATGTGTTCAGGTTTACTAACTTTTATAATTAAAGGTTTCATCAAAGATGGAAAGACCGTTGATAATCAGTTATCGTCGGATTGTGTTGGTACTTTCTGGTGATGACTGTATTTTCTCGACCGAATCCAAAATATTAGAGCTCTGTGGTGATTGAGCTTCATATCCTCTTTTATTTTAAATTTAAAAACTGCCAGTGAACATAATATTCTGTAAAAGTTTGCAAATATCTATCCGTATGCTATAAACATTAGTCAATCTAATTTAAAATGTGTTCCAATATGATTTCCTATAGCTTTCTCAACTTCATGTAGACTGGGAGGACTTAAATCGATTTGCCATTCAGGATGACTGGGGATCGTGGGCAACGGAAGTGTGGCTGAAGGCCAGTTGAACTGATCCCTAAAGTATTCTGCCCATCGGTCCAATCTCCTGGAGTGAGAATGGATAATAAGACCATCCTTTTCCGAGATAGTCTCACTCACATTCGGGTTTCTAATACCGGTTTCTTTGATAAGGCGGAAAAGTTGTCTAGCGTTGCCTATCGCTGCTGCCTTTTCCATCGCTTTTGCTTTCGCCACCTACCACTGTTCGCGGTCGTTACGTAGGCTTTTTATCAGTCTGCGCCTAAGCTGACTACGCTCTTCGTCATGTGGGATGCGTTTTCGAGCATCCATCAGTTCGGTGGATGCGACTGAAATCTACGGCTTCATCCTATCCGTTTACCTTACTAGCAGATATCACTGCTGTTTCCACAGTCTTCTTGATACCATTCCAACCTGACTCCGGATGGGAATCACTTGTATGGTCGCCTAACTGTTTTTCTAGTTCCTCCTGAAATATTTTCTTAGCTTGATTATCATCAAGTAAAGCCCTAAGAGGCTTCCTTACGGTGTCTTTCCTACGTCCAGTAAGCCTTAAACAAATACGAGCTCGCACTAGGGCATGGTCTGAATCTAAACACGTGCCCCAGAACGAGCGGCAGTCCTCTATCCGAACCCCTCCATCGGTTGCTGATGGCGACATGATCTAGTTGCGTCCAACGTTGGGACGACTTCGAGGGTCGCCAGGTCAAAAGATGCTTTTCCTTATGCTTAAAATTAGTATTTGCTAGAAATATATATATATTTATATATTACTCACACAATGATTCCTATTTTTCATTTTATCTCCTACATATGAATATCTGCCTACATGGTGCATGTATACAGTATGTAAGATTGCATTATGAAACGTGTCCTGAATTAGTATTGCATTTATTACTTCATGAATGGAGAATACGTGTGCCAAATTTAGTCATTTCAATTGTCGGCGGATTAGCCAATGCTCCATTACAAGCAAAATTACAACAAGTTGTTCAACGTGGTATATTAAGAGCAGCCAAAACAACTGGTGCATGGATTGTCACGAATGGATTAGATATTGGTAAATGAATTTGATTTTTTTTTTCCGCTTGTTAATAACAACACTATCGTTCTATTTTTATTTCTTTGCAAATTATTTCCTTATTGCGTAATATTCAAAGCTGTCATGATTTCCGAAAACTAGTCAGCTTGTCAAGTAAATCTTGTAAACCTTAGCTACATTTGGTTGGTAGATATGCTAGTAATTTTTTGTTTATGTACATTCAAAAATCAGGTTCTTCAATATCGTTAAATTGCCTTAGATGATACATAGTATTTAATGAATCATTTGTATATCGTACAATGTGCTCACCAGTGACTGGCTTCGTGAGGAAATTCTCGGAGTTCTAGTAAAAAGACGTGACCAATGAAGCTCAAACCTGTCGGATGCAGGTAGTAACTACCGAAGACAATTGGGTAAAGTTGCGCGAAAAACTTGGATTGATGAGAGTTTGTTACTCATGCACGTAAACACGTCAATTTGATATGCTTGAACCATTACGAGTTTACTTTGGTCGGAAAACTAGAGCGAGGATCGAGGATCCGGCGACACGACATACTACTCTAATCCGATTATCCCAAACCCTCATTGAGTAAAAGAAGAAGACTTGATTTGAAGTAGAACGTGTATTCTACAAGCATCCAGAAAGTACGAGGTCCAAGTCCAGGAAAAGGCAAGGATCCTGGTTCGAATCATGAAACGTTACAGATAATGCGTATTTATACAGTTAGGTCGAATAGGAAACAACATAGAAGTCTGCCACATTGACAGTTAGGACGACCATAAAATTCACCAGTGGGAACTGACCAATAGAATTAAAATTACAAGAATAATTCTCTTAGGATATTTGATGAATATCGTAACAGAGTTATACATTAACACCGGCTCAGTGGTCCAGAAGTTAAGCGTTTGCGTGCAAGACCGAAGGAAGTCGTGGATGCGCACTGCTGATGAGTCCCATACCAGTACAAAACAGCCGTCTAGAGTTTCTAGGTTTCTAATAGTAGACTAACAATGATTGACTCATGACAAAATGAATAAGTGTAAGGATAATGAAGTCTTAACTCTCCAAGTTGTTGTTTTTTCTAAAGTCTAAATACTTATCAATGATTAAAGTTCTCTTAAAAAGACAGTGTTTTAGAATTTAATGTTTTTATTCTTATATTCATATTGTTCATTTTCTATCACTAATTAGTTAATGCTATTTGGTATTCATAACATGCACACCACTCTAAAAGTGATGAACCTCTGACTTATTATCACTGTATAATATCGTACTAGACAATCGTTGTAAGCGAATCCTTACGATCATTGTCTTACTAAGATTCTTTTCAAAGTAATTCGAGCACTATTATCAGTTTTAGCTAACATTGTGTAGTGAACTAAGTGATTGACAGCTCATTCGATAAGAAGTCTTTATGTTAGCTGACACTTTTTTTCTCAAAATGTAACTGTCAGCCTACTTTATACATAATATCCATGTTGGATATGTGCAGTATTCCCGTTGTAGTTTGTTCTCTCTGAACCTCTCTTTATAGATAGATCTTGATGAAATGCCCTGAACAAGATGAATATATTTGTAATCATCAATCAATCATTGTTAGACCACCATTAGAAACCTGGAAGCACTGCACGACGGCCGTTTCGTCCTAGTATGGGACTCATCAGTGGCAGTGCGCATCCACGACTCCTGCTCCTCGCAGGATTCGAACCCAGGACCTTCGGTATTGTGCTCGAACGCCTAACCATTGGGCCCTTGGGCTGGTATCCAACGGTGTTAATGTCTTACTCTGATTGATCTAGGTATTTTGCGCGACCCCACCCATTTTTCTTTGGTAGTTACTGCCTACACCCGACAGGGTCGAACTCCATTGGTCACGTCTTCTCAACTAGAACTCCGAGAACTTCCTTGCGAAGCTAGTCACTAGTGAACAGTGTTACGATATTTTGGGGCAGAGTTTTGGAGGTTTGTGTTTTTACACACACTGCTGATGAGTCCCATACCAGGACGAAACGACCGTTCAGTGCTTCCAGGTTTTTAATGGTGATCTAACAATAATTGATTGATGATTTCAAATGTGTAAAAACACAAACCTTCAAAACTCTGCCCCAGAATATATTTGTATATTTTCTTAGTAAAATCACGTTCAAGTTTTTCTCACAACTTTTTATTCATTTTATTCATTTGTATATTGAATCGTTTTACTCATGTCTTCTTTCTTCTTATTATTATTATGATTATGACTATTATTAGTCTTTTACATACGCATAAAAGAAGCACCTCTCACAACGGATACTATTATCACTTATACTATTCAGTTGCATACAATGCAAATAATAATAATTTAACGCGTATATACGCCTGAATTCATTTAAATCGATTGTATAAATGACTGAATTTTTAAATTTGCCGGCTTTTATTTATTTTTGACGACAGTTGATCACGTGTAAGTTTGTTCACACTGACTACACAATAGAGAGAGAGATACATAATTAATTGAAGCGGCATTACTCTATAAATAAACCATTTCATTTTAACTGACTCCAAAAAAAAAACATTTTAATCTGTCAATCATTTTTTTCTGTTGTTGTTGAGACATATGTACAGAAATGAATCACGATCAAATTTTATTTTTTTTCCAATTACTTGAAACAAAAAAATAATAACAAGTACACTTATGTCGAATTGATAAGAATGATAATAATAATAATAATGTAGCCGAAACATTGTGTGCCATATAATATTACACTCACTATTTAAGAAAGTGATAAGCTCATCATTATCTACTTTTATCTACCTGTCATTCATTATAAATTATTGAACATCTTGATTGTTGTAATCTGTCTATCTGTCTGTTTTTTTCAAATTTAAATCGAATTTATTTAACTAACTAGTAGTATAATTGCTATGATTAATTGACTTATGTCTAATAATCATATGTTAACTAATGTATGCCAATGTACTGCATTACTACCACTTAATACTGATTCATTACTTACTTACTTACTTACTTACTTACGCCTGTTACCCCCAATGGAGCATAGGCCACCCACCAGTTTTCTCCAACCAACTCTGTCCTGGGCTTCCCTCTCCAGTTCTGTCCAATGTTTGTTCATTCCTCTCATATCTTTCTCTATTTCTCGGCGTAATGTGTTCCTTGACCTTCCTCTTTTCCTTTTGTCTTGAGGGTTCCATGTGAGGGCCTGTCTCATCACGCAGTTCGGTGCTTTTCGTAGTGTGTGTCCTATCCACTTCCACCGCTTCTTCCTGATTTCCTCTTCCACTATAATCTGGTTTGTTTTCTCCGACAGTACGTTGTTACTGATGGTGTCTGGCCAACGAATACGAAGTATTTTGCGTAGACAACTGTTAATGAACACTTGTAACTTCTGGATGATGGCTTTGGTAGTTTTGCAAGTTTCCGCTCCATACAGTAGAACCATCTTGACATTTGTATTGAAAATGCTGATTTTGGTTTTGGTTGAAAGTTGTTTGGAGTTCCAGATATTTTTCAACTGTAGAAATGCAGCACTTGCTTTGCCAATATGCTCCCTCACATCTGCATCGGATCCACCTTGATTGTCGATGATGCTGCCCAGATATGTAAAGGTGTTAACGTCCTCCAAGGCATCTCCATCGAGAGTGATTTGGTTGGTGCATGTTGTGTTGCATCGGAGAATTTCGCTTTTTCCTTTATGTATGTTGAGACCTACTGCTGCAGAGGCTGCTGCTACACTGATAGTCTTCTGTTGCATTTGTTGTTGCGTGTGAGATAGAAGAGCCAGGTCATCTGCGAAGTCCAGATCGTCCAGCTGCGTCCTAACTGTCCAGTTGATACCGTGCTTCCCTCCAGATGTTGACGTTTTCATAATCCAGTCGATGACCAGGAGAAAGAGAAAGGGTGAGGGTGAGCAACCTTGCCTGACATCGGTCTTCACCTCGAAAGAGTCTGTTAGCTGTCCATCGTGTACAATTTTTCAGTTGAATCCATCATAAGAATTCCGTATGATGTTAACTATTTTCTCAGGCACACCGTAGTGTCGAAGAAGCCTCCACAGTGTTTTCCGATCCACGCTATCGAATGCTTTCTCGTAGTCGATGAAGTTGATGTACAGTGGTGAATTCCATTCAATTGATTGTTACACAATGGTCCTTAACGTAGCAATTTGGTCAGTACACGATCAATCCTTACGAAATCCGGCCTGTTGATCTCGAAGTTGGACGTTTACGAAGTCCTTCACTCTGTTTAACAATACTCTGTTGAAGACTTTGCCTGGTATTGAAAGAAGAGTGATACCCCTGCAGTTTTCACATTTGCTGAGATTGCCTTTCTTTGGTATTTTGATCAGGTATCCTTCTTTCCAATCTGATGGTACTTGCTCCTCATCCCAAATCTTCTTGAAGAGGATGTGAAATATTTTCGCAGTTGCTTCTACATCTGCTTTCATTGCCTCTGCTGGAATGTTGTCTGGTCCTGCTGCTTTGCCGTTCTTGATTTGTCTGATGGCCATACTGATCTCCTCAGTCGTAGGTGCGCCAATATTAATTGGGAGGTCCGTGAATACTGATTCATTAGTAATATAAAATAAAGGTTTTTTGTGCTCAGCATAAAAATCTTGGATTGTTATTAGTGTTATTACACTTGCTTGAATCTTCATTAGTTGATGTATAGAACTGCAATTGATCAGCCTATTAGGGATATGTGCGATTTATTGCCTTTAGGTTACTATGTATATGTGTGTGTGGTTTTAAATCAAGCCCAAATGGCTTATTCCAAGCCATTCTAGCCGAGTTATTATTCACACGTCTTCCGACCTTGTCAAACAGTCACTTTTTTATTGGTTGTTTTTTTTTCGACTATGTGTGTACACGCTTACTTTGCTAATCGCATGTCTGGAGTTTTTTTGTCTGACTATAAATGCCGAGTCATGCCCCATCTCATTGAGTTGGCTCGTTCGCCTACTTCACTTCACTTTGCTTTAGTTGCTTGATGTTCTCACGTCTGTCTACATGAATGATTGCTGGAATTAAACGCATCCAACCGAATCCGTATTTGGCTTCTAATTACCGCCGTTGCACAAACGGGGTTTGCCCAAGTGTGATATACGGAGACTGAAGGGGAGATTTATTTCATAGCATATTCGACTGTTCGTGAATTTGAAGTCATATCATGGCGCCACTAAAATGCTGACCTGTACATTGAATCTAACGCAGCCACACATGCGTTACTAGCAGAGGTATATAAGGGCTAGTAGCGGAATCCAAGAGGTGCATTTTATCCTGTTTGAACTCGTCGATGGGATGTACCTACATCTCAAAGTTGATGTTCACTATAGGACTTATAAGTTCTCAATATTACGAAGTTTCAAACTTCTGTTGATTGATTTATTTGGATTTATGTTAAATAATTCCATATCGGAAAACGGCAGTGTATTGCGCTGTCTGCAGATGAATCCAGATTATCAAAATTATAGTACAGTCGATAACATAATTTCTTATTTGGTTACATCGCAATCACTTTAAACAACCAAACTCCAGTCCTCTGAAGTTTGAAGTCGTTGCAATCAGGTACCTGACACATGATTTATGTGTTTGAAAAGCGATAGGTGTTAATTATTCTTTACGTCGGTGATAAATATTCCTTCACTGAATCAATGGATTTTGTTCAACTGTTTCTTTTTTAAAGTAATTAAAGCATTACTTTTTATTTTGCCTTTGTTTTCCAAATTAATAATCTCATAGTTTAACAAACTAAGCTTTCTTCATTTCATTCTTATTATCAGTGTTTATCCATTCGGTAATCACTTGTTTCTAGCCTTTTGAATTTTTGTTATTATCAATTTTCATTACGGGGTTGTGAAGATTGTTAAGTTACACATTTTTGAAACCATGAATCGATCAATGTTAGACCACCATTAGAAACCTGAAAGCACTGGATGGCCGTTTCTTCCTGGTATGGGACTCCTCAGCAGTGCGCATCCACGACTCCTGCACCCTGCAGGATTCGAACCCAGGACCTTCGGTACTGTAGGCGAACGCCTAACCATCGGACCACTGAGCCGGTATATAACGGTGTTAATGTCTAACTTGATCAGTTCCCGGAGTTGCGCAACCTCATACACAGTCTTCTGTAGAAACTGCCTACACCCGAACAGGTTGAACTTCACTGGTCACGTCTTCCCACTAGAACTCGGAGAAGATGTAACCAGTGAAGTTCAATCTGTTCGGGTGTAGACAGTGTCTACAAAGACTGTGTATGAGGTTGCGCAACTCCGTGAATTATCAATTTTGTACAAACAAATTCTTTTTACACAAGGTACCCTGTTAGAATATTTTATTCAGTCTATAAAAATTTATTTACACCTTTGCAATATTATACTGATGTGTGTGATCATAACAAATTTTCAACTAAACTCTTTCATTTCATAATTATGATTTTTAATTATGACAAGTTGTAAGTAGTAGCTTATTAGGATTAAATGAGAGGAAAAATGAATTCATACTACTCTGCTTAACTCTTTGTTCTCTCTTGTCAAGTTGATAACACAGAACTATATGTATGATATTTACTTTTCAAAAGTGATCAATCATTCATCCCTTCTTTCTCAATGTGTATGATGGTACTTGACAATCACGTGATATAGTTTATTTCAGCAAATTATTTATTTATGAATTTGATGTCACAGCATTTCTTCTTGTTTCTTTATGTGTTTTTGTTTTTCTTTTCTCTATCACAATGGAATTAGGTGTTACACGACATATTGGTGAAGCATTAAAAGATGAAGTGCATATTCGTGGTTCTAATATTGTTGCACTTGGTATAGCACCATGGGGTTATGTACAACATCGTGAAACACTTATTGGATTAGATGTAGGTGTTATTTTTATTCATTTGCATTGAATATAAAATAACACTCTTTTTAATGAATTATATTTGTGTAATTTCCTAATGACTAATTTCAATCTTAGATTTCCTGGAATTTCAGTCTAATAGTATCAAGATCAATAGATGAAGTAATGAAACTTCATCAGTTGAGGTGTTTGGGAAATGTGCTGCGTATGCCTAAGCACCGACTGCCTCGACGAGCTTTGTTTTGTAGTGTAGGAGTAGGCTGAAAGAAAGCTAGGGGCGGCCAAACAAAAACATGGCAGAAATCAATGAAGTCATTAACGAGTAGAGTTAGCCATGTCGGTAGTTGTTGACTACCTGGTTGGGGTCCGCGAGATGATAATAATCGATGGTTAGAGACTCTGAATGACATGGCTCAAAACCGTGTGCAGTGGCGCCGGCGCATTCATTCTTTGTGTTCTCTCAAATCCTAATCTTCTGGATTCTTCAACACCTCTAGTTTTGACTTTCTTAACTTATCTCACTGAATCATACTTCTTGAATAATATCTTCTAATCCTAACCTCTCCGATTACTTTTAATACCTTTACTACCTCTACTATTATTGGATTTGAATTGACAATTATATCTCTGTGCTGATGTGGTATGGCAACATGAACTGATGTACTTACGTACGAAGTTCTACGTTGCATCTGACTGGCTGATCAAGATTGACAATAATGACTTACTAATGATATATCAAAGTTTGATTCACCTGTATCGCGTGAATTGATTTGATAAGAATAGAAATTATACATCAAAACAATCTAAATCGATAACTTGAATTTATCTAGTTCACTGTGAGATCATTGTGTTGTAGATTCTATCTCATTTGAAATGTTATGTCCAATTTTAGTTTTGTCCATTTCTTGCACTAAAACACATAATACACTTTTAAAAAAAGATGATTTGGGAAAAATAAAGATTAGCAGCCCAAATACTTTCTTTACAATGTGTCTACCTTCTATTTCACTGTATTTGCATGTATATGCTTGCTTCTTCGACAAGGTCTATGTGTGTGTTTAACCTATTTCAATCAAAATTAATGCGTTTAAACTCTAGTACTTTGTTTATATTGTCGCCTGTGCATAAATATTTTTATCTCTGTATCCAAGGTATCTGATTAGATTTTATCCTGTAATGAATGAATCGATAGGAAGAAAAAAAACACTGTACTTATTGCCATAAAGATGTGGAATTTGTCTGTAAACAAACACTTTTCCTAACAGACCTATCATGTTTTTTTTTTTGATTGACGAAACGTTAAGAAAATGTATTTGTTCGTCAAGCTCTAACCTCAAACGTAAATCTGGTTATCGAATCTACTCTTAAAATATCATCTCTAAGAGTTCTTCTCTTTAATTATTTTGGTTGATGTCAATGAATAAGTTGTGGTCTTAATGATAATAAAACTCAACTTTATCACTCACTTGTTATGCTTGCCACCAGTTGATATGCTTGAAACTATTACGAGTTCACCTTAGTCGGTAAACGAGAGCCAAGACAAATGATCCAGTGACACGATAGGCTGCTCTAATCCGAGCGTCCAAAGGCCCAACTAAGTAGTGGAGGAAGTCTTGATATTGCGTATAAATTGTATTCCACAAGCACCCAGAAAATATGAGATGAACAAGCACACAAATCGAGTTTATTTATATATATGATAGAAACGTCCTTGGGAGAGCCACAAAAATAGTGTACTAAAATAATACATCAACCAATAACAGATAAGGATTTTCCTGGTGGGAAATGTAATCTCAATGTCAACTGATCAGTCCATGCTCGAAAGCATAAAATCCAAAATTAGGACCTTTATGAAGTGAGTTCTGGGGATCTAACGTTCCCAACACCTCCTTAAGTAGTTGATTTTCTAATTTAATAAGAAAAAATCATCCGATACAAGGTCACAAAAAGAAATTCATTGTTATTCTATCAGTTTGTTTATAATTGTGTAATTGAAGACAAAATAGACGTTTATTGCAAACTTTAGGTATAATTCTTTGTGATTACGTTCGGAAATTATGAAAATGGTTTGTTTATCTAACAGTTGTTTGCATAAAAATACACGTGTTCCAATTAGTAATGGTACGTTAGTGAACAAGGAGGCAAAGCCTAGAGACACCATATATTCCTCATCTCCATTTAGATAATCTAACTTGAAAATCAAACCAAAAACATTGTTAACGCTTTTGCTTAATTTGCCGAAGAGTTCCAAAATTCGGAACAACCACTTTGCAGTTTTGTGCTATGAAGAACAATACATAGATTTCATAAATTCCTTGAAGAAGCCCTTGTTTTTAAACTTTGGATAAACTGTAGATTTTTGATGTGTTCCATCTAATAGGCTTCAGCTAACTATACATAGTTTGAGTAATTATTTCCTTGTGTTATAATTCTTCCAGAGAATCAGTTAGTTGCTTTCCTCTCTTTACAACTGTCTTTATTGTCACCAAATTCTTGGAAGTTTGTACGATCCTTTAACATTTAGTTCAGTTCATCGCTATGATCGGCTTTTTTTCCACTGAAAATATCTTTCCACCTTTGTCTGACTTACTTGAAATCAACGTGGTACATCCTCACTACATTTTTGTGTAGAGTCCCAATATTGTTAGGTTAGCAGACAGTTTGCGACATACTCACTATTTTTGTGCTGTCCACAGTTATCAGCCTAGCGTGTTCTTAAAGTAACTCCAGATCCAAGATTTCTATTTATAAAAAATAACACTCAAACTTCATCTCTGTATCTAAAAGTCTCTGACAACATAGCACTTCACTTGATACTGAAAAGATTATGAACGTACTGCTTCGGGTCAATAGGAAAATTCCTTTCTCGTTTTCGGTGTCCAACAGATTTCACTTATTTAACGCTGATGCCCTCAGAACCAGCTTTTTGTAATTTTGTTCACATAGTTAGTAAAAGGTGATTTTATTTCTAGTGGTCAGTTTTCAGTAGAAAATTTTATACAACAATAAATTTAAAAACAGCAAATCAACAAAAGATTACTGCTTTTTATTCTTTTTATTGCTTGTACGTGTGTAAAACACTTTCTTGCATTATGCAAAGAATCTGCTTCGATTATTTCTCAAACAGTTATAGTTTATCATAAGAGATAAAACTATAATCCGGTGAAATGACGAAAAGGAATCACGCCTAAGAGCCAGATCTTAATTCACTAGAGAGCTAGTGACCTATGAAAATCATACCTGTTAAACACTTGTAATGTTGAATCATGTTTATGATATAACCCCGACCTGATAATCAAATATCAGTCAAATATATTGTACTATGATACATAACAACCTGCTGAAATGTATTCATTTACATTTAAAACGTACATCATTATTAAACTTCGATCCTTTGCTCCACAGGCTTCTTGGTAATCGTTCTTTAAGGACTAATTATTGTGAGATGGTGGAGAAAATTTGTAGGTCAGGTGGATGATTATGATGGAGTTTCGTTCTCGTAGCTTGTTCTCTTGACATCGACCTTGTTTGGTTGTTATTGAGTCATACGTGGAGAAATTCGAATACCTCACTTCTACCTGAAGTTTGTGCCGATGATGTTCACCAGAAGAACAACGAAAGCTGCACAACCAAAACATTCAGCTCAGAGAATGAAACTCCATCACGTTTAATTATTGTGTTTTCTAATATCTTGGGTAATCTAATGCTATGTCACCTATTCTCATCTATCCGATTCAAAATAAAGATATGTTAGTGACCGTAATTACCTAAAGTAACTTAGCTGAATTAGCTCCTAATACCAGAAGTTTAGAAGATCAGAAAAAGTAAACCTTTTATTCCTTCTGCAATATTTCATACCACATTGGAGAACACATAAGTATTTGAAGAATATTTCGATGTATCTTTGAAAAACAGTCATTTATGACGGATAGCTATGTACACACTGTCTAAAAATTTAAAATGACTATTGATCTAAGTTGATTTAGACTGAATTTTCGGAATATAGTGCATTTTTTTTCACACCTAATTTGTATCGTTTCAATAGTCTAAATCGTGTAGAAATCTGCATTATCCGTTCATGTGAGGTCATAAACACTTTCTTAAAGTATAATAAAAAAATTTAAACAAGTCACTGCTGTCCAGTTGTTTTCAAACACAACTGACACAATAACAAGATCCTATGCCACTTCATTCGATTCAGATCTTCTGTTGTATCTATCGATTTTTCTGTTAAGCTACCTCATTCATTTAAACGCACTCAAATCTATTTGTCATTATCTGTTTGAAATTATTTCTTTTTGCAGAATACATGTTCCTATTATTCACAAGGCTGGAGACCTGGTCGTCAAGAAGCTCCACTTAATTCAGATCATAACTATTTTCTATTAGCCGACAATGGAACATCAGGTAAATTTGGCGGTGAGTTAGGTCTTCGTCGACGTCTAGAACAATATCTTGCACAACAACCAATTGATATGCGACGTTATGGTGAGTAGTTAATGCTGAACAGTAGTATACTATATTACTTCACAATCTAACTCCCTGATTTTATTTTGACTATTTTTTTTAAGTCAATTGAAGCTTTCAGGATACTTTATTTAATGACGCTATCAAACTCTACTGTTTGGCTGAAATTTTAAAATGCATTCAGTGTAATTCTATTTTGTTGTTGTTGTTGTTGATGTGTATATCATTCATTCTATTAAATTATTTCAATTTAGGAAAATTAACACGAGCACCTGCATTGAATGTCAATGAAACAGGTGAAGTAACCGGTGTAAAAACACGTTTTATTGAACACGGGTATACCAAAATGATACCGAATCGTTTTCGTTATCTTTTACGGGGCAAGTAAATTCATTTGGGTTGTTGTGACTTTCTTTTTCCCTCTCTCTCTCTATCTCTCTCTTGTCACATTATTAAGCACTTTTTTTTTAAGCACGTAGACTTAGACATTAGGAGACACTAATTTGTCACTTATACACACATACACACATAGACACCCAAAACATCTTTTATTTTTTTTCATTCTCCTTCTCTTATGTAAAATTCAGAATTTCAGAATTTTATATTGTTAACGTCTTGTTAACGTCTTGATTAGATTGAAACAAGTGTATTTCACAGTGTGTTTGTTTGATTTTTTGACAGTAAAAAATGTCATGATTAGTAATTTTTTCTAAAGTTACAATTAAAAATTAATTTCATATTATCAACATTATTCACGGATTGATTACTCTGACTAACTAACTTTCTATACGGTAATTGTACTTGGGATAATTTAGTTTCGTTTTCGCACATTTTATTTTCTTTAACTAACGAATGAACTAGCACTTGTTTAACTTACTTACGGATAAGTTATGAGTGTCAACTTGATTATATCTAAATTTGGTTGGAATAATTGTGTTAGGATATTCATTCAATATCCTAAGACAATTATTGGTCAATTCCTATTCGTTAATACCTACTGGCCACTTTTATGATCGTCCTAGATATCGATGTCACGTACTCCAATGTTGTTTCTTATTATTGGTTGTCCTGACTATCAATGTCACTTCAAATGTTGTTTCCCATTGGTCGTCTTAACTGTCAATGTCACAGACGTTGATGTTTTTTCCTATTCAACCTAAATGTATAAATAGGCATTATCTGTAATGTTCTATGACCCGGACCCGGACCCGGACCCAGATCCTCAGTCCGGGATCCTTGCATTCTTCTGGACTTAGACCTCGTACTTTCTGGATGTTTGTAGAATTACAGGTTCTACTTCATATCAAATCTTCTTCTTTTATTCAATGGGGGTTTGAACACTCGGATTAGAGTAGCATGTTGTCTCACCAGATCCTCGATCCTCGCTCTCGTTTTTCGACTAAGGCAAACTCGTAATAGTTCAAGCATATCAAATTGACGTGTTTACGTGCATGCGTAACATTACCCAGCTGCTACTTTTGCACTAATGATAGCGTATTTTAAAATAAAAACTGTCCACAATTATTTTATTATGTTCTGTTGAATCATTTTGATGAAACTCAGTATTGTTATTATTCACAAAAAAATCAATGACACTTCTTTTTTGTTCGTTGAATGTGTATAGTCAGCCACTTTATATTGTCTACCAAGTGTTGAACTAACCAATTAATCAATCTGTTAAACACTAAGTCACTATGAAGTACGTTTTACTTTTCTCATCAGTTGATTACTTGCTAATCATTGTTGGTGTAATGTTTGTACATTACGATTACTAATTAGACAGAAGATCAATCAATCAATCAATCAATGAAATACAACGTAGAACTTTGTAAGTACGTACATCAGTTCCAGTTGCCATATCACATTAACACAGAGATGTAATTGTCAATTCAAATTGCATAATAGTAGAGGTAGTAAAAGTAAACCCTGCTCTGGGAGTTAGAAGGTCTTCCATTTAAAAGAGTTATGACTTCTCATGATGGAAGCCGAATTCCTTTGGAAGTCACGAGGCCGATGCCTCTTCTAATAACCAGAACCCTTCCATGGTATGAGCAGCCGGGAAGTAACATCCGTCCTCATACCCATAAAAGCACACGAGACCCAATTGGTCACAATTGGAGAGAAGATACTTATAGTCTATTATTGTGAAGAATTTATTAGGCTGTTTTTTTTGTGTTGTGAAAATCCATTCCTTCATAATCAATCACCTTTATACACCATCAACCTGTTATCTTAGTGCCCAAATTGTTTTTTATAATAAAAAAACATGAGGAAACAAGAAAGTTAACTGTGTTTCACTTTGAGCAAAATGTTTTGCAACGAATAAACTGTAAAAGTCACACTATCATATTTCTAAAGATTATCACTGAAAAGTGATAAGTTCACTTGAAATTTTTTTTGGAAATGTTCAAATCAAAATTTTATTTATGAAACAAACGGATTGCTACTCTCTTTTTTCATGCAGTTTCGTTAAAGTCTGTGGCTTTTAATATTTTCGCTTGAAATTACTTCATCCTGGTACACTAAATCAATACACTTCAAATGATAGAAAACATGAGGCACAAAATACTGTTTAGTTAAATTTTATTCTCCTGTTACAAACGCACTAGTATTGGTCGTATCTTGTAGGTTTTATTCGTTACAAATTAGTTCCTGTTAAGTTACTAATGAAAACTCAGAGATCACTGACTGGATAACAGTTTTATATCAGTATAGAACTCCTCAAAAGTAAGCACCGAGAACCTCATTTGCCATCGAACCTAGAACTTTTAGATCTAGCAGCAAACAGATAGTCATGATAGCCATTATAGATTGGTGTCTAGTAGTACAGTTTCTACTTTAATCAATTTGTGATAAAAAAAGATAGTGACCATTTAATGACGATATTAATTATGATGATTGTTTTATTTCCAGTATTTCTGATTTTCGTCAGTCGCAACTTTCCACAAGAACATCATGAAATATATTTTATTAGTGAACTGATTGCTTTTTATTCATTTTCAAGAGGTCTTATAAAGATTAGTTAGTGGGACTAAACAGCTATTCAGTGCTTAATAGTTTTCAATAATATCCCAAATGAGATTAATTGGTGACGAATACAATCTATATTTATAAATTTCCTTTTTTAAAAACTATTACGCACTGCTTCCAGTTCTTCTGTTTCACGTTCTCATGTACATCATCCCACTCTAAATTACTTAATAGTACTCAGTGTTATTTAAGGTTCAAATTAATTTGATAAGAATATTGAACTAATTAAAACACCTAAGATTGATAATTTGCCTATATGCTACCTTGACTTTAAAATGTTTAACTGAACAGATTTATTGCATGAAAAGGTTGTGGAAATTGTTGAGTTACTTTTGAAAATCATGAATCGATCAATGTTACCTACTTACTTTACTTACGCCTATTACCCCCAATCGAAACAAAGGTTGCCGACCAGCATTCTCCAACCTACTCTGTCCTGGGCCTTCCTTTCTAGTTCTGTCCAATCGCTGTTCATTCTTCTCATGTCTATCTCCATTTCTCAGCATAATGTGTTCTTTGGTCCTCCTCTTCTCTTTTGGTCTTGAGCGCTTGTCTTTCGACGCAGTCAAGTTCTATTCACTTCCAACGCTTCTTCCTAATTTCTTTCTCCACTGGAATCTGGTATGTTCTTTCCCACAGTAAGTTGTTACTGATGGTGTCTGGTCAATGGATCCAACTGCTGATAAGCAATTGTATCTTCCGGATGATGGCTTTCGTAGTCCTCTAAGTTTCCGACCTATACAGTTGATCTATCTTGACATTTGTATTGAAAATTCTGATTTTGGTGTTGTTGATTGATAATTGTTTGGAGTTCCAGATGTTCTTCAACTACACAAATACATAGCCCTTGATTTACTGATCCGCGCTAATCGATCAATGTTAGATTGTGTAAAATAATATCACGTATTCTATTAACTTTTTTTTGTAGGTAATTAATTTATATCATCTCCGAATATTTTTGATGATATTGATTTTTTATAAATTTGACAAAGTATTTAATTCGTACTACTGAACTTTAGCACAATTCATCAATATAGAAGTTTCGCCTTAATAAGAGATACTTCAAATAGAATTCGCTCAAATTTCAAACTGCCATGTGAGAATAACTCTTATGTTAGATAACTAACTACCTTCTAGACAAGTAGAATAAGTTAGTCAATCAATGAAGGTATGGTGTAGAGATGATGAAGAAAATTTGTAGCTCAGGTGGATGATTGTGATGGTGGTGTTTGGTTCTCTGAGCTGGATATTTTGATTGTGAAGCTTCCAATGTCCCTCCACTGAACAACATCATCAGCACAAACTTCAGATGGAAGTGAAGTATTTGAATTTCTCCACGTTTAACCTGTATCTAGTTCTGCTAACCTCGATCTTGATTTGTTGTTGTTGACCTTAAACCTGTCGTTGTGTTGCTCCTTTATTTTGATTGTATCCCCTTTTGATCTGTTTCTTGATTCTATGTCACCTATGATTTTCCTGATACAATCAAAACAAAGGCGCAACACAACGACAGGTTTAAGGTCAACAACAACAAATCAAGATCAAAGTTAGCAGAACTAGCTACTGGTCAAACGTGGAGAAATTCGAATACTTCACATCCATCTGAAGTTTATGCTGACGATGTTGTTCAGAAGAACAATGATGAAAGCTTCACAACCAAAATATCCAGCTCAGAGAACGAAACACCACCGCGAGGGTATGGTGGTGGATATATTCAATTCTCCCAAACGCCCTTTAAAACATTTAAAATTTACTCATCATTAGTTCATGTAATATTTTGATTAACGCAATTAGAATCCTGTTTGTTTGATGATTCTTTCTGTTTTTTTATTCTTGACTCATTTTCACCTGCATTGCAACTTAAACCCTTGATAAAGCTGTTAATAGATTTATTTTCTTGTATACCTTTTTCTGTTTCCTGAAGTCATCAATTCTCCAAAAAATTCAAACTGTTTGATATTCACTTGTAAATTTTCAAATCTTTCACATCACAAACACAGACAGATAGTAGCAATCAGTAGAGTCTAGGATGCGGGTTTCGTTTACTTAGGACTCCTCAGGCGTGCCAGAATCTATGTCCACCCTGGGACTCGAACTCACTACTGATTCATCCAGCTTCCAAGTGTTAAATATGCCAAAACATTCATCCTGGTTTCTGCTGACAGTTACCAACTCTCTCTGCTTGCCAATGCAATAATATCAGCACAGGATGTACTAAAGCTAAAAGTGACTGGTCGATTTCTGTCCTAAACATGTGTTTAAAAAATATGCATTCAAAAATTATCGTTCGATAAGTTCTTTTTGCACTACAATAACAATGATATTTATATATATTCACACATAAAACACCCACTATGCTTGCTACCTTGTACAAATTTCACAATTAAGCCAATTTTAATTCTTTTCACATAAATATCAATCACACACAAACCATTTTCCTTGATTATCACCATACATTTTGTTAAATTTATGATTTTTTTGCCTAGATTTGTTTAGAAAATTGATAATATTTGTTAACTTTATACTAATTTAATTAAAAATGACTGTTTATAGTAAAGATCATTTAATGATATTATTTAAAAGATCATTTTTAAATACGAAGCCCCAAATAAGTGTTTCGTCTTAATAAGAGACTTCTCAGTTGTACACATCTACTACCTCACAACTAGTCGATTGAATCTACAACCCACATATCGTGTTGCTGTCACTCAATCTTTAGACCACTGAGTATATATCCCACGATTCAAATGTCTAACTCCAATCAAATTGCGACATTGTGCAACTATCTTCCGATCCCATTAGTGGGTAACTCTGTCTCACACATGACATGGCTTAACTCCACTGATCATAACTTCTCATCACAACTCCAAGAATACCTTTCGAAACTAGTATCACCAGTAAGTACATGAATGATTATTACTAATGTAGGACGTTTGTGGAAATTATCGAATTTCATAGTTTACTTCACGGTTTGCTCAAAAATCTTGAAACACATCATTGTTAACTTTTATTCAATTTGAATAGATAAACATGTTTTACAAATTGACATTAGTTAGAAAGTGTTCGAAAGCTAAATTGAGTAGTATTTCTAGGCCCGTAAATAGTCTTGAAATTCAACCTTTAGGAACCTGTTTTCAAGGCTCAGGCGATATGTACGTCATTTAAGATGAAAACGTTATGCCATTAATAAAACATTTTTAAGCCTCATCTGATTAAACTGCTGTGAAAAATCGTATATTTTTATTGAACTCAATATCAGCGTCTATTATCAACTGTTCATGAGGATTTTAAGTTTTATACACGGCTAAAATTAAGTAGGACTCTCCTTTCAGAATTTAAAAACTGTAGTAATTCACTATGAGCAAAAGTTCTTCCCGTTATCAGCATTCCAGACAATTCAGTAGTTCGGTAAAATTTTCTTCTGGTATTTTATTCTCCGAGCTGGATGTTTCGGTTATGGAGCTTTTTCATTATTGTTCTTCTGAACAACATCATCAACACAAACCACCGGATAGAAGTGAATTATTCGAATTTCAGATAGAAGTTTATGCTGATGATGATATTGTTCAGAAGAACAATGATGAAAAAGCTAGCTCCACAACCGAAACATCCAACTCAGAGAATGAAACACCACAATAAAAACAAATCTAAATCAATGTTATACTTTTATTCATCTACATTATGATTTTGACCAGAACAATTTTATTCTTATCTATACACAATTTGTCTTTCATGAATATTCTTGTTTGAATTTTCCCACTTAAGAATTTATGCTTTTTCTCACTTCTTCGTCTTGTTGTTCAATTCAATTTTATGAAATTTTTTTTCGAAAATTCCATACAAAAAATTATTCCCATTTTCTTTGTCTTATTCTTTGTTTGTTTGTTTGTTTAGGTGGATCGAAATCACGTGTTCCAATTGTTGGTGTACTATTAGAAGGTGGAACACAAACTTTTCGTACTGTATTCGAATTAGTCACAGGTCGTAATCCAGTCCCAATTGTTGTATGTGATGGTAGTGGTCGTGCTGCAGATCTTTTAGCATTTATGCATCGTTATGCAAATGAAGATGGGTAAGCTATGCTTTGTGTATTCTTTTGGATTTCTAATTTGAATAATAAAAAAAATAACTATTCAAATAATCAGACAGACAGATACAACACAGAACTTCGTACGTACGTGTACATCAGTTCAGGTTGCCATACCACATCAGCACAGAGATGCTGCTGTCAGTTCAAATCCAAGAATGATATAGCAATAATAGAAGTATTAGCAGCGAATGGAGAAGATTAGGGAGCGAAGATATGATTCGAAAAGTATAATTCAGTAAGATAAATTTAGAAGCAGAAAGGTAGAGATTATGAGCAATGCAGAAGGTTAGAATTTCATAGAACACAAAGAGTGGATGCACCTGCGCCATTGCAAACGATTTTGAGCCATGTCGTTTAAGCTCTCTAACCATCGGTGACTATCGTCCCACGGACCCCAACCAGATAGCCTACATCAACCAACATGACTCAGTCCATTTGTCACTGACTTCATGGATTTGTGCCATGTTTTAGTTTGGCCGCCCCTAGCTTTCTCCCAATCTACTCCTACGCCACAAAAAACAGCTCGTCGCGGCAGTCGGTGGTTAGCCATACGTAACACATATCCCAACCTCCTCAAATGATGAAGTTTCATTTGAATAATCGGTTAGCAGTTGGATAGAGTAATCAATTTAGATTGTAATCAGTCATATAGATTTTTTTATGTGTGTGGATTATTGAATTTTATAGCTCATATCACAGAATAACAGTAAGCAGAAAGTGCAATCAGTTTTTTCACCAACACTACTACGGAAGGTCAGCTGTCATTCTAGCTTTGTAACATCCTTCCAGTCTCTCCCCCCCCTCGTTTCTCTCGTTGAAATGTTTTATCCACTTGAACAAAAGGTGTTTTTGTTAATTTGTCATCTCTGTGCATAGCTTTCAATATTTCATGAATTACCTGAAGGGGGTTTAGAGTTAAGTTCCACCGAGAATGTGTTATCTAGTCGCCATACTTTTTAAACCGATTCACTCTTTTTCTGAAATCATTGATGATACTCGAACATATTTAATCTTAACTTTCTCTAGCCTATTTTCTAATAAATTTTATGTCCATCATTATTGTGTTACAAAGTCCGAAAGCAGGCATAGTAGTAAATCAGACAATGTTATTTGTTTTAAGACTGCAAACTTTTACATCTCATCTGTTGAGTACGGTCATCAGATTCATTCATTTTCTCCTGCTAACATGAATTTCATACTATAAATATCCTTAAAACATCTCCTTTACCTCTTTCTATATTGTTCACATGGTTTATTATTATTAAAGCTAAGGGCGGCCATACCAAAACATGGCACAAATCCATGAAGTCACTGACAAGTGGATTGAGTCATGTTAGTAGATGTAAACTACCTAGTTGGGGTCCGCGAGATGAAAGTCAACGATGGTTGAGATCTTGAACGACATGGCTGAAAATCACTTACAATAACACAGGTGAATCCATTATTTGGCTTCTACCAAATCCTAATCCTCTGGATTCCTTATCACCTCTATCTTTCTCTTTCTAAAGTTATCTCACTGAATTATACTTCTCGAATCATATCGTCGCTCCCTAATCTTCTCCATTACTGCTAATACTTCTATTATTGCTATATCACTCTTGGATTTGAACTGACAGTTACGTCTCTGTGCTTATGTGGTATGGTAACTTGAAGTGATGTACTAGTGTACGAAGTTCTACATTGTCACTGACTGACTGGTTCATTATTATTATTATTATCAGTATTATTATCATATTGATTATAACTTGACACCTTGTAATAAATCATTCCAACCTCTTGTTAATAAAATAACCTTTGTAATTTAAAAATCACACATATTTTTGAAGTGATTACACTGTGCCAAACACAAAGTCTATCAATTTTTTTTTTTTTGAAAAAAAAAAAAACAAATACCATTGTCTTATTCACTAACATGCCTTATTTTAACATTTTAACACAATAATAATTACACATTTTTGAAACCATAAATCGATCAATATTAGACCACCATTAGAAACCTGGAAGCACTGAAAGACGGCCGTTTCGTCCTGGTATGGGACTCCTCAGCGTTCGCCTGCCATACCGAAGCTCCTGGGTTTGAGTCCTGCGAGGTGCAGGAGTCATGGATGTGCACTGCTGAGGAGTCCCATACCAGGACGAAACGGCCGTCTTTCAGTGCTTCCAGGTTTCTAATGATGGTGGTCTAACATTGATCGATTCATGGTTTCAAAAAAATGTGTAACTTAACAATCTTCACAACCCCGTAATACAATAATAATTGACATTTGAAAAGCCTGTTGACTAAAGTATTGTTTGTTTTTGGAATTACTCACTCCATAAGGAATTTTCAAACTGCTAAACTAAATGTCGACATTAGGCATTCAAAAGCTCAAGTCGTCAACTGTTACTTTGTCCAACGTTTATTCGGTTTCAATTATTATTATTTTTTTGTTTAGTTTATCTGTTCGTTTGTTATGAAACTTTAGTTTAAATCTGGTTATATATATATACCGAAAACCTTTGTCCATTAATTTAGTATATATGTTTTTTCCGTTTCGTTTTTTTTCTTAATTCAGTGATCTTAGCACACAATTACGTGATCAAATGGTTGCCAATATATCTAGAGCTTTTCAAATTCGACGTTTCGAAGCGGAAGGATTGTATAGTGAATTGAAATTATGCATGAAACGTCGACATTTAGTAAGTTCACTCAATGTCTTAATTATTTTGTCCGTATTTTTGTCATTTATAATCTTGTTATATTTAATTTAATCATGTGGATTACTATATATATTGGATTTATTTCCCTGTGATGGATAAAATTTTCCCTAAGTAATTCTAATTCTGATTGGTTAAGATTTTACAACCTATGAAATTGGCATAATTATTTCTTTGTTACATAAATCTTTGTATTGAAAGAAAAAAATACTAGAAATTTCTCATTTAAAATGAATTTGCATTCGTTATAAAATTCTTACGTGAAATAAACAAACAATAAGAGGCTGTTCATCTCTGAAATGGGAAAATTCAGAGGCAGAGGTATCACGAGGATGCAACTAATATATTATATATTACGGGGTTTTGATGATTATTAAGTTACACATTTGAAATCATGAATCGATCAATGTTAGACCACTATTAGAAACATGGAAGCACCAAAAGACAGTTGTTACATCCTGGTAAGGGACTCATCAGCACTGCGAGTCCACGACTCCTACACCTTGCAGGAGTAATTCCGACCCAGGACCTTCGGTCTTGCGCGCGAACGCCTAACCACTGTTTCGAATCCTGCGAGGTGCAGGAGTCGTGGATGCGCACTGCTGATGAGTGCAATACCAGGACGAAATGACCGTCTTTCAGTGCTTCCAGGTTTTTAATGATGGTTTACGATTGATCGATTCATGATTGCGAATGTTATATATATACATATATATATATATATATATATATATATATATATATATCACTTATTCTATGTCTGTCCGCTCTTTTTTCCCTGTGAAACCAATTTATGCCACATAATTAACCATATATATAATGTTCTGCTCAAGCGATCATGAAATTATATATATATATATATATATATATATATCGTTAAAACGATTTTCAAGTGCAGTTGTTTCCCGCCTTTCAAACACTCGAATTCCAACACACTGGTTTTCAATATTAAACCTCATTGTTTTTTTACCCATATTCTATTTGAATGATCCCAAAGTATACTTGTCTTCTTGCATATAAATCTAGGTTGAGTAGTAGTACATGTATTGTCATGTATTCTTCGGTACACGCATACGTATTTAGTTATTACATCTATTGTTATGTATTCATCGATTCATCTAGTAGTAGTTGTAGTAAAAGTACCTCTTTTTTTTCTCTCTGTAATTCAAATCAAATGTAAAATTTGTTGTTGTTTCACGGATAAAATCATGCAATCGGACTTTCAAAATAAAAAAAATAAAAGTAGTTTGTCATTTGACCTACAACCCCTCCTCCCCCCACTACCACCACCAAAAAATTAAAATCATCCGAACTAATAAATTATTCAATTATTTGTTATTTTTTTTATTGCTTGTAAATTTATTCTGTCAAAAAAATCAAATTAAAAAATTAAAAAAAAATAACGGGATGATTATTTTGTAATGAAATGATCATTTGACTGTATCAATCAAAGTGTGTGTGTGTATGTATGTGTGTCTATCTATATGTATGTCTATGTTAGGAGTATGTAAACTTGGCCGTTTTAAAAAAAAATTCTGTAAATGTATTTCTATTTCTATTTTCTTTTTAAAAAAATTTATAATTAGTATGAGTGTAAACATGTATTTCTACTTCTATTTATTTTTCAAAAATTTATAATTAGTATGAGTGTAAACATAATGATAATCGAAATAGTTTATGTTCATCTCTATGAGTTAGTTAGTTAGGTAGTTGATCATGTTAATTTTCACCTGAACTTAATAGATTACAAGATATATATGTGTGTGTAAATTGTTCAGTCAGTCATTAGTTCAATAGTTCAAATTGCTATACGACATTAGCACAGAGAGACGCATTCGTCAGTTCAAATCCCATAGTAGAAGTATGCGCAGTAATCGGAGAGATTAAGGTTTGAAGATATTATTCAATAAGTATAATTCAATCACATAACTTTAGAAAGAAAAAGTTAGGAGTGATGAGGAATTCATAAGATTAGAATTTCAGAGAAGACAAAGAGGAGCTGCTTTTATGTCATCGCATACGATTTTGAGTCATGTCATTCAGGGTCTCTAACCATCGATTATTATCATCTCGCGGGTCCCAACCAGGTAGTTTACACTTACCTACATGACTCAATCCAGTGTTCAGTGAATTCATGGGTTTCTGCCATGTTTTGATTTGGCCGCCCCTAACTTTCTTTCAACCTACCATTACACCACAAAACGTAGCTCGATGAGGCAGTCAGTGGTTGGGCATGCGTAACCTGTGTCCCAACCACATCAACTGATGGAATTTCAATATTTCATCTACTGATCTACCATCCTTACCTAGTGCTGGATTACTTTCGCCTGACAACCATCGTGGAGCATAGGCCATCGACCAGCAATCACCAACCAGCTCTGTCTTGGACTCTATTCCATGTACCTACTATTAATTGTTGTTCTGGCTGTCAGAAGGTGTATCGGTCTCGTGACTTTCCAAGAAACTCGACTTTCATCATGAGACGTCATAACTCTGCGAAATGAAGACTTTCTAACTGCCAGGGCAGATTTTAAATGACTTAAGCGTTTTTTTTAGCAAGACTGCTCACATGAAGATATTACACATCACATTAGTTATGTAATACATATTAGTGAATGTAAAGAAGTTGTAGTAAAAACAGTAAAAGAATGTTAAAGGATGATCTTAAAAAAAATTAAAGAATTGATGCAGCCTATTCACCATTATGTTTTGTAATCCATATAACATTATAGTAAATCCACTATCTGAGTTACATTCCTGTTGGGGATGTTAGATCCCCAGAACTCGCTTGATAAATGCCTTATTTTGGATTTCACGTTTGCGAGCATGGAGTGATCAGTTGAACTTGAGATCACATTTCTCACCAGGAAATTCCTTGTCTGTGACTAGCTGCTGTGTATTGTAGTGTTCTATTTTTGTGACTGTTTCAAGGATGTACAAATAAACGAGAGTTGTGTGCTTGATTGGATTGTGCTTACTGTGTGTTTGTAGAACATACTTTTTACTCTTATCAAGACTTCTCTTATGCAGTTTTGGGATCAAGGTAGCCTACCTGGACGTTGGTTCATTGTCTCGTTCGTGTTTATTGACTAAGGTGAACTCATAATAGCTTCAAGCGTACCTAGTGACGAACCTAATAAAATTTACCCACTAGTAGTGACTAGCTTCGTGAGGAAATTCTAGGACTTCTAATGAGAAGATGTGTCCAATTGAGTTCACCCCTGTCGGGTGTAGGCAGTAACTAGTGAAGACAAATCGGGGAGGTAGCGCATAATCCCTAGATTAATCCGAGTTAGACATTAACACTGTTGGACGCCGGTTCAGTGGTCCAGAGGTTAAGCGTTCGCGCACAAGATCTAAGTTCCTGGGTTCTAAGCCTTTAAGTTGCAGGAGTCGTGGAGGCACACAGTTGATGAGTCCCATACCAGAATGAAACGGCCGTCCAATGTTTCCATGTTTCTAATGGTGGTCTAATAATGATTGATTCATGATTTCCGTGTTAAACAACAATCTCCATAACTCTATAATGAGAAATGTTATATTGGTTAATATTTTTTACACAATTTTGTAATCTTTTCTTATCTGGAACTTACATTCCCAATTGTGACTTATCTAATGTTTTTAACTAATTTTAGTTTTCTTTACTCCTGACGGGCGCATGGGTAGTGCGCTCTCTTTTAAATGATCATTCCAAAAGAGAGTCATAAATAAAATCATAGTTGGCATTCATGTAATAATGATTATAGAGTAGTGGTGGTAGTAGTAGTGTAGTGAACGAGAACACAGGTGAGGGCAATCGAATTGTATTTAACGAAAATTACAGACTTACTCAGTAAAATAGGAAAACCATATCGTAAATCGTTAATTTGCAAATCTTCAATCCATCATCAATCCATTTTCTGGTATTTCACTGTTCATGCGTTTCATACAAATTCCATTGTGTTCCCACTCTTCTTTCTTTCTTGATCTTCCCCCATCTTCTGCTGCCAGACATTACGTTTTCACTCACGTCATATACTACTTATAAGTAGTGCGCACCACAGTGGTAGTAGTCATTCAACGACCTTGACCGGAATATAATTATATATTAATCTATACATGTATATATATAACAAAATCGAGTATATGAATGTCATCTATTATGTGTTATTTTCTTGCATGAACTTATCGATCCAATGTTATGGCGTATTTTAAACCCTGACCGAATAATCACAACTTCGAATATCATTTTGATTATATTTTATTTTCAAATTGATTTTTGTATTATTATTATTATTATTGTTATTATTATTATTATTATGTAGAAGAATGTAATGGCATTTTTATCATGTGTTGTTCACATTTAGATAAATTATTTTTTCAATCAATCTAAATACACTTAAATTGTGATATAACATAATAACAAGAGAAATTTTGCTTATTTATGTACATTCCTTTGAATGTTTCTTAGTTTTAAAGTTGCTTTATCAATTGTCATGTCATGTCATTTTTTTGAATGTTTGTATCAAAATGTGTGCCGGTTAGGTTGATTTTCATTTATAACAGCATTTTTTTCAATTAGAGTTATGGAGATTGATGTTTTTTTGGCACATTTGAAATCACCAATCAATCAATCATTGTTAGACCATCATTAGAAAACTAGAAGCACTGGAAGGCCGTTTCGTCCTGGTATGAGACTCATCAGCAGTGCACATCCATGACTCCTGCACCTCGCAGGATTCAAACCTAGGACCTTCGGTGTTGCGCGAGAACACCTAACCTCTAAACCACTAAGCCGGCATCCGACGGTGTTATTGTTTAACTCGGATCAATCTTGGCATTTTGTGTGACCTCACCCATTTGTCATTGGTAGTTACTGCCTACAAGGTTGACCTCCACTTGTCATGTCTTCTCACTAGAACTCCGATAATCTCCTCACAAAGCTAGTCACTAGTGAGAACATTGTATGATTTTCCAATTAGAGTTATGGAGATTAATGTTTTTTGGCACGTTGAAATCATCTATCAATCATTGCTATACCACCATTAGATTCCTAGCAACACTTGACGGCCGTTTCGTCCTGGTATGGGACTCATCTAGTCAAATATATGTAATGAATCGCATACTTTCTGTAATCAGTAAAAAATTACCAGATCACTGATCTTTAGGTTACTCACTGTACGAAAACACAAAAATGAACAGCATCAACACTTCATTGATCTTATGACTTACTTTTAATGCACTGACTAGTATTTACCGAAATTTTTTAATGTAAGAAACACTTGTCATAAATAGATTGATTTTATTCATCTTAACCTAGTCCACATAGTACAGGTGAATTTTCTAACCAGTTATGTTTTAAACCAACTGACTAAATCAGTTAGTCATCAGTTTTATTTGAAACTAATAAAGCATATTTATAATAATTAGTATCTTTCCTATTGATATCTTTGATAAATTTGTTTAAATCATGTACACTATACTTATTGTATGCAAACTTGGTAAATTTTTAAATATTTTTACTATGATGAATAATTGTTGAAAGTATAATTGTATTACCGTTGATATGTTGATTTACATTGTTAATGCAGAATATTTCTAAGCGATATTTCTTTATTATCAAAAATGTATATGCGAAAACAATTTTGTATTGATCTACTTGTAAACTCTTATAGACACCCAAAACTCTTCACAATATTCACAAGTCTGTTGCTATACACTTTTCGCATAAAGCATTTACACAGATAGATAGATATTTTAGTTATAGATATATACGTCATTCTGTATCGCTTACCGCATATAGTTGCACAACTATGGAAAACTAGAACGCGTTTGGCAACTGTTTCATCCTTGTATGGAACACGTCGATAGGATGCATCGATTCCCCCGACCGTAGCTGCTACCTTGACGTGGTGGTCGGGCTTGCCTATCGTCATGACCCAACCGAGCTATACTGGCTGGAACATATGTTCCTGTAGGTTCTACCATGCTAGACAGGTCGATCGAAGAACGATGAGACTAAAAGCAGCTACTCAAGGTCTGAGGGCGAAGTCGTACTGCTGACAGCAGAAAGATGTTTCCCTCGGACAACCAGCATCTGCAGCGATGCTGCCTTCTCACAAGGAAGGAAGGGTTAGAAACGGTCGACCCTAAACATGTCACACCTCACCATACCTCACAGATTTCCATCTCCGGTGATAAGGGTGCCCACTAAGGGCTTTTAAGAGCGGAGCTAATGCTCAAAAAACCTTTCATCAAAGGTCGTGCGTGACCGGCCTCAAGCAGTTTTCCCTTGGGCTCTGCGGTCACTCTCCCAGGTCGTTAAGACCGACACTAATCTAAATTCTTTCTCAGGTCCCTCAAGAAGCAGCATTCCACGGTGTCGGCAGCCGGGAAGTGACAATTGCCCTCATATCCATAACAGCACACGAGACCAAATTGGTGAAAATCAAATCCTTCTTACACCCCCTAATATCTCTCTTATCAATGCATCCATTCCAGATTGCCATTTATCGAAGAAGAAAGCTTTTAGACTTTCCCAGCCATCCCTTGGCTATCAGATCATCATTTTTATACCAATAAAAAATGAATCAGTTTGATATTCATTTAAAACCAATTTCATTCGAAAATAATCAGTGCTCACAACTGTTCTTAAAAAAAAACCTTAATTTAATTCATATCCTGACCTTAATTTTCATTTGAACCGATCATCTTTCTTCTCAATAAAATATCAATCAATTCTGTATCCCAATTTTCACATTCGATTTAATTATTTGCAAACATGCAAATGCGAGAGAAAAAAAAGCACATCAACAATCCATTTAAATTATGTAAATCTTATTTTAACCTTTGTTTAATTAATATGATCATAGTTATCTGTCCATTTTCAGCTTTAGGCAATGTATATTTGAAATTCCCAAACCAATTTTGAAATTCATTACCGGGTCATTTCCTCTATATTTAGATAATATCGATTTTTCTACCGTTAAAGACAGATATAACATAGTTTACTTGTAGTAATCTTGGTGAATACTCTCTCAGATTAAACTATTCCAATTTCATCCTGGTAAAATTTATGTTATATCACTCGCATATTCAGAAAAAATTAACTTAAAATAGTGAAAAAAGTTTTTTGAAGTATTCAATTAATTCTGTGTATTCTACCTGAAAACTAGCAAACATTATAATGACTTTAGAACTTCATAACATCGAACAGAGACCATACACGAACCTAAATAATGACCGATCTTTATTTTTATACACAAAATTTCAAGTTGTCTAACATTTCATTCAATAATCCTTGGTTGTGATTGGTTACTGTGTTATTTTAATGTGCTATTTTTTATGATTCTCCCTCAAGGACGTCTCTATGATGTATAAGTAAACGCGTTTTGTGTGCTGGAGATCCTTGTGCTTGTTGGGTGTTTGTAGAATACACTTTCTATGCTATATCAAAACTTTTTTCGCTAGTTCTTTTGAGTCAGTGGATCAGAGTAGCCTATCCGGACACTGGTTCATTCATTGTCTCGTTCTGGTTTATCGACTAAGGTGATACTTACTTACTTACGCCTGTTACCCCCAATGGAGCATAGGCCGCCCACCAGTTTTCTCAAACCAACTATGTCCTGGGCTTCCCTCTCTAGTTCTGTCCAATGTTTGTTCATTCCTCTCATATCTTTCTCTATTTCTCGGCGTAATGTGTTCTTTGGCCGTCTTCTTTTCCTTTTGCCTTGTGGGTCCCAAGTGAAGGCTAGTCTTGTGACGCAGTTCGGTGCTTTTCGTAGTGTGTGTCCTATCCACTTCCACCGCTTCTTCCTGATTTCCTCCTCCAATGAAATCTGGTTTGTTCTCTCCCACAGCACACTGTTGCTGATAGTGTCTGGCCAACGAATACGAAGTATTTTGCGTAGACAACTGTTAATAAACACTCGTATCTTCTGGATGATAGCTTTGGTAGTTCTGCAAGTTTCCGCTCCATACAGTAGAACTGTCTTGACATTTATATTGAAAATCCTGATTTTGGTTTTGGTTGAAAGTTGTTTGGAGTTCCAGATATTTTTCAATTGTAGAAATGCAGCACTTGCTTTGTCGATCCGCGCCATCACATCTGCATCGGATCCACCTTGATTGTGGATGATGCTTCCCAGATATGTAAAGGTGTAAAGGCATCGCCATCAAGAGTGATTCGGTTGGTACATGTTGTGTTTTATAGGAGAATTTTGCTTTTTCCTTTATGTATGTTGAGACCTACTGCTGCAGAGGCTGCTGCTACACTTGTCGTCTTGTCTTGCATTTGTTGTTGCGTGTGAGATAGAGCAGCCAGGTCATCTGCGACTAAGGTGATGCCGTACTAGTTTCAAGCATACCTAGTGATGAGCATAACACAAACACTAAAAGATTTTGAACTGTTTAATTATCTTCTTACATTCTACTTAAAAACAAGCAAACATTACAATAACTGTAGAACTATTATAACATCAACATAGACCGTACTCGAACCTAAATGATGCGCAGTCATATTTATACACAAAGTTTCAAATTGTCTAACATTTCATTCAATCATTTCAAACACTGACCAATGTTTACTCTGAATTATTGTTTTCCTTCTCTTCTATTTTTTTCTATAGATTAGTGTTTTTCGTATGGGTGAAGGAGACAGTGATGAAATTGATATTACCATATTAACAGCTCTTTTACAAGGTAAGAATTATTTACTGTGAAAAATGATGAAAAGAAATGATGATGTATTTTATCAATAAAGAGTTATCATGAGTGGAATTATGATGAATCAAGTAAAATGGAACAACTTTTTCCTATCTAGATAAATAAAGTTTCCGATCTTTGGAATTCAGTCATTTTTTTTTCTAGGTAAACCAATAATTTGCATTACGGGGTTGTGAAGATTGTTAAGTTACACACTTTCGAATGCCTAATGTCGACATTTAGTTTAGCAGTTTGAAAATTCCTTATGGAGTGAGTAATTCCAAAACAAACAATACTTTAGTCAATAGGCTTTTCAAATTATTATTATTGTATTATTATTATTGTATTACGGGGTTGTGAAGATTGTTAAGTTAATCATTTTTGAAACCATGAATCGATCAATGTTAGACCAATATTAGAAACCTGGAAGCACTGGGACTCCTAAGCAGTGAGCATCCACGACTCCTGCACCCACCAGGATTCGAAACCAGGACCTTCGGTATTGTGCGCGAACGCCCAACCATCGGACCACTGGGCTGGTATCTTACGGTGTTAATGTCTAACTTGAGCAATTCACGGAGTTGCGCAACCTCATACACAGTCTTCAGTAGTTACTGTCTACACCCGAACAGGTTGAACTTCACTGGTCACGTCTTCCCACTAGAAGTCGGAGAAGATTCCTCACGAAGCTACTCACCAGTGAGCACAGGAAATTTGCATTACGGGGTCGTGAAGATTGTTAAGTCACACATTTTTGAAACCAGTGGTCCGATGGTTAGTCGTTCGCCTACAATACCGAAGGTCCTGGGTTCGAATCCTGCGGGGTGCAGGAGTCGTGGATGCGCACTGCTGAGGAGTCCCATAACAGGATGAAACGGCCGTCCAGTGCCTACAGGTTTCTAATGGTGGTCTAACATTGATCGATTCATGGTTTCAAAAATGTGAAACCAAAAATTATCTTATGACATTGGCTGAAGATTGAGTTATAGAGTAAATAAACAAAGGTTGGAAATGTCCCTCAGTATATTTTGATTTCATATTCCTTGAACTACACCCACACGCAGGCACACACTATGAGACGTCAATGTACTTGATTTTTGACTTTGTGAGTGATCGTGTTATCGAAAAATGCAAAAATCTGCACTCACTTACTAAAGAGATTTATGTAACCGTATTAACAATGATAAAATGTTAATGAAGTTCGTTGTTATTAGACTGTAACAGCAGGCTTTAGAAATAATTTCTTACCCTACAGCAAACTAGTCATCTAAATATTTCTGAATACCTGGTGAGAATGGGTGTGTATATAGGGAAATTTTTTGAGTAATCTTATCTCTTTCAGTGATCGATTCAACAAACAACTATATCAATTTGTGACATCTTTAGAATTGGCTCTATATGATAATCATGCTTTGAAAAAAAGAGAAGGGAGAAAAAACTATATCCTTGTTTTGTTTTCAATAGACACTCCTTATTTGTAAAAATAGTCTACAAATGACATGAAATGTAGAAAGCGGAACGTTCAATTGTCGTAATAAACATAACTTTTTTTAAGTAAACAGAATACACTTATTGAGAAATAGAACAAGAAAGAATTAGTTTATCAAAGAGTCAGTCCGCTTTTCGGCAAATTCATTTTCAAAGCTGTACAATCACAAATATATATACTAATACATGTATATTTTCACATGATAATAATTATTACAATCATAGTGATAATACAAATTCTACTAAACATGTTAGATTAAATAAAGGGAATTAAGAATAAATATTGCTATTCAAGACTTCACTATTCATTATCAAGAAAGATTTAAAAAAATCAATAATCGGAAAAAAAAGATAGTCTCAGCATGATAAGTTAAACTGTGGGATGAATTGACTTGAGGAGAAGAATCATAGAAATAAAAATAATTCAGTTGGCGACAAAAGGTTTATAGGAAATAAGATAGAATGGAAGCAAATGACTGTGAGAGTAGAAGTGAAGAGAAGAGAAAATGATTGTGAGAGATTGAGATTAAGACCAGAGGAGAAGGAAAGGTTATACAAGTTTCTTCTGTCGGCACATAATATTGATTTTCTCCAGATGCATTAGCAAATACTTTGACAGGGCTAAAAAAACAACATCAGCTAACAACTGACTGTAGTAGCTTTTGACTTACCACATAGAGATGACTATAAACTCACTCGGAATCCGTTTTGATCGAAACTCCTGTAAATATATATATATATATATATATATATATATATATATATTTCAATCGCATAGCATAGAAAACGAATTCACATAAATGTGAACTAACTGTACAATGAAACAATAGTTCCTATTTTACATCTCTTACAAACCAATACGTTAAAAGTTACAAAATACGACAATCAATTACGCTACATTTAAATAAAAAAGCTTTCGTTGTAATAAATTTCGAATGGAAAACATCTGTTCATTATTTTTGCTTTACAAAAGATAATTTTCTCATTAAAATGTTAAATGTTAGAAAACGGGTACCAGATAGGGATGGTAGATCAATAGATAAAGTATTAAAACTTCATAATTTGAGGTGGTTGGGACATGTGTTACGTATGCCTAACCACCGACTGCCTTGTCCAGCTGTGTTTTGTGTTGCAGGAGTAGGTTGGAAGAAAGCTAGGGGCGGCTGAACCAAAACATGGCAGAAATCCATGAAATCACTGACAAGTGGACTGAGTCATGTTGGTAGATGTAGGCTACCTGGTTGGGGCCAGCGAGATGATAATAATCGATGGTTAGAGACCTTGAACGACATGGCTGAAATCCGTGTGCAATGTCGCATGTGCATTCATTCTTTGTGTTCTCTCAAATCTTAATCCTCTGGATTCTACTATCACCTCCAACTTTTTCTTTTTAAATTTATTACACTAAATTATACTTCTTGAATAATATCTTCGAACTCTAATCTCTCCGATTACCGCTAATAGTTCTACTATAACTTCTACTATGGGATATGAGCTGACGATCCAGTATGTCTCTGCTAATGTGATATGGCAACTTCAACTGTTGTACATACGTACGAAGTTCTATGTTGTAACTGACTGACTAACTGGAAATGTTAACTAACAATCTATAACACTTCATTATTATACATGTAAAATGAATTGTTTATTCTTCTTGCTGCTTACTCCATTAAAGCTTATTCTACCTTTTACGAATCTTTATTCATGTAAAATTATGTTTAAGGTGATATTGTGTCACATCATAAAACAGATTTCTTTTTTTTTATTATCTTAAATTCATCAAGATTTTTGAAATAACCTCTCTTTGTAATGATAGGCTATTTTCTAAAATTCATTCGACATTTTCTCATAAATTGATAAGTGTATTTAGTTGTTGATTTCGTTTTGATTTATATTGTGTCCGGATATTTTAATGATTACATAATCTTTACTAAGTAATAATCCATCTAGGTAGGTATTAATGCTTAGGTTAAACCTCTTAATTTTAAATCCACTAAACATTGAATCGAAAAAGAGTCAATCATGAGAATAGTATCCTTATAAGTTGAAATTTTTTTATTCCGAGTGTGTTTTTGATGACTGAATATGTTAGTCACGTCTTTAGAGTAAGTAAATAAATTGATTAACAAGTTAACCTAATAATTATAATAATAACAGGATTTAAATTTTTTTTTCAACTAACGTATTTCGTTAATCATGTACAACGTGATATATTTAGGAACACCGGTTAACTGAGTATTATCACATTCGAAATGGTTCACTCAAATACATCAAGTCACATCCTTACACCTGTTACTTCCCCTCTCCGCCAACTAGGATTCTCCAGCGAACACTATCTTGAGGTCACCTTTCCAGCTCTACCGAAGTGTTATTCTGAAACGAAAAATAACATAAATTATTTCGTAATTTTGTTAGTTTTAAACATGTTGACTGACAAATGACATTGCCAGAATATATTAAAGGTAAACATTAAAACAGCCGGGTAATCCTTATTTAATTAATTCAAATGCTTGTTAAAAACAATTGTACCGAATAAAGTTACTACAGTTGACAATTAGAAACAACTGAAAATGTGATTAGTAGGATAGGGGAAAATAAACATATGGCCAAGAATAAGACAGCTTATAACTGAAGAATAAATTAGGAAAAAACGCTGGGTTTGAACATGATAGACATTATAGAAATCACTAAACTCCATCATAAAGCAAGTCATAACTTGGAATCTTCAAGTTAAAGAAAAACTAAGAAGACCAAAGTACAGATCGTCCCGGGACTCGGAAACAGTTACTAAAATGTGAAATAGTATTTGGGCAAAACTGAAACAGAAAGCATAGAAAAGAGTTAATAATAGAATTCGAATTGACAGCGTATGCTCCACGAGAGGTAACAGGACTAAGTATGTACTCCAAAACAAGGCTAAAGCTTATTTATTCAAAGGGAACCAATGAAATTAGGGAATAAAAGTTAAAAATTGAAAGAAAGATATGTAACTTGTTCAACTTTATAACAGTGAGTTACTTCGAAATACACTGCCTTAAGTCCGCGTTCATCAATATAACGTAAAGCTAAACATACGATTCTCTTTGGCATTCAATTACTTCTTGAACGAATGTTGAATTTTCATCTCTGAACATCGTCTAGTCATCTAAACAAATTAATTGATGCAAACTCAATGCTCTTCTAAAAAAATATTTTTACTACATTGTTACATCAGTGAGAACTATATGTCGTAAACATCATTCAAAAAATTATATTTTATCAATAAATTTCAAGTTTCCGGCTAGCTTTCCGTAGGCTCTCATATTAAGACAGGCGTCATTATCCTAAAAACTCAATAGACTATGATTTGATTTGGATAACAATCAATAGCCAGGAAGTTCTAGCTGTCTACCTCGTTCTAGCACAGAATTCCTCGAAAAACCAATCAATTCACATTGTCGGTCGACCACTTTCCCTTATTGTTGATAATATCTGTTGTACAACCAACACTGTTGAGCTCCACTAGTCATAGCTTCTCTCTGGAACTTTATTGATTACTTTCCAATATTGGTCAACAATAAATTCTCCGTTACTTACGCCTGTTACCTCTAATGGAGCGTAGGCTGCCGACCACTATTCTCCGACCTACTCTATCCTAGGCCATCCTTTCTAGTTCTATCCAATTGTTGTTCATTCTTATGTCAGTCTCTATTTCTCGGCGTAATATGTTCTTTGGCTTAGGTAGTTTTGCAACTTTCCGCCCCATATAGTTGAACTGTCTTGACATTTGTATCAAAAATTTTGATTTTGAAGCTGGTTGATAATTGTTTTGAGTTCCAGATATTGTTCAATTGTAGAAATGCAGCTCTTGCTTTGCTGATCCGCGCCTTCACATCTGCATCGGATCCACTTTGCTCGTCAATGATACTGCGCAGATTTATAAAGGTTTTTATGTCCCCCAAGGCATTTCCTCCATCAAGAGTGATTTTGGTTGGTGCATGTTGTTTTGTTTCAAAGAATCTTGCTTTTCTCTTTATGTATGTTGAGATCATTCTTATTGCTGTAGTTTAAAGTGCTTAAACACTATTATCTCTGGAGCCCCTCTGAAGCTACTGCCGGTCTCGAGCCCGGATAAAAGGATGAGGATTGGCGTGCCCATACCGTAGAAAACTAACTCGCTGAAAAGATGCTAACCGGAAGAATTCTCCCTAGTAAACTGAATTCATAAATGTAAACTACTGTATGACAACTCACCTATCGGATAATTAGGCACTTATCGCCAAGCCTTGATAGTTTTTGACCTTGATCTGTGGTGGAATCATGGATGTTTGTATTGCCCTTGCATTTCATACCAAAATAAAATAGCTTTATAAAATGCTTCATGGTTTCCAACGGTCGTGTATATCTAAATCGATCAGTCACAATACTGCCACACTATGACTTTGACTTTTGTAAAAATATCACTAAACTATTGAATCATTGATCAAAATAATCTTTTGTAATACAAAACGAAAATATAAAATTCTTTTTATTATGTTACACTCATTGGCCATTTCATTTTCACAAGTTTATTTCATACTTATCATGTATTCTTCAGTGTTTGTATAGATTTGGTTATGTTTTTTTTTTACCAAAAAAAAATTAGTTTCAGGTCAAAATTTAACACCAGCTGAACAGCTATCATTAACTATGGCATGGAATAGGCCAGATATTGCACGTTCCAAAGTGTTTGCTAAATTCAACAATTGGTCTGTAAGTCTTTCATATATATATTTATGCTAATAAATTACATTGATGTTTTTTATTTCAATAGACAAACTACTGTTATACTTGGAATGATCTGAACGATAGAAATTTAGATGAATTCAACATTTAGCTCGACATTCCGATTTGAACATTTTCAAAATTTACACAAATATCACCTCTTTCCTCTTAATGTCATTATAGTGTGTTGAATTATGAATTTCTATAATGTGTACTGTATAGAAATAACACTAGCTAGTGTATTGCATCATTCATGTAGTCACAGACTATCACAATTTAAAACAATCTCTTCATTTTTAACTATGTTCACTGTTCACCGAACAGGAAAAATAATAGATTACTTTGGTTTAGAGATTGATCAATTCTGCCTTTAACTTTAGGAAGCAAACAGATTTTTGTTGGGGACGTTAGATCCCCAGAACTCACTTGTTGAAGGTCCTAATTTTGGATTTTATGGTTTTGGAGCGTGGGCTGACCAGTTGACTTTGAGATTACATTTCCCACCCGGAAAATCCTTGACTGTTATTGGTTGATGGATTATTTTGGTACACTATTTTTGTGGCTCACCCAAGGACTTCTCTGTCATGTCTAAATAAACTCCATTTGTGTGCTTTTCGACCTCGTATTGTCTGAGTGCTTCTAGAATACACTTTCTACGTCTTGTCAACTCTTCTTCTTCTACTTATTGGGGCGTTGGGACGGTCGGATAAGAGCAGTCTATCGTTTCACTAGATCATTTGTCTTCACTCTCGTTTACCGACAAAGATGAACTTGTAATAGCATTCAAGTATATCAGCTGATGGCAAGAATAACATTTTTTTATGTTACAATCCCAATCACATAGTACTTGACTATTTGATTGATTAGTATATATCATCATGTCTTTAAGGTATTATCCATGTCCCCTGTGTAAATAGATTATCAGTTGTGTAAAATTACTCCGTTTTTAATTGAACTGTTATCATCATCAATTCACAACCAAGATGTAATAATACGTCTTTTTTTTTTCTTCCTAATAACCAAAAAAAAATTTCTAATGTAAACTTTTTTCTTTTTAAATCAAATAAACAAACTGACAGAAAACTACACTAGAAAATGCAATGGCTGATGCTTTATTAAATGATCGCTTGGAATTTGTACAACTGCTGCTTACAAAAGGATTAAGAATTCAACGCTTCTTGACTCGTGAACGTTTAGAAGAACTATACAATGTGGATGTGAATAATCAATCATTTCATAAATTATTTGCAAAAGTTCTTGGGACAAAACAGGTTAGGTCGAGTGTTTTATTTTTTTTTTCAAATCTTATGTTTTTATAAAAACATTTCTTAACAAATATTTTAGGCCTGCTATGTTTAATTAATTGAGACGGATTAATGTTTAATTATTATAAACGAATGTTCAACCACCGATTGCTTCGACGAGCAATGTTTTGTGGGGTGTAGGATAGTAGGTTGGAAGAAAGCTAGGGGCGGCCAGATCAAAATATGGCACAAATCCATGAATAAGTCACCGACAAGTGGATTGAGTCATGTTGGTAGATGTAGGCTATCTGGTTGGGGCCCGTGAGACGAAAGTCACCAATGGTTAGAGACCTTGAACGACATGGCTCAGAATCGTTTGCAATGGCGCAGGTGCATCCACCCTTTGTATGCTTTTTAATTCTAACCCTCTGAATTCCTCACAATCTCTATCTTTCTCCTTCTAAATACTTCTAGAATCAAATCGTCGCTCCCTAATCTTCTCCATTACTGCTAATACTTCTATTATTGCTATCACTGTTAGATTTGAACTGACAGTTACGTCTCTGTGCTTGTGTGGTATGGTAACGTGAACTGATGTACTTATGTACGAAGTTCTACGTTTTATCTATCTGTCTGTATAGTAGTTTAAACTGTTGGGAACGTTAGATCCCCAGAATTCACTTAATAAAGGTCCTAATTTTTGGATTTTATGCTTTCATGCATGGACTCATCAGTTGACCCTGAGATTACATTTCACAACCGGAACATCCTTGACTGTTATTGGTTGATGTGTTATTTTACTGATTTTTGTGGCCATCCCAAGGACGTTTCTACCATATATAAATAACTTCGATTTGTATGTTTGTGAAGCTCATATCTTCTGGGTGCTTGTAGCATACACTTTCTACATCTTGTCAATATTTATTCCTCTACTTCGTGGGGGGGACCTGGGACGCTCGGATTAGAATAGCCTGTTGTGTCATCGGATCATCGATCCTCGCTCCGTTTACCGACTAAGAGTGAACCCATAATAGTTTCAAGCATATCTATTGACGAGCAGTAATTGAATAGCTTACTGAATCAATCAATTGGTTTATGTGTACACTGTCCTGATAACTCATTATAACTTATTATTCAGTGCCGATGAAACCGTACATGAGTTAACTTTGAAGAAATTGGGGTCTTAACTAATTTGAGATAAGTTACAAGTCGGTTGACCATCGATCAAGTTTTATCCGTCAATAAAATAATTGAAAATGAATTAGATGTCAGCTTGAAATTTAATTTCCTCCGTATTTGTAAATGTGTCTTTTAAAAAATGTATTTTTTTGTTAGTTTGATCTTTCTTCTTGAAAGACTGAAAACAATCTGAGAGTGCATATCTTAGCAGTGATACATTCCGGTCATCTATAACACTAATAACTCGAAATACAATATCTTTGACCATAAAAGCCCAATTCCAAGCATCGTTACCTATAAATGTAAAACTAGGTCAAATTTTTTAGGTCAATTATTTTCAAATACCCAACGATTTATCATGGGTATCTACACAAACTGACTAATTCAGTAAAAAATAGGCAAATATCTTGACCTATAAAACTAATCGATATTCTCTGCTCTCTCTTTTGATATTTCCCCATTTACTGCAAAGTTTCTCTTTCAGATCATTTTGAGATTTGTATGCAAAATCGATATGAAATTAGTGAAATATTGACACTTATTAGTTATAATCTACCTAATATTATTACTTTATCCTTAGTCTTGATTAAATCTCACAAACTGCCACACAATTTCATTAAACACAACTGGTAACTTTTTATTTGCGTATTAATACATGGAATTACTTTGAAGAAAGGAAAAATGTTTCATGCTACAACTTTTCACTGGCCATATCCTAGAAAATTCAAAGTTAACGCTGATAATTTTCACGTCAATAATTATACAGAATAAAATATAATAAGTCAGAATGTTTCAGTGTAAACACCTGAGATTAAGTGTATATAAAACTTTGAAAACATTAACTTTATCAGAAATCTAAGTAAATTAATTCCCTTACACAAAACTAAATTTACAATTACAATCCATATTTGATTCTGATCTAGTGCTAGTCATGAGGTTTCATGCTTAATCATTAGAAAGATTATTAGTACGATACCATAATTGACTATAATTTCCATTGATACCTTAAATGTCACAACAATCGCTTTTTGTTGCGATGTGTGTTACGAGTGCTTGATGGCCTCGTCGAGCTATATTTTGTGGTGTAATAGTAGGTTGGAAGAAAGTTAGGAGCGGCCAAATCAAAACATGGCAGAAATCCATCAGGTCACTGAACACTGGACTGAGTCATGTCGGTAAGTGTAGACTACCTGGTTGGGGCCAGCAAGATGATAATAATCGATGGTTAGAGACCCTGAATGACATGACTCAAAACCGTTTGTAATGGCGCAGGTGCATCTACTCTTTGGTTTCTCACATATCCTAATCCTCTGGATTCTACATCAACTTTATCTTTTTCTTTTTAAGTTCATTTCACTAGATTCTACTTCTTGAATAATGTCATCAAACCCTAATCTCTCTGAGTACTGCTAAGATTTCTACTACCACTATATGATTTAAATTGACGAATGCGTCTCTCTGTGCTAATGCGGTATGACAACTTGAACTGACGTTCGTACATACCATGTTCTATGTTTTAACTGACTGACTGACCTACTAACTGACAACAATCCCTGATGAAAACCACCTAAAAATAAACATGTTCTTTTTGCAAAATAAACCTTGAAAAGCATTTAATCATAGTTGATATGATGAACACGATTTTATTTAATAGCAAAGTTATTAATAATGTACTTCATTTTTTGTTGATAAGGTCAACAAAAGAAACATTTATAGAGTGCATGTTACAATAATTTATTTATTATTTTTTTGTCAACACCCAAATCTGATGAACAATAATGTGAGAATTTATAGGACTTCACAAAATTTTCGAATGATAAATAATTGTTTTGTTTTTTCATTCTATTCACTAGTAAAAATAAATTTTTTTTTAAAAAAATTGTAATATTTTTAACTCTTATAAAATGTACTTCTTCTGTTTCCTAGTTTAGTTTCCTCCCAACACTATAAATGAAAAAATTTTTCCTTTAGAGAATAATAATACTAACATTTATATTTTTGAAATCATTACTGTTCAAAATTTGTTTGATGATTATTTCATTTGAAATCATAAATCAGTAATTGTTAGACTATCATTAGAAACCTGGAAGCGCTGAAAGACGGCCGTTTCGTCCTACTATGGGACTACTCATCAGCAGTGAGCATACACGACTCGTGCACCTCGCAGGATTCGAACCCGAAACCTTCGGTATTGTGCGCGAACGCCTAACCATCGAACCACTGGGCCGGCGGTATCTAATGGTGTTAATGTCTAACTCTGATTAATCTAGGGATTTTGCGCGACCTCACCCATTTGTCTTTGATAGTTACTGTTTACATCCGACAGGGTTGAACACCCCTGGTCACATCTTCTGACTAGAACTCCAAGAATTTCCTCACGAAGCTAGTCACTAGTGAGCACATTGTGAGATTTGTTTTCGATTAAAGTTATAGAGATCAGTGTTTTTTACACACTGCTTTTGAGTCACATACCAGGACGAAACGGCCGTCTAGTGCTTCCAGGTTCCTAATGGTGGTCTATCAATGATTGATTGATTGATTGATGCTTTTAATGTATAAAAACACTAATCTCTATAACTCTAATTGAACAACATCGTACAATGTGCTGACTAGTGACTAGCTTCGTGAGGAAATTCTCGGAATTCTAGTGAGAAGACGTCACCGATAGAGTTCAACCCTGTCAGACAGAGACAGTAACTACCGAAGGCAAATGGGTGAGGTCGCGCTAAATCTCTATATTGATCAGAGTTAGACTTTAATACCGTTAGAGGCCGGCTCAGCGGTCAACAGTTTATTCTTTCGCGCACAAGACCGAAGGTTCTCAGTTCGAATCCTGTAAGTTGTGGTAGTCGTGGATGCGAACTGCTGATGAGTCTCATACCAGGACAAAACAGACTTCCAGGTTTCTGATGGTGGCCTAAGAATGATTGAATATTTATTTAAATATTGATTTAATATTTTGATAGTAATTATTGTTATTATGACTATTATTATTATTATTATTATTTTTTGTTCATTGCTATAATTTATTTGAATAATATAATTATATTTAATTGATAGAAAATTACATTACGATCAATTGGACAACTAGTTGAAAATTTAGTCGGTGGAGGTTATCAACATTCTTACTGTAGTAAACCATCGACAACAGATTTAATGGGATCACCTAATCATGGCAACGGGTGGTTACCGAATGTGAATGTTACATTTACCAATAAGCATGGTTCAGTAGTTTCTGTAAGTTACACACATGTGTGTTCTTCAAATTTATGCAATTTCGCAGATACTTTTTTGTAATATCACCAAATAGATGTTACTTAGTCGATCATCAGAGAAACAAAATAATGAATCAGGCAACGTTTCGGATTGTACAATAGGTGATTATTGGTATATACAGTTAACAAGAAATCCTGTGGAACTACGTTTTATGCTAGCCCTCACCCAATCAATAAAGTATACTTGCAATCTCAAAGGAACTATTGTTGTATGAGAGGTTGAAACTCACGTTACTCAATCTGAACTGGAGACGTTGTTCGCAAGAAATCGTTAATGTCAGTACATAGAGAGCTTGTAAAGTATTAAGCGTGCAAAACAGACAGATAGATACAACGCAGAACTTCGTTCATACGTACATCAGTTCACGTTGCCATACCAGGTCAGCACACAGAGACGCAACTGTCAGTTCAAATCCAAGAGTGATAGAGATAATAGAATTATTAGCAGCAGTGGAGAAGATTAGGGAGCGAAGATATTATAATTCGAAAAGTATAATTCAGTGAGATAAATTTGTAAAGAGAAAGATAGAGATTATGAGGAATTCAGAAGGTTAGAATTAAAAAGCACACAAAGAGTGTATGCACCTGCGCCACCCGTAACATCACGAGACACCAAAGCGTGCGAAACGAGGTTTAGTGACCTGTGATCTGACTTCGCTTTGAGGTGGACAGTCGAGTATGCAATGAAACAAATCTTCCCTTTTTGATTTCTGTATATCATATGTAGGTGAAACCCGTTTGTTTGACGGCGGTAATAAGAAGCGAAACATGGTTTTGCGAATGAATCTAATCTACGCATTTATTTAAGTTAGACAGATATGAGAATGAAAAGCTTACAAGCAAGAATGAAACAAAGTGAAGTTAGGCGAGTGAGCTAACTCTATGCGATGAAGCACGACTAAGTACTTTTAGTCAGACAAGATGAACAAGACTCATAGTCAGCGAAGTAAGCAGCACTTACACACGAATAAAAACAACCAAGTTTATTAGTGAATAATTGACAAGTTCGAAAGTCATGTGAATAATGATTCGGCTAAAAAAAATAGTTAATTACTTTGTCTCAAAGCTAGAACAAGACCTCTGGTACACACCCTACAAAAGTCTTATCTCCTAGATTCATTATCGTTTCGTAGTTTTTTAAAAAAAAAAAACATGAATGTTTTGTTTTCACTTTTTCTCTTCAAAATTCTACACAACCAATAGGAACCAACAGATAATAAAACTGCACGTTCAACGAATTTTCTAAACATTACAACTACAACAACTACTACTACGACATCAGATAAATCAATGCCACCGTGTCCATTGAATCCTGCATCAATATCGAATTTAATCACATCTAAAGAATTAGTTACACAACATATTACAAATATTATCAATCGACAGCATACATCATCACAACAACAACAACAACAATCTGTACCACCATATTCAAATTCATCAAATGATATTAATCAATCGAATCGTTATTTTCGTTATCCTTATACAGAATTATTACAATGGACTTTATTAACTCGACGTTTAGATATGGCGAAATTTTTAGTATTAGCTGGTGAAGAATCAATTGCTAAAGTAAGCAGTATGATTCATTGTTTGTTGTAGTATTTTGTTCTTATATATATATATATATATATATATATATATATATATATATATATATATATATATATATATATATATATATATATATATATATATATCAGTCCGGATACAGAAGGCTCGATTGGCTTTTGCCAACCTGCGTCACTTATGGCGTAGGCAAGATATCCGTTTGCTAACCAAAGGACGAGTGTACTGTACTGTGCAGCAGTTCGCTCCGTCCTACTGTACGGATGTGAGATTTGGCCGTTAAGAGTAGAGGACTTTCGTAGGTTACTAGTCTTCGATCATCGATGTCTCCGAAGCATTGCTCGTGTATCATGAGACAACCGTATAAGCAATGCTGTCGTTAGGAAACGGGTTCTAGGTAAGGATTGCAGATCAATAGATGAAGTAGTAAAACTTCATCAGTTGAGGTGGTTCAGACATGTGTTACGTATGACTAACCATCAACTACCGCGACGAGTTATGTTTTGTGGTGTTGGAGTAGATTGGAAGAAAGCTAGGGGCGACCAAAACAAAACATGGCACAAATCCATGAAGTCACTGACAAGTGGACTGAATCATGTTGGTAGATGTAAGCTACCTGGTTGAGGTCCATGAGACGAAAGTCACCAATGGTTAGAGACCCTGAATTACATGGTTCAGAATCGTTTGCAATGGCGCAGGTGCATCCACTCTTTGTGTCCTATGAAATTTTAAGCTTCTACATTCCTCTTAATCTCTATCTTTCTCCTAAATTTATCTTACTGAATTATATTTCTCGAATCATATCTTGGCTCCTTAATTTTCTTCATTGCTGCTAATAATTCTACTATCGCTATCACTCTTGGATTTGATCTGACAGTTGCGTCTCTGTGCTGATGGGGCATGACAACGTGAACTGATGTACTTATGTACGAAGTTCTGCGTTGTATCTCTCTCTCTCTCTCTATATATATATATATATATAATTCTAGGTCGTACAATCTGTCAGTATTCAGTTGATTTTGTAATATGTAAACAAAATGTTAAATGTCAGAATTATTGTTAAAAACTTATAACTACTTCGAAAAATACAAAAGTTTCATATATGAACTGTCGGACTTCTGGACTGATCCACTTATTCTCAATCTTCTAATGGCTAGTAGTAGATAAACACTTCTGTTTTCTTTTAACCTATAGTTATTCCTAATTGTAAATATTTGAGATATTGTTGTAATTAATGTGTTGGAGACGTTAGATCCCCAGAACTCACTTGGAAAAGGTCCTAATTTTGGATTTTTTTATGTTTTCGCGCATAAGTTGCCTAGTTGACCTTCAGCCTACATTTCCCACTCGGAAAAGCAGTGACTATCATTGGTTGTTGGATTATTTTAGTACGCTATTTTTGTGAATCTCGCAAGGATGTTTCTATCATAAATAAATAAGCTCGATTTGTGTGCTTGTTGACCTCCTATTTTCTGGGTGCTTGTAGAATACACTTTCTACTCATTATCAAAACTTCTTGATATAGTAAACCGGGCCGAGGACAACGGATTAGAATAGTCTATCGTTTGATTTCGTCATTTTTCTTCGTTCCGTTTACCGAGTAAGGTGAACTAGTAATAGTTCCAAGCATATCAATTAACGAGCATATCAGTTGATCCAGTTATTCATAATGTCCTGATAACTAGTAGATATACACATTTGTTTTCTTTTAACCTACGGTTATTCCTAACTACGAACGATTGAGATATTGTTGTAATGAGAAATCGGATCTATGTAAATCTATAGACTGAATGACTGGCACACAACACTTGGAACACAGACTTCAAGAACTAGCTTCAATAGTCATAAAGTTCAAACCACATTTTAACAACCTTGTTATATTTTGCAATCTTAGAATACATAACATAATTAACATAAAAGCAATTAACTGAAAAACTGTGAATGTCACTACGGCAATAGCCGATTTCGTTTTCAATGTTCTCAGATATGAATATTTAGTGAAACGGAGTCGATACTATCAACTGACATGCGTATCAAATGTCATATGTACTACTATTGGGTGATTCACTCTAGATAATAAAATACAAGTTTACTGTTTAATTTAATGCTGAATCATACAGCCTGTTTTTCATCATGCTGAAAAAAAGATGTTGACCAATGGGATTATTTCACTGCGATTAATGTCTGAATAGCATGTTTATTGATTTTCCTCCGCTAATCAGTTAGTGTTGAAGCAGATGTTATGATAAATGACTGGTGTACTGAATTATTTAAATAAATATTTACGTACTAGATGACCATCATTTCAATGATGCCTCGTAAACTATATCTCCTTCAAAAGTCTCTTTCATATACAAACATCCAATCTATTATAAATCTTCTAAGCCAGAGATTCACTCTTACAATAGTTGGTTAGTTAATGCAAAATGAAGTTAACTTTTACTATGTAGTTCTAGTGAATTGGAAACAAATCGATAAATGATTCAAATTTTCAAATATCAAATATTTAACTGTGAGACGAAAGTAACCGATGATTAAAGACCTTGAACGACCGGTCTCAAAATCGTTTGCAATGGCACGGATGCATCCACTCTTTGTGTTCTCTCAAATTCTAATCTTCTGAATTCCTCATCACCTCCATCTTTCTCTTTCTCAAGTTATCTCACTGAATTACACTTCCTGAATCATATCTTTAAGTCCTAATCGCTAATACTTCTGCTATCTGTACTACTATAGGATTTGAACTGACAATTGAGTCTTTGCACTAATGCGGTACGGAGACCTGAACTGATGTACGCACGTACGTACGAAGTTCTACGTTTTAAATGACTGACTGACTTCCTTTTATTAATTAATTATTCGAAAGTCTATTATCTTTCCTATCGCGTTTCGAATTCCTACTTATGAGTTCAAAATAGAATCTATCCAATTCAACTAAGGATAGATAATAGCAATAATAATTATTATTATAACCAAACAATGTTAACTTATTACAACTAATCAATTATTTCGAAGTTAACTCATTGTTTTGCGTGTGATTGGGATAATCTTTTTTTTTCTATCATAATTATTGTTCTGTTTTTTGGCTTTTGTTTTTCTTGTCAATTAAAATAGGCGTTGTTTGCAGTAAAATTGTTACGTAGTATTCGACATGTTACTTTAGATGAAGAAACTGATATTGAATTATTGAATGAATGTCGTTCACACGAAGTGTAAGTCAAGCATTTGAGATGATAGTATTTTTTTGATAATGTTATGCTTTTCTCTACTGGATATTTTTAATTGCATTACGGGGTTGTGAAGTTTGTTAAGTTACACATTTGAGAATTAAGCTGAAAGCAACAATATTTTCAGCAAGTCTGCTGATAAATCTTCACAGTTGTTTCTTTCTAACAATTGTTGGCAAAACAATCTATGTGTCAGTTTTATCACTCTTAAAATACACTGTCTTTCTAAATAGAAATGGATGGTTGCTAATAGCGAAACCGATAACGCACGTTTCTGCCTCTATGAGACTCGTCAGCTGGATGGATATACCTACATTTGTGAGTTGATGTTTTCCCTCTAACCAAATCACTCTTGATGGAGATGCCTTGGAGGACGTTAGAACCTTTACATTCTGGGCAGTATCATTGACGAGCAAGGTGGATCCGATGCAGATGTGAGGGCGCGGATCGGCAAAGCAAGGGCTGCATTTCTACAATTGAAAAATATGTGGAATTCCAAACAACTTTCAACCAAAACCAAAATCAGGATTTTCAATACAAATGTCAAGACAGTTCTACTGTATGGAGCGGAAACTTGGAGAACTACGAAAGCCATCATCCAGAAGATACAAGTATTTATGAACAGTTGTCTTGGCAAAATACTTCGGATCCGTTGAACTTACACCATCAGCAACAACGTACTGTGGAAGATAACGAACCAGATTCCAGTGGAGGCTGAAATCAGGAAGTAGCGATGAAAATGGATAGGACACACATTCAGGAAAGCATTCAACTGCTTCACATTACAAGCCCTCATTGGAACCCTCAAGCTTGGAGGAAAAGAGGAATGACAAGGAACACACTTTACACTGAGAAATAGAGAAAGATATGAGAGGAATGAACAAAAACTGGAAAGGGAAACTCAGGACAGAGTAGATTGGAGTATTAAGTAAGTAGGTTTTTACTCCATGGCCTCGAATCTCATACAGTTTGCTTGAAACACCATCATGTTTTACCACTTAGCTATTGAGTCCAATTCGTTCTATTGACTTTTGTAGATCGTTGTGAGGCTTGATTCTATCTTTCATTCACTGTAATTACCTATATCTTATTGCTTATTTTGTTGATAACATTGTGAAGCACAACATAACACCCCGATATATTATTTCATTATTTTACATCAATAAACTAATTATTTTGATGAAATAAATTCTCTAAATAAATTAAAATTCGTTTTCTAATAAACTTTAATAAAAACTAAAATAACAGCAGTTGGCACAAATTCATTTTTTATTTATTACGTGATTTCTCTTCAACTTTTTACAACAGTATTTGTATTAAAAAGTAACATTGTGAGTAAGAGGGGGGGCTGACAGAGATTCATATAATCTATGAAGTTATTATTAATAGGCGTTGTTGACACTTATAATAACTAAATATGTATAAACACATATCTATATAAGGTCATCTAACGATGTGATACACGAGGTGAGATAGCAATTCCGTGTTATTCCAACACTCATGAAATGTATTACGTAATCATCGTAATGACTGTATAGTAGTAGTAGTAGTAGATGAATGAAAAGATTGTTTTGTGGTGTAGATGAAATAACCATTGGCCATAGAGTAGAGTTCATAACAAATCAATCAATACAATCAAAATGCTAATGATGATTTTGATTTTTTAATGAAAAATGCGAATTTCACAAGACAATGATGATAGTTTGATGTTGGAATACAACAAACTCCATAACAGAAGATAGATCTATTGGAAAAAGCCATGTACTTAAAGTTTATACTATAAGCTATTGAAAAAAATGGGATTGTACGATGTGTTTTTTCAATCGTGCTCATAAACGTTACATCTGTCTCTATGGGATAATTCATAGCTAAGCAGTTTTTCAAGAAACATGCTAAAACCAATCAACCAACCATGTGAAGAAGTATGGTAAAGCTGAAAATATAACTTTCTAGATTTTCAATTGCATCTTCAAATGACCTCACACTGGTTTATAAATAGTTACTACTCACAGTCATAGTTATTTCAATTCTTTCCGTCATACTATCTATCCCGTCTTAGTTGTTGGCTTAGCTTATTCTAATAAATTTAATTTTTACTTGATCTATTATGCCAAGTAACTGAGAAACTGAACCAGGCAAGTCGATTGGGGAGAACAGTGAGACTAAAAGCAGCTACTCAAGGTCTGAGGGCGAAGTCGTACTGCTGACTGTAGAGGGGTGTGACAGCAGTAAGGTGTTTCGGACAACCAGCTTCTGCAGCGATGCTACCTTCTCACAAGTAAGGAAGGGGTTAGAAAAGGTAGATATAGGCTACTTGGCTGGTTTCCGCGAGACGAAAGTAACCGATGGTTAGAGAGCTTGAACTACCTGACTGAAAATCGTTTGCAATGACGCAGGTGCATTCATTCATTACGTTCTCTGAAATTCTAATCTTCTGAATTACTCATCAGCTCTATCTTTTTCTTTCTAAATGAATTTCATTGTATTATACTTCTCGAATCATATCTTCGAACCCTAATCTTCTCCATTAGTGCCAATACTTGTACTCTCTCTACCACTGACAGTTGCGTCTCTGTGCTGATGCGGTATGGCAACCTGAACTTATGTGCTCATGTACGATGCTCTACGTTGTAACTGACTGACAAGTTTGTTAGCATCTACCTGCACATTGTTATTTTCCTGTTGAGTGAACAATGTGTTTCATTAGATTTCACCGCTAAATATTTAATGTTAAGAAACATATTAATAAGAGATTTGTCGCTATAAATATTTATACTCTGCGTAAAATATATTTTTAGACTACATGTTGAGCCTCTCAAAAAAGTGACTTTCATAAGTGAAAATGAAAAGTTTTTGTCAATGTTTCCCTTCATTAAATAATCTGAAGTGAAATATCAAAAAAAAAGCAAAATAAACTTGTTGAGTTTTTTACACTGTGTGTCGTAAAAAATTCAGTCTAATTTTAGGTGCCATTAAAAGTCAAGGAACACTAAGTAGCTTTTTCATCTAATCATTAGACTTTCTCAGTAGATATTTCAAAACTCACCAGGAATTGAGCCTAGCGCATGTAAGTTCGTCAGTGACCATGTAACAACTAAAGTCACTGCGTTACCTTTATGCAGTACAATTTTAGCTTCAATCAACTTAATGAATAACACAATAAACCAACTCATTCACCAAATACTCATGTACAAACAACACTTTAACTCGAAGGCTAATGATACTACCCGGTACCCAAAACTGAAGTAAACAGAGAGGTGTTCGAATCTGAGATTTTTAAGGTCAAAAGTCGAATGCCCTTAACCGTTACGCTATCGAATAGAATCCACAAATTAACTCAATTTTCCCGAGACTCCAACTAAATCCATTTAAAATGGAATAAAATCACAAGTCATCAAATGTTAATAATAAATTCTATGGAAATTATGTTAAATAAAACAGAATCAAATACCGTTTTAATATAATTGTCAATTCAAATCCCATAGTAGTAGATGTAGTAAAAGTATTAGAAGTAATCTGAAAGATTAGGGTTTGAAGATATTATTCAAGAAGTATAATTTAGTGAGATAAATTTAGAAAGAGAAAGATAGAGGTGATGAGGAATGCAGAAGCTTAGAATTTCATAGAACACAAAGAGTAAATGCACCTGCAACATTGCGAACGGCTTTGAGCCATGTCGTTCAAAGTCTCTAACCATCAGTTACTATCGTCTCGCGGACTTCAACCAGGTAGCCTACATCTACCGACATGACTCAGTCCACTTGTCGGTGACTTCATGGATTTGTACCATGTTTTGGTCTGGCCGTCCCTAGCTTTCTTCCAACTTACTCCTACATCACAAAACATAGCTCGTGGAGGCAGTCGGTTGTGGGCATATGTAACACATGTCCCAACCACCTCAACTGATGAAGTTTCATCACTTCATCCATTAACCTTCCATCCTTACCTAGCATCCGTTTCCTAAAAACAGCATTGCTTACTCCCTTGTCTCAGGATATGCGAGCAAGGCTTCAGAGACACCTATGATGGAAAACCAGTAACCTACGAATATCTTCTACTCTGACTGGCCATGTTTCACAGCCATTAAGTAGGACGGAGAGAACTACTGCACAGTACACTCGTCCTTTGGTCAGCAAACGGATATCTCGCCTTCTTGACACTTAGTGACTTACAGAGATATTCGTCGAAATCTCAAGGAATAGTTTGAGAAGTATTAAATGAAAGTTTGCTGAAACAAGACAAGTTTATCTTATTATTTAGTGTTAAAATTAATTTAGCTTTAGCAAAAACAACTCTCAAAGAAAAACCAAACACAAACTCTCAAGATTGATAAAAAGAAAATGATAAGTTCGTTAGTTAAGAGATCTGTGAAATTGATTGGGCAGTTGTTTTAACCGATTACAAATCATTTCAGCCGTGAGTATAATTTCAAAATGAACCAACTTCATACAACAAATTTTACATCATACTCAACACAAATTAATTTTAGAATATGAACAATTGAATTCATACAATATCCGACACCTTTAATATCTAATAGGACTGAGTTCCATCTCATTATGAAATAGCTGATCAATAGCTCTTCAGTTAATATCAATGCCTAAACAGAGCTATGTTTCATATGCAAAGTCTTTAAATGAAACGAACCAAGTTTCCTTTCAGTAAGAAGAAAGTTACCAAAATAAAACACTATGTAACCTTGATGACAGAATAATACGTGTTCTATTTCATAAATCATCAGACATATTTTTTTACATATACATTTCTTTACTTGAACTAACTAGTCTTAAGTTGAATTTCTCTTTAGAAGTCAGCACTTGAAAACATTTTTCAATCATCTATCGATCAATAATTTGACTGCTAACTACACAATGAACGTCTAGTGAAGGTCATTCAATTAGTGTGGATATTTTTAATACCACCTGGCTGATAATATATACTGTCTATGTCTAATTTGAATATTATAGATTGTTTTATCAAAGCAATTCAATAGTTTTTCGGATGTTTATAATGATTATCTGTTTATTTGATGGAAAATCAAATGCTTACTGGATTAATTGCTATGCTCAACTAACACTAGTCAATATTCTGATTGATTTCTTGGTCTATTCAAAATTTTAAATCTCACTTACTTTTCAGTTATACAGACAAATATTGCTATAAATTCATCAGTCTTAACTGACTGGCAGTTTTTTTACACATTTGAAATCATCAATCAATCAATCATCGTTAGACCACCACCATTAGAAACCTGGAAGCACTGGAAGACGGCCGTTTCGTCCTGGTATGGGACTCCTCAGCAGCAGTCCGCATCCACGACTCCTGCATCTCGTAGGATTCGAACTCGGGACCTTCGGTATCGTAAGCGAACGCATAACCTCTGGACCATACCAGGACGAAACGGCCGTCTTTCAGTGCTTCCAGGTTTCTAATGGTGGTGGTCTAACGATGATTGATTGATTGATGATTTCAAATGTGTAAAAAAAAATACTAATCTCCATTACTCTAATTGAACATGACTAGTAGTTATCTGCGCATTATACTTGTACAATGTTTGAAACATTACAATCCAACATGAAACTATAATGGTTGTAGAATGGGATTATGTGTTCTATCATAATAAGATAGAAACGCAATTAAACAGGTTTAATAATGAAATCATTGTTTTAAATGTTTTAAAATATAATTAGTTTTTTTAATTATCAAACGTTAAGTGAATATTAAACAAGAATTTGTTCCGGTACTAATAATTCTGTGTTGTAATCAAATATATGATATGGAATGCCGTATTTATAATTAGCTGTAAATATCACATCAACTAAAGTCAGTCAGTCAGTTACAATAGAGAACTTTGCACATACACACATTAGTTCAGGATGCCAAACCACATTAGCACACAGACACAATTGTCAGTTCAAAGCCCATAGTGTTAGAGGAAGTAGAATTATTAGCGGTAATCAAAAAAGATTACGGTACGAAGATCTTATTCATGAAGTAGAATCTAGTGTAATCAAATTAAAAAGAGAAAGGTAAATGTGATGTAGAATCCAGAGGATTGGGATTTGAGAGAAGCCAAAGAATGGATGCACCTGCTCCATTTCCAACGGTTTTCAGCCATGTTATTCAAGGTCTCTAACCATCGATTACTATCATCTCGCGCATCCCAACCATGTGGTTTACACTTTCCAACATGACTCAATCCAGTTGTCAGTGACTTCATGGATTTGTGCCATTTTTTAGTTTGGCCATCTCTAGCTTTCTTCCAACCTACTTCTACACAACAAAACATAGCTCGACAAGTCAATCGGTGGTTGAGTATACGTAACACATGTCCCAAATCACTTCAAATGATGAAGTTTCACTACTTCATCTATTGATCTGCCACCCTTACCTAGGACCTGTTTCCTAACAACAGCATTGCTTACTCGGTTGTGACAGGATAACCGAGCAATACTTCGAAAACACCTATAATCGAATATTATTACCCTACGAATATCCTCTACTCTTATTGGCCATATTTAGCACCCATATAGTAGGGCGGGGCGAACTGATGCGCAGTACACACGTTCTCTGGTTAATAATCCCGTCTACGCCGTGAGTGAAGCAAGTTGGCAACAGCCAGTCAAGTTTTCTGTATCCGCGCTGAGATTTCGTCAGTCACCGGTCTATCAGCGCTGATGAGACTCCCCAGATAGGTGAAGCGATCAACACGCTCGACTACTTCACTCCCCATCATTATTATGTTACTGCATATGCTTGTATTTTTCTAACTTAGTGTCTATTCTTCAATAAATTAACATTTTTACGCCTTATTTTTTTATATTTTTTGATTAATTTTTAGTGCTTTAGAACGATTAGCTGTTGATTTACAAGATCATTGTTATCGACATGATCAAGATCAAGCGAAACGTTTACTCACTTATGAATTACAAGCATTTTCAAAAAATACTTGTTTAAGTTTAGCTTATATGTGTGAATCCAAAGTGTTTATAGGACATCCTTGTACACAGTCAATATTAAATGATCTATGGTATGGTGGTCTACGTAAAGGTGATCTTGTCGGTGCAAAAGTAGCTGTAATATTAATTGGTCTCATTATACCACCATTATATCCATTGATTGCATTTTTTTTTACTAAAAAGAGTAAATTTCTTGAATTTAAAACAAAAGAAGAATTAGCTCAACAACCACAAACATTACAAGAACATTTAGATGAATTGGAAGATTCTTCAGAGTCAAGTTCTTCCTCTTCCTCTTCATCATCGTCAACTTCATCGAGTTCTTCATCATCACCTTCTAATAGTAGACGATCATCAGTGTAAGTTTTTCTACTCTTAAAGATGTAATTTGTTAAAGACGACTTTTTAGATTTGACCTAGATTTCCTATTGATTCTAGCTAGAATGTTTTGTGGTTGGCAAGAAGCGTTACATTTGAAAATCTGATTATTATTCGATCAAACATAACTGAGAACAATTTCTTCTTGACAGGTTTAGCCCCTTATTTACTGCTTGACTTGTATCAGTCAGATCCTTCAAGCTTACTTACATACTTACTCCTGTTACCTCCAATGGAGCATACATAGGCCGCCGCCCAACATTCTCCAACCTCCTCTGTCCTGGGTATCCGTTTCCAGTTCTGGCCAATTTTGTTCATTCTTCTCATATCTTTCTCTATTTCTCGGCGTAATGTGTTATATGGCCCTCCTCATTTCCTTCGACCTTGAGGGTTCCAATTGAGAGCTTGTCTTGTGATGCAGTAGGGTGCTTTCCTCAATGTGTGTCCCATCCATTTCCAGCGCTTCTTCCTGATTTCTTCTCCCACCGGAGACTGGCTTGTTCTCTCTTACAGTAGGTTGTTGCTGTTGGCGTCTGACCAACGGATCCGAAATATTTTGCGTAGGCAATTATTACCCGACATGAGAAAAAATGTAATTAGAGCGTTTGAACTCATTGGCATCATGCTGGGCTGCGTCTCTTGCTATCTTATGCCATACTATATGCATACCATAAGTTATAACGCCATATAGAGCTGAAGGTTTCCTATGAGACCAGAGGTTCGCTATGAACGTTGTGGATGGCTTGGAATTGCTTTAGCAAGTATTACTAACAGTTCATATACAAATTTGGTTAGCACGGTGACCGGTTTCATCGATATTGGTGTTTGTTTTGCAACATTCCTGAGGGCGATTGTCATCGGGGTGTTTGTTGTATTGCAGATCACCATTGCTAATAATAATGAGTTTGACAGTCGTGTAAGTGGGATGGGTCAAATTGGCCTGTTCATGCGGTGCATATTGATTGACGCGATCATGGATCGGAAATAATCACCATATGTGGACTAGTGTATGTAAGTGGTGTGGATGGTCCACAAGAGTGTCAGGTACCTGTATGGTTGCGCCACAGGATTGAACCGAACTGTTCACGTTGAAATATTAACACGTGGGCACTCCCCTTGGTTCTCCTGAAAACCAATGTATAGTTAACCTTGACAACAGAGGCTTAATTTGTATAAATAAACTCGGTAATAGATTTGTGTAATAGTTACATTGGAAACAATCTTGTAAATCATTTTGTACATAAATAACCTTGAGTCATAAATAAAATTTATTTTACTAAGAGGTATATGAATAGGCAGAGAGTTTGTTTTAAGAAAATGGACATTTCTTATCATCAAAATTAGTCTAAACGCTAAAATGCATTTTATGAATAAAATTATTAGCAGAAAAAACATCCACAAGTTTGTAAATATAATAATCCTAATAAATATCGCGGTAGATGTTTGAGAGTCATCGCTGTGAGCTATTTCCATTAATTTAACTGTTCAACTACACTGTGTACTTATCCTGCCTAGCAGTGCCAAATGATTCGGAATTCATTCAACTACATGTTCAATCGTCTTTAGTCAATGAACTCGATAACTTCTTCGGTTAAAATTCCTATTCATCTCCTTAGTTCCTCAAATATAAAGAGATCGTAGGATAGTTGGGAAATTATTTTAATTAATTTGATGCGGGTTTACTAAAATGTGTAAAATATAACCTCCTCTAACAATCAGTTCATCATTGATCAATGTTCAAGGAGTGATTTTTGTTTTAATTACTGTAAAAATATACCAGTTCTATCCAGATGTTATTGTTGCTTTGTGTTACGGGTTAATTCACATTGTGAACTACATAAAACCGAATTGTATTGTGGTCAACGAAAACACAGGTGGGGCAACCGAATTGTATTTAACGGAAATTACAGAGTTACTCAGTAAAATAGGAAAACCATATCGTAAATCGTTAATTTGCAAAATGTCAGTCTATCATCTCGAACTGGACTGTTCCTGTTGCAAAACATCAATCCATTGTGTTTAAATTATCGCGTTATTGATAATCAGCAGTAAAATTGGTATTTATGTATTCTGTCATTCAATCTAATACTAGTCATAGTTTATCTCTTCTCAAAAGCTTGTAATCTAAATGAAATATCAAGGCAATCTACACTACTAGATTCACAAATGCTAATAAAAACTGATCAAAAATATCAATAACAGATAACTTAGACACTTACTCTCATAATGATACAATACCGTACCGGTTGAACAGTCTAGTGACTATTTGAACTCAGTAGTTCAATAGATGATCATCATTATCAACAGCGATGTAGAACTTTGCACGTAAGTACAGTATTTCAAGTTGCTATAACACATTAGCACAGAGATATAATTGTCAATTCAAATCCCATGGTAGTAGATGTAGTAAAAGTATTAGAAGTAATCTGAAAGATTAGGGTTCGCAGATGTTATTCAAGAAGTATAATTCTGTGAGAAAAGTTTAGAGAGAGAACGATAGAGGAGATAAGGAATTCAGAAGGTTAGAATTTGAGAGAACACAAAAAGTAAATGCACCTGCAACATCGCGAACGGCTTTGAGCCATGTCGTTCAAAGTCTCTCACCATCGGCTACTATCGTCTCGCGGACTCCAACCACGTAGCCTACATCTACCGACATGACTCAGTCCACTTGTCGGTGACTTCATGGATTTGTTCCATTTTTTGATCTGGCCACCCCTAACTTTCTTCCAAACTACTCCTAAACCACAAAACATTGCTCGTCAAGGCAGTCGGTGGTTAGGCATACGCAAGACATGTCCCAACCACCTCAACTGATGAAGTTTAATTACTTCATCTATAGACCTGTCATCCTTACCTAGAACCCGTTTCCTAACAACATGATTGCTTACTAGGGTATCCCACGATACTCGAGCAATGCTTCAGAGACACCTACAACCGAAAACCAAGTAACCTACGAATAGATAACGTGTTGGTCGATTAAAACAAGAGATGCTTTATTCAATTCCCAATGTGATCATCTAGCTGACTTGTCTATATATTTCACAACTAGCTACATAATCCATCCATTGAAAAATACTATTGAATTGTTTCTTCTGATTAGATCAGAATGAATACAAAACATTGCATTCTTAACCATTTTTTTAAAATATTTGTAATGATGATGATGATAATGATGTTAATATTCTTTACTTAATTTAAACACTTATTGTTCAATAGTATCACTGCTACTTCTATTTGAATTTAACTTCTTATTTTTAATCTAGTTTTCATCCTAATCTACCTAATGAGAAACAATTAGCCAATGAGAATTTTTTATTAACACAACAAAATATTACAACAAATGATACAATACCAACAATTGAAATTACTTCACCTACACCATCGGATAAATCAGATAAAGTAAGTTGTGCAATTTTAGTATTTTTTTTCTTTCCTAATCAAAATATAAATCGAGACGATCGTTTATCTAAACATGGTGAAATCAAATTATTGATTGTATGCGCGTTCCTCAGACTCAACACATATCGATAGCACGGGATTCCAGAGTTCTAGCTAATTAAGCCTGTTGCTCTATTCGGCACAAGGTTCGAACAATAAAAGTTTCAGTATGTAGTTTAGAGCGGGGTTTCAGGAGACCAGGAATAACGTTTTCGTCAGCGGGCCGAGACGACAAACGAACGAAAGAAGTGTGAAGATAAAAGAGTTATTGAGAGGTGTAGAAAGGATTTCATAATGACTGACATAGTCTTGTGTGCTTTTACGGTTATGAAGGTGGATTTTATTTTCCGTCTATCCACACTGTGAAAGGGCGCTGATTGTGAGAAGGAGCATCGGTCTCGTGACTTCCGAAGGAACTCAGCTTTCATCATGAGACATCATAACTCACCCGAACGAAGACTTTCTAACTCCCAGGACAGAGTTTTTTCTTGTTAGCGTATTTTTTAGCTAGTTGGTTTTCTACGAGATGGGATCACCAACCCCAATCCCAATCCTCTTCCTTTATCCAGGCTTGGGACCGACAGTAGCTCCGGCGACGCTCCAAGCGGACTTCAATATATTAGCACACACACTAACTACACCAGATTAATATATTAATGAACTCTATTTGTTCCCTTTTTATTTTCCAATATTTTATTATTACACACAATAAAAAAAAATCCATTGTGAATAGAAATTGTTCAAAATGAAAATTACTTGTCATTGTTTTCTTTTCTCCTCTTTCAAACAATCAATCAGTTGATTCTTTATCCAAATGATTCAATTAATAATAATGTACAATCGAAATCAGCCACTGAATTGCATCAACACAGCAATTCTATTGAATTCATTGATGATGATCATGATAATAATAATAATAATAATAATAATAATAATAATAATAATAATAATAATAATCATTGGTCCATCACTTCACAGGGTCATTTAAATAATGTCGATAAATCTGATGATCGATTGCCAACTTATTGTCCGCCGACTTCCTCCTCCTCCTCCTCCAATCCACAATGCATCGTCAATAATTCTATTAATCAAACATTGAATAATTCACATAAAACAAAACAATTACCATGCTTATCATCATCGACAACAATAAATTACCATGATAATGCTGATGAGGAGCAAGAGGAGAAGAATGAGGAATTCTTTTTGAAATTAAAAAAAAATAATGTAAGTTATGAGTATATAGTTGTTTTTGGTTTTTTGAGTTTGAGAGAACGTCTATAAATTTCACTTTAGTTGTGTTAAATGTTTTTCGGTTTTCTTTTTTTTGACTTACTTACGCCTATTACCGCCGCCGATCAGTGTTATTCAACCACCTACTCTGTCCTGGGCTTCCCTTTCCAGTTCTGTTCAACTTTTGTTCATTTGCCTCATATCTTTCTCTATTTCTCGGCGTAATGTGTTCCTTGGCCTTCCTCTTTTCCTTTTGCCTTGAGGGTTCCATGTGAGGGCTTGTCTCGTGATGCAGTAAGCTGCTTTCCGCAATGTGTGTCCTATCCTCTTCCACCGCTTCTTCATGATATCTTCCTCCACTGGAATCTGATTTGTTCTATCCCACAGTAGGTTGTTGCTGATAGTGTCTGGCCAATGAATCCGAAGTATTTTGCGTATGATGTTGACTAATATTCTCAGGCACGCCATAGTGTCGAAGAAGCCAAACTAAAATATGGCAGAAATCAATGAAGTCACTGACAAATGGACTGAGTCATGTTGGTAGATGTAAGCTACCTGTTTGGGGTCCGTGAGACGTATGTCGCTAATTGTTAGAGACCTTGGACGACATGGCTCAAAATCGTTTGCAATGGCGCAAGTGCATCCACTCTTTGTGCTCATTCAAATTCTAACCTTCTGAATTCCTCATCTCTATCCTTCAATTTCTCACCGAATTATACTTCTTGAGTCATATCTTCGAACCCTAATCTTCTCCATTAATGCTAATACTTCTTCTATCTCTGCGACTGCTGGATTTGAAATGACAGTTGCGTCTCTGTAGCCTCCATAGTGTTGTCGTGTCCATGCTATCAAATGCTTTCTCCTAGTTAATGAAGTTGACGTAGAGTGGTGAATTCCATTCATTTGATTGTTCAACAATGATCCGTAATGTTGCAGTTTGGTCGGTTTACGATCGATCCTTACGAAATCCAACCTGCTGATCTCGAAGTTGGGCTTCTACGAAGTCCTTCATTCCTTTTAACAACACTCTGTTGAATACTTTTCCTGGTATTGAGAGAAGAGTGATGCTTCTGTAGTTCTCACACCTTCTCAGATCAGTTTTAGGACTGAACAGTGAACAATAAATAAAGTGTATTGTAACATTGAATGGTCGTTTATATATAAAACTCTGTACTGTGAAGATTTAGCACTGCTCAAAATTCATTTAGCTTCCAATTCTGTTTAAACAGTAGTTAATATATATATATATACATATATATATATATATATATATATATATAGAGAGAGAGAGAGAGAGAGAGAGAGACCAAGGTTAAAATGTTAATCAAAAGTTCAAAAACTATGTATCTACATATATATATATATATATATATATATATATATATATATATATATATGAAAGAGACCTGTTACTGAAGTGGATCCTTGTTTTTGCATGAAAACATTCTTCCTCTATTGAATGTATGGTTTGTGTAGCTCAGATTACTGCAGCTACACAATATATCTAATCTAGATAGCTAACTATTATTCAATCTTATCATCATAAAAAATAACACTCAATTTCTAGAAGAATTTTTAAAAGAGCATTGTCTGAATGTCAAACACCTCAAAGTTTTCATTTTTTTTTATATATCATTTAATTCATTGCAAATATATGATTTAGTTTTTAGTTATGCCGTGATTACTCTTCGTCTGTTATCTAAAGTTATCTCACTGAATTGTACTTCTTGAATAATATCTTCGAACCCCTAATGTTCTCCATTACCGCTAATACTTCTACTATATCTACCACTATGGGATTTGAAATGACAATTGCTGATGCGATATGGCAACTTGAACTAATGTATTCATGTACGAAGTTCTACGTTGTACCTGACTGACTGACTCTTCGTCTGTGTTGATATGTATTTGCTTCATTTGTGTTTCCTATTATTGTATTGATAACTTATATGTGTCTACACTACGTGTAGGCCAGTACAAGATTAGTGAATGTTAACAGTTAACCAAAACAGTTTAAAAATAAACAAAGCTGATGAAACTTGACATGAAAACTACTCATCAAAGTAGGCTATTTTAGTGTCTTCAAAAATAATTAATTTTCACATGAAATAAACATTAACAATGTCCAGATGTGTTTGTTATGCTCATCACTTGATATGCTTGATATGCTATTCGGGTTCATCTTGGTCGATAAACGAGAACGAGACAATGAACCAGTGATACCTTGTGCTACTCTGATCCCTTGACCCCACTGTACTAGCAAGAAGTCTTGATACAGCGTAGAAAGTGTATTCTACAAACATCCAGCAAGCTCACAATGATCTCAAACACACAACTCTCGTTTATTTATACATCATAGAAACGTCCTTTGGACAGTCACAAAAATAGCACACTAAAATAACCACAACAACCAATCACAGCCAGGAATTTTCCGATTGGGAAATGTGATCTCATGGTCAGCTGATCAGCCAATGAATAAAATCCAAACTTAAGACATCTATCGAGCAAATTCTGGGGATCTAAATGTCCCCAACAATTTTGTTGTTTACTGAGATCATCATTACTCCTAACCATCTATTTCAAAAAGCGTAAAAACTAAAAGCATTCATTTAAAAGCCACACACAAAAATGGTGTCTATCATTTTGAAAACAAAATTTCCAAACATTGAATTGGATAATCGTTTTTCACTATTATTATTATCGGTGAAAATCTTATCAAAGATAAATTGATGTAAGGCTTTTATTCAAAAGGCAAACAGTATTTTTCATCAATGAAATTAGTGTATCCTTCTTGATTGATCAATTTTTGCAGCTCTGTTCCTCATCGTGAAGAAAAGAAAACGCTCCGTTTTAGTATCATAACTTTAGTATACAAAATATGATTAACACTGGCTAGATGTTAAATATTAAAATTATTATTAATATTATAAAAATATTCGTGTTACTGTTGACCTATTAGATGGTGGAGAAAATTCATAGCTCAGGTGGATGATTGTGGTGGTGGTGTTTGGTTCTCTGAGCTGGGTGTTTTGGTTGGTTGTGAAGCTTTCATTGATCGTCTGAACAACATCATCAGCACAAACTTCAGATAGCAGAAGTGAAGCATTCGAATTTCTCCACGTTTGACCTGTAGCTTGTTCTGCTAACCTCCATTTTGAGTGGTTGCTGTTGACCTTAAATCTATCGTTGTTTGCACCTTTGTTTTGATTGTATCTCCCTTTTGCTCTGTTTCTTGATCCTATATCACCTATAATTTTCCTGATTGGTTGATAAACTGGGCCTCTTCAGCTCCATTTACATGAGCACCAATTAGCAGTAAAACTCCACGACAACTCTTCGCTCTTATCAATACACACCGACAATTATGAACATACATTCGATTTTAACAATGTGGAAATACTAGATAGGGGGAGGACAATGAACACTAGAGAATTTTTAGAGGCTTGGCACTCAGGTCAATCAGCAATCAACAAACACATCGATATTGACCCAATTTATCAACCAATCAGAGGAATCATAGACGACATAGGTTCAAGAAACTGATCAAAAGGGGGAAACAATAAGAACAAATGTGCAAATAACGACAGAATTAAGGTTAACCTCAAAATGGAGGTTAACAGAACAAGCTACAAGTCAAACGTGGAGAAATTCGAATACTTCACTTCTGCTATCTGAAGTTTGTGCTGATGATGTTGTTCAGAAGATCAATGAAGCTTTACAACCAAAATATCCTGCCCAGAGAACCAAACACCACCACACTGTTTACCTATATATTTCTCTTAACTTCCACTTATGAAAAAACTAAACCAAATCGATCTGTAGGTGCCTTTACTCTATTCATTTGAATATTTTGATTAATGGTTAGTTCAGACTACAACTGACTAGTCACTTTGTCTTTTTTCGTATATGCATCCTGTACTGATTTCCTAAATATTGTCATTAGATCACTGGTATTTTAAATGGAGACGGACGATAGCTATCAGTGAAATTCAGGATGTTCTGGATGTACTTTACATCCCAGAGTTGATGTTCTCTCTGGAACTTGAATTCAGTACCGTCCGCCACATACATCATCATGTTATCATCCACTCAGCTCCTGTGTCCGAATAGCTACTGATTTGTTCAGGTTGATAAGTCTCGAATAGAATAAAAACATGCGTCTTGGCTCCCACTGCGTTACACTCCTTTATTATGATGCCATTGTTGGTGATTGGTGGATAATCAAGTTAACTGGAATATTTTTATATTATACTCTTCATCCACTGTTCTCTCTCTCTCTCTTTGTCTCTGTCTTCACAGATGGTACCTGATACGGCGAATCTCAATTTACAAACTGTTCCTACAGTAAAAACATTTCCAGCTGAAATGAACTCAACCCAGAGATATCGTCGTGAATCAAGTAAGATTGTGATGAATATATATACGGATGACAATAATAATATGTATTAAGTAGATGCTTTAAATGGTTTCATCAAACAAATGTAGTCAAATATTTTTACTATTTATTCAGTTTTTTGTTTGAATTAATGTCTTGTACACAAAGAGGATAAGTAATGTTTAATTAAAAGGAGAAATCTATTTCGTAGAAGAATTCTTGTGTGTGTGTGTGTGTGTGTCAACAACAACAACTTTTTTGATGGTCAATCAGTGATTATTTAGACCACATAGCTCACTCCGTAGGAATGTTAAAAATTTATTTATTCATTGATATCTCCACTGTAAATAAATAATATCAACGATCCAATTATCAAAATCACACTGAATATGAATTTCTTGAGACTTATCAACTTGGGAGGTAACTAAAAAAAAAACATGAATACTTTTTAAGTATTCTTCATTAGAATGATATTGTAAAGAGTTTTATTGAAAGTAATTGAAAGTAATAAACATACTTTACCATAAAAAAATACAGAAATAATAAATGTCAGGTGACTAACAACTGGTTGGTAGATTGCTTAACATACCTTGAGTGATTTATATTTTTACACATTGACGTCATCAACCAGTGATTGTTAGACCACCATTAGAAACCTGGAAGCACTGGAAACCCGTTTCGTCCTTGTACGGGACTCATCAGCTGTGCGCATCCACGATTCCTGTAATTAGCAGGACCTTCGGTCTTGCGCGTGAACGCCTAACATCCGGACCACTGAGCTGGCAACCAACGGTGTTAATGTCTAACTCTGATTGATCGAGAGGCTTTGCTCCACCTCACCCACTTGTCTTTGGTAGTTTCTGCCTACACCCGATAGGGTTTAACTCCACTGGTCACGTCTTCTCATTCCTCACCAAATGATGACGGATATTTGAAGAGGATTTCCATAAAAAGACTCATAACTAACAGTACTTATATCACATCATTACAGCTTAATTCATAAAGAAGTGTGCATTTTGATTATTCAGTGTGTGCCAAGTCAGTTCTGATGATCTTGTTTCCTACTGGCTATCTTCGACATGAAGTACTTACTGATGTTGTCCAGAACGGTAATGAAAGCTTTTCAATTAAATCGTATAGCTAAGAGAGCACAACACACCACTTAAGGTGTTCATCTGAACATCAAACCGTTGCCATCAGTTTTGAGTATAGCTATCATCGACCTAAAATGTTTTGAATATTCTACAGAATAATATCAGTTTTTTAACTTATGGTTTGCATATTTAAATCGTAGCTCGATCGACTAATATCCATCAAAAATGTTTTTTAAAAGATTCCTAATCATCAATTGGTTGAATGTATTCTCTACAACTACTGCAGTTGATTATAGAAAGTTGCTGATCAAAGATAATTAAAATCTGTACAATTTTCCTTCAAACTTATTTGTTTCTGCGTTAGTTAAAACCTGCAAATTAATAACATTAAAACTAATGAAAAATAACGTTCATTTAAGTAGTGTAATACAACATTCACTTAACTCTGTGATCGAGAATCAATCATCGTTAGACTAACATTCGAAACCCGCAAGTACTGGACGGCCGTTTTGTACTAGTTTGTATGGGACTCATCAGCTGTGCGCATACACGACTCCTGCTACTTGTAGCAATCGAACTTAGGACCTTCGGTCTTGCACACGTACGCTTAATCTCCACTAAGCCAAAATCTAACGGTGTTAATGCCAAACTCTGATCAGTTTAAGGATTTCGCATAACCTCACCGATTGTCTCTGATAGTTACTGCCTACACCCTACAGGGTTGGACTCCACTGGTCACATCTTCTCACTAGAACCCCGAGAATTTCTTCATGAAGCTAGTCGCCAGTAAGCACATTTTAGAAGATCGTTGTTTTACATTGAGATTGTAAATCAATCAATTATCGTTATCTTCCGTGCCATGACAAAACGGCCGTCCGGTGCTTCCAGATTTTTAATACTAGTCTAACAATGACTGTTTGACGATCTCCATAACTCTATCAAGAAAAATTCATATAGCATCAAGACTAATGCAAAAAAATTCAAATCTTCTTCCTTTTCTTTCCATCTGCCGTTTGAAAATTGAATTTTTATTAAATTTATCATTGAATCGTTTTTTATTCTTTTATTGAACAAATATTCTAATAATTAAATTAAGGATATATATATATATATATATATATATATATATATATATATATATATATATATATACAATGAAATAAATTCATTTAACTGTGTAATTAAATAGTAAACTAATCAAAATTTATTATTTTTTTCTTATTATAATCGGAATATCTTTCCGCTATTTTTGTTGGAATATTTTTACTTAATATAGAGACTTGATATTCACATTTTCTATTGACTGATTACATAATGATTTAGCTGTTTGAATTCCTGACCGTAGCTTGCCTATCGTAATGACCCAACCGAGCTATATTGGATGGAACTTATGTTCCTGTAGGTTCTGCCATGCCAGGCAGGTCGATTAGATAACGATGAGACTAAAAGCAGCTACTCAAGGTCTGAGGGTGAAGTCTTACTGCTGACTGACTTTAGAGGGGTGTGACAGCAGTAAGGTGTTTCCCTCGGACAACCAGCATCTGCAGCGATGCTACCTCCTCACAAGGAAGGAAGGGTTAGGAAAGGTCGACCCTAAAAATGTCACACCTCACCCTACCTCATGGATTTCCGTCTCCGGCGGTAAAGGTGCCCATTAAGACTTTCAAGAGCGGAGCTAATACTCAAAAAACCTCTCATAAAAAAGCCATGCGTGATCTGCCTCAAGCAGTTGTCCGTTCGGCTCTGCGGTTACGATTCCAGGTCGTTAAGACCAACGCTAATCTACCTTGCTTTTCGGGTTCCTCAAGAAACACCCCTCCACGATGTGGGCAGCCGGCAAGCGACATCCGCCCTCATATTCGTACCAGCTATCTAAATTATATTAAATAATAATTATAATTATATTATTTTACTTATTCTGGGTTCTTTTTTATCGAAAATTATTTTTTGTTTTAGATTATGAATCAAAATATCCATTGGAAGTTGTTGAAAATCGTAAATTATCACAAACTTCGAATAGTTTATCACAAAATCCATTTATTATTCAAACACCGAAACGTAGTTGTGGTAGTACTGGTTGTACAGATCGTAATTTTCATCGGTTACATAATGAATCTAGAAATCATATCCGGAAACAACGTTATACATTTCATCCATATTCAACAACTTTGAATACATCACAAAATGCAGCTTTAGCTAGACATGCATTTCTATTAAGGTAAGAATGAATTTATACATATATTTACTTACTTACTTAGTTACTTACTCCTGTTACCCTCATTGGAGAATAGGCCGCCGACCAGTATTCTCCAACCTACTCGGTCCTGGGCTCCCCTTTCCAGTTATGTCCAATTTTTTTTCATTTTTCTCATGTATTTCTCTATTTCTCGGCGTAATGTTATTTTGCCTTCCTGTTTTCAAAAATTTAAAACAATTAGCCCCTTTTATAAATTTTGATAGAACAGTGAAAATTACGTCTTCCTCTTTTCCTTCGACCTTGAGAGTTCCAAGTGAGGGCTTGTCTTGTGACGCAGTTCGGTGCTTTTCGCAATGCGTCTATATATATATATATATATATATATATCTTTGGACAACCAAGCAAGCAATGCCGTTGTTAGGAGACGGGTCCTAGGTAAGGATGGCAGATTAATAGATGAAGTAGTGAAACTTCATCAGTTGAGGTGGTTGGGACATGTGTTACGTATGCCTAACCACCGACTGCTTCGTTCAGCTATGTTTTGTGGTGTAGGAATAGGTTGGAAGAAACTTACGCGATGCCAAACCAAACCACGGCACAAGTCCATGAAGCCACTGACAAGTGAACTGAGTCATGTCAGTAGGTGTCGACTACCTGGTTGGGGTCCGCGAGACGAAAGTCACCGATGGTTAGCGACCTTGAATGACATGGCTCAAAATCGTTTGCAATGGCGCAGGTGCATCCACTCCTTGTGTTCGCTCAAATCCTAACCTTCAGTGTTCCTCATCACTTTTATCTTTCTCATTTTAAGTTCATTTTACTAGATTCTACTTCTTGAATATCGAGCCTTAATTTATCCGATTACTGCTAATACCTTTACCACTTCTACTACTATTGGATTTGAATTGACAATTGCATCTCTATGCTAATGTGATATGGCAACTTGAACTGATGATATAAGTACGTGCAAAGTTCTACGTTGCTGTTGATTGACTGAAATCGTTATAAACTACTATCTCATATATATATAATTATTTATCAATTCAACTTCTCTTTTTCCCATTTATAAGATCCAATTTAGCTGCATTGATCCCCTCAAATCATTATGCATCCGTAGCTGCATCTAATGGTTTTCAACAACGTCGACGATATGAACGAAGACGTAATCGAGCTTACACGAATACTACTACTACTACTACTACTACTACTACTACTACTGATCAAAATGATACAAATATCATTACACAAAAAATTCTACATCGTAAACGATCATCCACAACAACTACAACGACAACAACAACATGTAATACTGTGGTCTCTTATGCATCATCAACACCAGCGGTAACCATAGCAACAGCAACAGCGACAACCACAACAGAAGCAGCAAATCCATCAATATTTACACCGAGTCATATGAATCGACAACCGAAATTAAGTACTACTCTAAAAGATCATTCATTTTCTTCGCTAAGCTATCATCATCGTAATGGACAATGGATACCGTGTGATTTATCCGTTGGATATGATTTCCCATCAACCAATAATCATGGTTTACAATTATCATGGCGTAAAAAAGTATATGAATTTTTCAGTGCTCCTGTAACACGATTTTATTTACATGTGGTAAGTTTTTTTATTAATTATACATATGTGTAGATAATTTGCTTTCATATAAAATTAAAAAAAAAGACATACGGAACAACAGATGATAGCTTGTGCTTGATTGAAGGCTAAGTAAAAATCTGCTGTTTAAAATAACAAAATCAAAGAATGGAAACAAACTTACATATCGATCTGAAACTAGACCTGAAAGAGAGGGATTGGTTTTCTGAAGAAAACGTTAGTCCGGTGTGTTGTTGCGGGTATGAGAGTGGATGTCACTGCCCGGCTGACCACACCGTGGAAGGGTGTTTCTTGAAGAACCTAAAAAGATAGGCAGATTGGTGTTGGTCTTAGGGACCTGGCAGTGTGACCGCAGAGCCCAAGGGACAACTTCTAGAGGCCGGTCACACAAGGCATTTTTATGAGAAGTTTTTAAATTGTTAGCTTTACTCTTCAAATAGTCTTACCACCGGAGACGGAAATCCGTAAGGTAGGGTGAGGTGTGACATTTTTAGGGTAGACATTTTCTAACCCTTCCTTCCTTGTGAGAAGGCAGCATCACTGCAGATGCTGGTTGTCCGAGAGAAACACCTCACTGCTGTCACACCCCTCTGCAGCCAGCAGTACGACTTCGTCCTCAGACCTTGAATAGCTGATTTTAGTCTCATCGTTCCCCGGTCGACCTGCCTGGCATGGCAGAACCTACAGGAACATAAGTTCCAGCCAACATAGCTCGGTTGGGTCATTACGATAGGCAAGCCCGATGACCACGTCAAGGTAGCAGCTGTGGTCGGTTTGAAGAAAACGTAAGCAAAAAGAAACTGTATTTAACATATGAATACGATTGATAAAATTTACAAAGTAAATAAAACTAATTTCAGATTAAACCTCAAAGAACTAACCCTCTTAATAATTATTCATCTACCTAACTATCAACAATAATGTTTAAAAAAAATTAAAGAATTAATGCATTCTAATCACTATATTTGTTGCTACGTATGCGATAGAAGAGCTAGATCATCTGCAAAGTCCAAATTGTCCAGCTGCGTCCTGGCTGTCCATCGTGCTACCATGCTTGCTTCCAGATGATGACGTCTTCAGTTTCCAATCTATCAGCAGGAAAAAAAGAAAGGGTAAGAGTAAGCAACCTTGCTTGACAGCGCGTCTTCACCTCGAACCAGTCTGTACAAGTTGATTGGTACAGTTAATTATGAATCAATCAATCTTTTACATAAATATTATCTCTATAAAAGGAAACCAATAAAACAATTGACATTATTAATACTTTTTGTTCTTTTCACTGAATAATTCGTTGTTTATTTGTTTCATTTCTATTAGCTTTTATACCTGGTATTCGTTGTGTTATTTATTGGTCTATGCATTCATACTTTACCACCGGATACATTTTCCTTATTGGAATTGTACGTTTATCTACATATTTTAACGTATTGGTTAGATAAATTTCGTGAGGTAAGCAATGCGTATATATATATACATATATATATACACGAAAAATAATTATTCTCTATATTTTATATGTACAGTTTTGTGTAAATGTTTCTTTCTTTTGGACAATGTTATCTCTGAAAAAAAACTACATATTTTTATTTTAAAGCGAGTATTTTCCTTTTTTTTTCTATCCTAAATTGATATTAATTGACAAAGTATCAAGAATGGATAAGCATTAAACAACTTTTTCATACTCCTTTGTACCCAACAAAGACTCTTTATCGATTACATACTTATGATATTAGTGTTATGTATGCAAGTAAACACGTCAATTTGATATGCATGAATTATTACGAGTTTACCTTAGTCGAAAAATGAGAGCGAGGATCAAGGATCCGGCGACACGACGTGCTACTCTAATCCGAGTGTCCCAACCCACATATTGAGTAAAAGAATAAGACTTGATATGAAGTGGGACCTGTATTCTACAAGCATCCAGAAAGTACGAGGTCCGAGTCCAGAAGAGATTCAGCATCCCGGACTCTGGATCCGGGTCATAAAACGTTACAGATAATGCATATTTATACATTTAGGTCGAATATTAAACAGAATCAAAGTCCGTGACATTGAAAGTCAAGACGACCAATAAGAAACAACATTGGAGCATGTGACGTTGATACCTAGGACAACCATAACATTGACCAGTAGGAATTAACCAATAGTAATTGGCCAAAAATTCCTTTAGGATATTGGATGAATATTCTAACAATTAGAGTAGAAAGAATGCTGGGATCTTTATAATTTATTAGCAGTAACATGAAACCACAAGAAATGAAACTGAATGTAACCACCAATATAAAGCCTTAATCTAGAGCCTTACTGAAAGATCATTTCAAGACTCAAACACTCTAGATTCGATTTTGTGTGTCATTGTGAGTTTGTAAGACTAAGTACTCTTAAATTGTGATGATGAGTTACCTGTCCGGTACTCTCTAATTTGTAATGATTTTCTCATTTTATATCAGTCTATGATAACAATTACTTCTGAGCTCTTTTACCAAAATTTTCATAAATTGAAGTCGTGTGTGTGATATACTTGAAACTATTACGAGTTCACCTTTGTCGGTAAACCAGAGTGAAGACAAATGATCCAGTGACATGGTAGGTTACTCTAATCCGAGAGTCCCAACGCCCTACTAAGTAGAGGAAGAAGTCTTGACAAGACATAGGAAGTGTATTCAACAAGCACCCAGAAAATACGAGTTAGACAATCACACAAATCGAGTTTATTTATACATGATAGAAACGTCCTTAGGAGAGTCATAAACTAACGTACTACAATACTACATCAACCAATGACAGTCAAGGGTTTTCCAGATAGGGAATGTAATCTCAAGGTCAACAGATCAGCCCATACGGGAAAGCATAAAATCCAAAATTAGGACCTTTATCAAATGAGTTCTGGGGATTTAACTTCTCCAACAATATGTTTAAAATATAAATCCATCTCACTTTTATCAATAAATACTTGGAATAATTGATTTTGACTAATTAACTTCAAAAGAAAAATATAATGAAATGCTAATCAGTCACAAAATGAACTTATTTTAAAGCAACAAAATAATAATTCAATTAAACAATAATTTATTGTCTTAAACTACCACTTTGCATTGATGTTCTCATGTTAGTTAAATCTTTTAACTTTCTACTACTTATACGAAGCTTCATCTGTTATACTTAATACACCAATCAGTACCTCACAGTTTTTTTCAATGTTGGTTAGCTAGGAATATGTAATGATCACTTTTATTTGTTTCAATTAGTCCTATCTTTTAATTATTGATTTTGTAACAGTCTTTTTTACTTAAATAAAACTTAAAACAATTTAAAACCCCTAGTCCCTTTTATAAATTTTGATAGAACAGTGAGAAGACGTAATTGATCCGCCTTGACAAGTATATTGATGACCAGATTGTTCGAAATGTATAGCACAAATACATCACAATTTTTCAGATCACTTACATCTTCTCACTGTTCTATTCAACGAAACTCTCTGATTTGTTTTTCCCTAATCACTCAATAAAAAAAAAAACAACTCGTTTCAATACCATTATTAACCAAGTAGTCGACGTTAATCTACACTTTGATATGTTATTTCTTAATTATACGATTAGAAATGTCTTTGAAGCATTGCGCGTATATGTTAGAACCCATAGAGTTATTTGTGTTCAGAATAGATGCAAGATACAAGGTAATAATGGTCAATTGGTTTATGAACTAGTGAACTTTCATCAACCGAAATACGAATAACCAGCCACCATCTATTTCTATGTGTAATGTTGTCCGGTATAAGAGTAGATCAGAAGAAGTCTAAGAGTAGCCAAAGTAAAACATGGTGTTGACTATTGATCTGATCCGTGTAGATCTATGCGGTCTACCTACTTGAGGTGAATGAAATGGCTCAGTATCGTTCTCAGTAGAGAACAGGTTCATTCACCATTTGTTTTGAAATATGTATACTTCTTATTTCCTTAGATTGACTGCTCTTTCTCGAATCATACCATATCTATCTGATTTTTCCTACTACATCTGTAGTGAAAGAGAACACAGGTGGGGCAACCGAATTGTATTTAGCGAAAATTACAGAGTTACTCAGTAAAATTGGAAAACCATATCGTAAATCGTTCATTTGCAAATTATCAGTCCATCCTATCGAACTGGACTGTTCCTGTTGCAAAACATCAATCCATTGTCACTATTCATGCGTTTCATACAAATTCCATTGTTTTCTAACTCTTCCTTTCTTGATCTCTCCCCATCTTCCGCTGCCAGACATTACGTTGACACTCACGTCATATACTTCTTATAAGTAGCTCACACCACACATTTACCACTTTGAGTATTTATCTTTACAGATTCATCTCTTTAATAATACTTGTACTGTGTTATTGTAATGTGAACTCATACACAGATATGTATTGTTTTATATGTGATGATTTATAGACTAACACTAATCACATTCCTGTTAAGAATATCAACATTTCAATCGATTTTTACTTTCAAAAAAAAAATAATAACACTTCAGACATGAATAAAATTGAATGACTGTGTAAACTTTTAGTAGTTGGTAAAACAATTTTCAATAGAGAAAAAAAAATGCATATTTTTTCTATAAAAGACAGTAAACATTGCACTTATATGAATCCATTTAGCCATCTGTCCATCTTCATGATGTGATGATTGTGTAAAGAAGTAGAAGACGAAAAACGAAATTCAACCGCATGTCTTCAATACTACTTATTGTACTTACTGATCAATAAAATAATTACGACATTCATTTCACATTATCTTCGTCTGTGTTGATTGTTTTTTTTTCTGTCTGTTATAACAATAGGATGCTGATTGAATGGCATATTATTCATGTTTGATACTATTATTATTATTATGATTATTATTATTATTATTATTATTATTATTATTATTGCATACATAAATAAAGCATGAAATCAGGATAATAGTGTTTATATAAGTCAGACGAATGGAATGTAAAGGAAAACTGTTATTTATTATAAAAATTAAAACAGAAGGAAGAAGAATCACCACTATCTTGACTGATTTATCGATTATGTTATGCTTAAGAAATATTCACATTTGAATTTTTAAAAAAAATCCCTGCACCGGTGAAGATGGTTACCATTGTTGGGGGGGATGTTAGATCACCAGAACTCATTTGATAAAGGTCCGCGCATGTACTGATCAGTTGACCTTGAGATTACATTCCCTACCTGGAAAATGCTTGATTGTTATTGGTTGATGTAGTATTTTAGTACACTATTTTTGTGACTCTCCTTAGGACGTTTCTATCATGTATAAATAAACTCGATTTGTGTGCTTGTGAACCTCATATTGTCAGGGTGCTTGTAGAATACACTTTATGCGCCAGATCATGACTTCTTCCTGTATTTAGTGGGGCCTTGGGACGCTCGGATTAGAGTAGTCTATCGTGTCACTGCATTATTTGTCTTCGTTCTCGTTTACTGACAAAGTTGAACTCGTAATAGTTTCAAGCATATTAATTAACGAGCATATCAATCATTGTTAGAAATCACCAGAAACTGTTCAATCTAAAGTGTTTTCTCATTGTTTGTTGTCCTGTTGAAACCGTCTTCAGTTATATATTCGTTTATCTGTTGACATATATCTTAATAGGGGATACTCTTAAATCAGTAGTCTGAATAAAGTTCGTCATTGAATCCGTTTGATTAAAAACGAACCCTTCTCAATAAATAATAATACGTAATTTTTAATCATGTCTAAATAATGGTTCAGTTCAATTAAAGTTTTTTTATCACTGACATGATATCAGCTAGAAGGCTTTAAGAAACCTAGAATCACCGGATAACTATTCATTCTTTAACTTGAAACCCTTATGTAACAGAAACCGTTAAGTACAAGTCGTTGGATTTTTTCTATTGATTTGCCTGTTTGCTCACACTAGTGGCTAGCTCCGTGAGGAATCTTCTCCGAATCTAGTGGGAGGTCGTGACCAGTGAAGTTCAACCTGTTCGGGTGTAGACAGTAACTACCGAAGATAATGTATGAGGTTGCTCAACTCCGTGAATTGATCGAAGTTAGACATTAACACCACTAGATACCGACTCAGTGGTCCAGAGGTTAGGCGTTCGAGAGCAAGACCGACGGTCCCAGGTTCAAATACTGCGAGGTGAACGAGTCGTGGATGCGCACTGTTGATCAGACCCATATCAGGACGAAACAGCCATCCAGTGCTTCCAGGTTTCTAATAGTGGTCTGACATTGATCGATTCATGATTTCAAATAATTTATATCATTCCTTGATAAAAATTAACTTTAATCTGTGATTATTAACATTTTAAATAATACGGTGCTTTTTTATATTTTCCAAGCCTAATAGTATCGTTATTTCAATTAGCACTTGTTTATATCATACATTATTTTTCAGGTTACACTTAATCCAGGTGCTACTTACATTCAAAAATTCGTTGTACATTTGAGTGCATTTTGGAATATTTATGATATGATCATGTGTTTATTATCGATTACTGGTATTATTCTACGTTATTATGGTATAATTAATCGGGATTATTATATGTGGGGTAAAAATCTCCTCATAATTTGTTGTTCATTATGGTAAGTGTATGTGATTTTTTTCTGACTATTTAAGTTTTATTTATCGAATAAGACCTACTTAAATAATATTGATATACTTCAAGGTCCTATGTTCGTTCCCTAACATTGTCTTCAGCATATATACTGTTAAAAAAAATGTTTTTACTCATTAAAGTCATTGTGTTTTGTATGATGTAAACTACACATGATCTTAGCTCAAAGAGCCGATCAATAAATAATCAATAATTACTTAAGATATTCAATCTGAATGAAAAAAGATGGCAATATCTTTAACTTGCTTTAATATTTTGATTTCTCTTATTATCAAACATTCATTGTTGTGTGATTTTACTTTAAGGCAAATGCGTTTTCTTGAATTGATGCAAATTTGGCGATTTTCCGGTCCGTACATTTATATGCTGGTGAAAATGGTAGGTAGCGCGTTTTTCTTTCTTTTCATCGTTGTGTTCACTTTCGATTTTTTTAAAGAGATCTGGATGTGATTATGAATAACTGCGTAAACGATTTTCGCAAGTGAATTATTAAGATTCCTTGGTGGATTTCATTTTCTTTAATAAACTATCTGAATATTATAATGTATTTTGAATTAAACATATATCTTTTATGCCTCATATTTATTATGTTCGTCACTACGTATGCTTGAGGCTATTACGAGTTCACCTTAGTCGATAAACGCGAACAAGTCTTTTACCAGCGTCCAGGTAGGCTACCTTGAATCCCCAACTAAAGTAAGAAGGCTTTGTAAGCGTAGAAAGTATATTCTACAAACACCCAGCAAGCACAGTGCCATCAAGCATACAACTCTCGTTTATTTATACATCATAGAAATGTCCTTGAGACAGTTACGAAAATAGCACACTAAAATACACAGTAGCTAATCACAGCCATGGATTTTCCTAGTCGGAAATGAAATCTCAAGGTCAACTGATCAGCCCATGCTGGCAAACGTGAAATCCAAAATAAGGCATTTATCAAGCGAGTTTTGGGGATCTAACATCCCCAACACAGACCAAAGGACAAAATGACAAAAGAAACTAAACATCATTTACAAAATAATCCGTTCAGAATGCAAAAAAAAACACTACATCGGACAAAGTGGACGTTCGCTTTAGCTTCGTCCTACATAAAATCAATTAGCAGGCAAACGTCATGAAATTTCTTCCCTTATATATCAATACATGCACACAACTGTGGACACAAATTCGATTGGAACAATGTTGAAATACCGGGTAGAGGGAATACGAGGATTACTACAGAATTTTTTAAAAGCTTGACACTCCTGTCAATCGGCAATCAACAAACACATCGACATTGATCCAATTTATCCACCAATCAGAAAAAAAGCATAGATAAGCATAGGATCAAGGACCAAATCATAGGGGGAGATACAATCAAAATAAAGAGGCAGATGATGACAGATTGTAGGGTGATAACAAACAATCAAGATTGAGGTCAATAAGATAAGCTACGAGTCATATGTGAAGGGAATCTTTTAGGTCACTTCTACCTGAAGCTTACGCTGATGTTATTCAAAAAACAATGAAAGATCCACAACCAAAACAGCAGAGAACGAAACTCCAGTATAATTTTGTTTACTCATTTTCAACCAACTTTCATTTTGAAAATGAAGAAAAGAGAATATTCATAATTTTCAAAAATGATTTATGATTCATAGAATGGTTTGGCAAGAACGATAGTTGTTTTGTATTGGGTTTAAATGCCAAACTTCAGCAGTTCTTAGAACTACACTGAGCTCTATCTTCACTTCATCCAATACGAATATAGCGATAAAACCTGAAGCTCGCTCCTTGGGTTTATAATCAGTTCGCATGATAGGGTTGTGAAGACTGAGTTACTTTTGGAAATCATGAATCGATCAGTGTTACACCACCGTCAGAAACCTGGAAGCATTGGACAGCCATTTCGTCCTAGTATGGAACTCATCAACTCAACAATCTCCACGACCATAGCATACAAGTTATCATGGGCTTACCAGTGACTAGTTCCGTGAAGAATCTTCTAGTGAGAAATCATGACCAGTGGAGTTCAATCCTAATCGAATGTGAAGCAGTACTCACCGAAGACAATGGATGAGGTTGCGCATGACCGTGGACTGATGGAAGTTAGATATTAACACTGTCAGATGCCGGCTCAATGGTCCAAATGTTAGGTGTTCACGCATATAATCAGTTTATCACTTTTAAAAATTCGAAATAGATTCAGTTACAGGAACTTGTCTATATGACTCAAGATTTCACTTTCTGTTGCTTACATTGTTTCTACAGCTTCAATGCATAGTTCTGTTAATAAATATAATCAATATCGTCGATTCATAACAGTTTTTCAACAGTATCTTAGTATAACAGACACTTATGTGCATTCGGATCATCCTTACTCTTCTCTATATTGTTGAACATCCTATGGAATTTCCGAGGATAGTACTTTACCAAAATTTAAATACTTCTCTATTCTTTCTAATTTGATAAACAATGAATACTAAATCAAAATTTTAAAAAAACACTCAAAATATTTGTAATTTCCTGCAGAAATTGTCATTATTTCATTGTCATTATTATTTTCATTCTCTCTTTAGATTGCATTTTCTTTTTATTGTCATGATATACTACTATTAATTACAAGCTGTCAACAATTGTCGTCAATTTAAGCGATTTGTTTAAACTGTTTAGTTCTTTCTAAATTGTCATAAAATTCCACATTAATTATTATACAACTATTTATTAAACAAAGAAAGAGTAAATTGAAAATAAAATGACAATTTAATTCAAATGCATTTCAAGAAAAAAAACATTTTTCATGCTCACAATTAGAGAGGCGAATTTCGTTTTATTATTTTTTCGAACAAACAACAACATCAATTTTCAAATTTGACACTTACTTCTTGTTTTAATGTTTTCAGTAAGTGTAATGTTGAAACTCTTATTCATTGAATAGAGGGAACAAGCTATTTTAATCCATGTAACTTCAGCGTTTATGGTTAGTTTACGTTTAGCCACGATGAGGAGGTACCTTGTGTGCTGCTATGGTAGGGGTATCTGTGTTGGAGCAGCCGTGTAAGGTTATCTGGAAGAGGAAAGAACAAGGGAAGAAACAAATGGGCAGACGACTCAGTAAGCACACAGAATACACGTACATTTATTTGATAGAGAAATCAATAGACAGCAACTAGAAGTTGTCAGAGTATGGTTTCGAATGTGTTGTAAACTAATCTGTCAAATGTACCTGTAGTATTTATAGTTTGTTTAAAATGGACAATGCTATTTAAATACGACAGTTTAAATGATCGTTTTCCCGTAACAAACAAGCTGACATAAATAAACTATGCTAACGAACCAATCAGGTGTAAGAAAGCTGTTCTTAAATTTTTGTGTGAAATTTAAAACCCAATGACTTGAAAGCTGTTGGGGATGTTAGATCCCCAAAAACTCGCTTGATAAATGCCTTATTTTGGATTTCACGTTTGCGAGCATGAGCTGATCAGTTGACCTTGAGATTTCATTTTCCACCAGGAAAATCCATGGCTGTGATTGGCTGCTGTGTATTTTAGTGTGCTATTTTCGTAACTGTCTCAAGGACGTTTCTATGATGTATAAATAAACGAGAGTTGTATGCTTGATTGTACTGTGATTGCTGGGTGTTTGTAGAATATACTTTCTACGCTTACAAAGCCTTTCATCTTCAGCTTGGTATTCAAGGTAGCCTACCTAGACGCTGGTAAAAGACTTGTTCGCGTTTATCGACTAAGGTAAACTCGTAATAGCTTCAAGCGTACCTAGTAACGAACCCTACAAAAGCGTATAACGTGTGTGAAGAACTATGTACGGATTGTGTAAAACCTACAAACATTTGCCTACTATGATTGATAAACATGAAAAGACTAAAAACTTGGAGCAATTTTTAATAGTAAAAAAACGCAAATAAAATTATAATGCCCATAACATTTTAACATGATTTACAACTTTTCAATCCTAACACAAACTGGTAACCATAATTTCTAGCCCATTTTTACAGTAACTACCGTAATTCAACTTGTACAGGTTCATTATTCATATCAAAACTATCTTTTTTCATTATAAATTACTTTTTACGATCAAACACTTTCCGACTAGCACAGGAGTTTCCCCAAAAGTTATCTGCATAATTTACATTCTACCCAGAGTCTGCAAGATTTACAGTGTATGCACAATATTCTTAGACTATAGATAGACTTGAAATCGACTAGTTCTTATTGCTCACACTCATTCAGGCTCAATAGTCATCTAAAAGTTATCAATATAACTAGCTAACTTCTTCTTAAAGTTATTGCTTTTACAAGCTACTCACAAATTTACAATTATCATAAGACTAACTGAAAGTAATGAGATTTTCAAGCAAGATTTTCTGCCATTTCTTTATTTCTTAATAATAAATGCTCTTTTCCCTATTTATGTTACAAATTGATAATTCTACTTAAAAACTTTTCTATTCATTCACATGCTACAGGTTCGTCTAATGATTCCTATGCTTACATTACTGTTTCTTCCTCTATTGGCATTTGGTACAATACGTCAAGGTATTATGTATCCTACACATACACATGTCAATCTTGAAGCTGTTAAAGGTATTATGCTTAAACCATATTTCATGTTGTATGGTGAAGTGTATGCCGGTGAAATAGATCGTAAGTAATAATAATTTTATTATTATTATTATTATTATTATTATTATTATTGTTCTGTTATTTTTACTAAACTGTGTTCGATCGTCATTTTTAAATTTATTCTTTGATATCATCAACATCATACGAAATTCTTATGATGCATTAAACTGCATAATCGTGCATAGAGGTCAGCTGACAGACTCATCCGGTGTGAAGACCAGTGTCAGGCAAGGTTGCTTATTCTTACCCATTCTCTTTCTCCTGGTGATCGACTGGATTGTGAAGACGTCAACATCTGGAGAAAAGCACGGTATCCAATGGACAGCCAGGATGAAGCTGGACGATTTGGACTTCGCAGATGATCTGGCTCTTCTATTGCACAAGCAACAACAAATGCAAGAGATGACGACCAGTGTGGCAGCAACCTCAGCAGCAGCAGGTCTCAACCTACATAAAGGAAAGAGGGAAATCCTCCAATACAACACAACCTGCGCCGACCAAATCATACTTGATGGAGATGTATTGGAGGACGTTAACACCTTTACATAATTGGGCAGCATCATTCATGAGCACGGTGGACCTGATGCTGATGTAAAGGCGCGGATCGGGAAAGCTAGAGCTGCATTTCTACAACTGAACAAAATCTGGAACTCAAAATAACTGTCAACAAACATCAAAGTCAGAATTTTCAGTACAAATGTCAAGACAGTTCTATTGTATAAAATGGAAACTCGGAGAACCACGAAGGCCATCATCCAGAAGATTTAAATATTCATTAACAGTTGTCTACACAAAATACTTCGGATCTGTTGGCCAGACACTATCAGCAACAACCTACTGTGGGAGAGAACAAACCAGATTCCAGTGGAGTAGGAAATCAGGGAGAAGTGGTGAGAGTTGATAGGACACACACTGAGGAAAGCACCCAACTGCTTCACAAAACAAGCCCTCACTTGAAACCCTCAAGGTAAGAGGAAAAGAAGAAAGCCAAAGAACACATTACGCCAAGAAATAGAGAAAGACATGAGAAGAATGAACAAACTTGGACAGAATTGGAAAGGGAAGCCCAAGACAGAGTAGGTTGGAGAACAATGGCAGGCAGTCTATGCTCCATTGTTGATGACATAAGTAAAAGTCTTTGATGTCAGAATCAACTGTGAATTTAACAAATTAAAATCTACGAATCCCAAACCTAACGGACTGATGTTCATAAGCATCTAAAATTTAAAAATTAAACAGAATTATTCTAAAATCTATCACTGTACATAATCAGAAAATACGGTTGAGATAATAATAATAATAATAATAGTAATAATAATAAAATTAAGAACGATGGCTCACTGGTTATGAGTTTTGACCTTCATCTACTAAGTCACAAGTTTTGTGCTGAGCGCTTACTTATCACAATTCGGGTGAACGGTTCATATCACTAACTCTCACACTTGGAGGTATGACTTGAAACACAACTGACCAATCTGTACGTTTTGATGTAATCAAAGTTGAAAGAAAAAACTTTCAAGTAACAAATTTTCTGGATTTACACAAGTATCTGAAAGAGTTCAAATGTGTCTACAGTTCAGTGTTCGTTGACATAGAATAATTTTACATATATGTATAGTATTACGGGGTTGTGAAGATTGTTAACTTACACATCTGAAATCATGGATCGATCATTGTTAGACCGCAATCGGAAACCTGGAAGCATTGGAACGTCATTTCGTCCTGGTATGGAACTTATCAGCGGTGCGCAGGATTCGAACCCAGGATCTTCGGTCTTGTGCGCGAACGCTTAACCTCTGGATCACTGAATCGCTATCTAACGTTGTTCATGTCTAACTTCGATCAATTCATGGAGTCGTGCAACCTCATACACTGTTTTCGGTAGTTACTGTCTACACCCGAACAAGTTGAACTTCACTGGTCACGACTTCCCACTAGATCTCGGAGAAGATTCCTCACCGAGCTAGTCACTAGTGAGCACAGGTAATCGCGTCACGGCGTTATGAAGATTGTTGAGTTACACATTTGAAACGGCCATCTTTCAGTGCTTCCAGGTTTCTAGTGGTGGTATAACATTGATCGATTCATGATTTCAAATGAATGTATCTTCTAATAAATTTGAATTTAGAATTTTCATACAACTATTCATTGAAATCACAATGTTTCTCCAAAAAAACAACTACTACTTAAAATTAGTGGAAATACCTACTTTATTAGTTTGCTATGCGTAATAGAATTAATGTAGTTGTTTTTCGAACGATTAACTACTTAAAACATGGTTAATTGCTATACTTATAAAACTTTTATTCAAACAATATATCATTGACTGATTGATTCAAAAAATGTTCCATTATTGTGTTTTTTTTTAAACAAAAATTTCAATATTCAATTACCGCAAAGCTCTTATCATTGAATGAATCACTTGAAGTAGTGAATACAATCTAATCCTGATTATTTTTGTAATGGAACTAAATAATTTTAAAAATAGAAATTTTAAATTAATGTTAGTAAAATTAAAATCATTGTTGTTTAAATCATTAAAAATACTCAAATGTTTGTTTCATTTTTGAATATGTTTCTGGTTTTTTTTTTTGGAATATAAAATGTTACTGCATGGATTATTGAAAATTGTATCAAGCTCTAGTGATTAATAAAATCTAAAATATAGGCAGTAGTAAATAAGTTCGTTTAGTGGAGAAGATTTGTAGCTCAGGTGGATGATTGTGGTGGTGGTGGTGTTTGGTTCTCTGAGGTGGGTGTTTTGTTTGTGGAGCTTTCATTATTGTTCTCCTGAACAACATCATCATCATCATAAACTTCAGATAGAAGTGAAGTATTCGAATTTCTCCACGTTTGACCTGTAGCTTGTTCTGTTAACCTCCATCTTAATTGTTTGCTGTTAACCTTAAATCTATCGTTATTTGCACCTTTGTTTTGATTGTATCCCCTTTTGATCTGTTTCTTGAACCTATATCACCTATGATTTTCCGGATTGGTTGATAAATCGGGTCAATGTCGATGTGTTTGTTGATTGCTGATTGACCTGAGTGCCAAGCCTCTAAAAATTCTCTAGTGTTCTTTGTCCTCCTCCTACCCAGTATTTCCACACTGTTCCAATCGAATGTGTGTCCATAAGTGTCGGTATGTATTGATACAAGTGAAGAAATGTCCTGGCGTTTGACTGCTAATTGGTGTTCATGTAAACGAAGCTGAAGAGGCCGTCTACTTTGTCCTTTGTAGTGTTTTTCAGAGTCTGAGCAATTTATTTTGTTGATGATATTTAGTTTTTCTTCATTTGTCATTTTGTCCTTTGGTTTACATAGGATTGATTGAAGTGATTCTGTTGGTTTGTGTGCCACACCTATTCCAAATGGTCTCAGTAGTCGTTCTGTATGCGCCGATATGTCTTTTATGTATGACAGGATGGTCCGTTTATTGGTTCCTGTGCTTGATTTCGCTTCTGATGATGGTTTCGGTTGATGAAGTTGCGTGGGTAGCCGTTCTTTTGGAAGATAGTCACAAGGTGTTTTTCCTCGTTTTTTTAGTGCTTCGTATGTGCTGCAGTGTGTCTTCGCTCTCTTGAACAAAGTTTGTATGCAGTTGATTTTGTGGGTTCTTGGGTTGTTGCTATCGTAGTTGAGAATCACGTCTGTGTGGGTTGGTTTCCGAAATACTTGAGTTTCCAGTTTCCCTGTGTTAGTTCTGGTGATCAGTACATCCAAGAATGATAGAGTGTTGTTTGATTCCTTTTCCATTGTGAATTCGTTTAGTTACAGCCACTTTATATAAATCATTTTTAAAAAAGTAAGAAATTAACCATTGTCTAACATGCTCTATAACTAACAGTCTACTGTATATATAACATTCACAAATGGAGAACATGTATGAGGCTTCTGTATCTGAACAAAGAAGTTTGTTTGTACATTATAGAACCAAATGAGTAATGTAGAGTCTTAAATAAGGTGTTGGTAATCAAGTTATTGAGACTATGAACTCTCAATGATTCAGGTGATTGGGATATGTATGTCTAATCCCAGTTTATACTGATGTGTTATACTAACTAACTAGTATAAGAAGAATAGCTTGTAAAGTCTAGCTGATTCAGAATCCAGTAATTTACATTTTTTTAAACTGTCGTTGATTCAAGAAATAGCACGACTATCATCCGTTGTCATCTTTATTGGTTATCTCACTCCCAATGTGGTCCAACTCTCTCACCAGACATTATTATTCGCTGAAACCTGAAGCTAGTAGCTAATAAGCACACAAATATATCTTGCTTCAGGTTCTCTGTCATGGAAATCATCACAAAACTTTGCTAATCTACACAACGCTTTCAGCTGGAATTTTGTGTGTGATATATTAGTTAACCTAAGATAGAAAGTCACAAAACTCACACAATTATTTCATTCTCGTCAACTTCATGAATATGTATATATGTATACCTACATCAAATAGTGTATTTATGAAATGTAAAATAACATTTTAACAGCTCATAAAATGTGTACCAGTCAAATTTTTTTCATTGAAAACTAATTTCATTCATTGAATCAATCAATCTATTAGATTTGAATATATACTGTTTCAGTCATGAACCATTTAAAATAGGCGGAGTACTGAACAACTCTAGCTTGTTCTTGTTTGAGAATCTCAAATATATGGTCGATTAACGGATTTTTTTCTTCTGAATTCATTCCGTTGAAGAGAGATTTAAAGGTTAGCTACCATAAAAATAAAACTATTAGTTTACCTAGAGGATAAAGAGAAATAAACCGATAACAAACTGACTAGTTCACTAAATGTAAATTTTTCCCTAAATGAATGACATTTTTGCAAGTGAATTTGTTCCGAGTGATGTCATTTTGTAATTCACATTGTCTTTACAAATACTATTACTACATAACTCAACAATAAGTCAGCCAGTCACTTACAATATAGAACTTCATACATACGTACGTACGTACATCAGTTCAGGTTGCCAGACCACATTAGCATAGAGACGCAGTTGTCAATTCAAATCC